GGTTCCTATCATGGAACTTACATGTCTGAAAGCATTTGAAAAATGTGGCACTAGGCATTAGGGGTATTTGTTGTGGAGAGGTGAGATCATTGGAGTTTTCCACCCTAGCTCAACTCATGACTTTTCTGGGACCTAAGTAAACAGCCTTTGATCTTCGCTTGCAGTGTGAACTTACGTAACAGATTTTTCATCCTTCTTCCTCATGCAAGAATTTCAAGGTACATAGGCTTTTATTCTAACACAAAAAAAGAAGCACACATTCCTTTTTTCTCTGACTGTAATCTCAGACACAATTTCTTGCTCCACAGTACACTGTAAAATCTATACACCTGCTTCCTTCAGTGTCATAATGAACAGTGCCACGACCCACAGCTGTTCTGTCTTCCCAGTGAGCAGCACAACCAGCTCTGTAATTCTTCCAGCTGCAGAACCTGGCTTTCCCCTAATGGTCAAATTGGTCCCTTTACTTAGGCTGGTCAGGTAGAAAACAGATAATTGTAGACACTGTAAGTCCAAGACATTAGCACATTACAGACAGTATCCTGTGGATTTCTGTGGGAATCAGTTCCCACTTAGGATGATTTTCTGCTTGTCAGTTAGCCTATCTAAGTCAGATAGAGGATTTACCACTACTTGAGTTCTGTCATGCTTTGTTTCTTCCTTAACCGTGCTGGAATATGAGTTTTAAACAATTAAATTGGTATTTAAATTCGCCTTTCTTGGAGCTATGTCTGCAGGGAAGGTAAAGGCTTCTCTCTGGGTTCCTTGTGAAGGCTGTTTATGGAGGACCCGGCAGCATTCACAAGGAGCCACAGTCATAGAGGTTGGAGAGCCAACCATTGGCCATGTCCTTAGATGGTCCAGGAAAGCCTCACCCCTCTGCCTCTCTGGTACTCTGACCAATGTGGCTCCAAGGCTGGGGTTTTGCAGGAGAGCCCATCTATATTCGCTGCTTCTGCATTAGCTTCTCAGTAGGTATTAGTTACTAACTGTCACTTCTATAGGCAAATGCATTATCAAGAAATCCCTTTAAAATAATATCTTGCTGTTCTTCATAGCTACAGACTTCATCACCATGAGCCAGTTCTTGTGCAAAAAGCTCCTCTAGACTCTTCCTTCTTACTCTTCATCATTTCAGCAGCACTTCTTGGATAGAGTTTTAACTTGCAGGCTGCATTTTTAAAGAAGGTCTCATCAAGTTTTAAAGATGGATGAGATATTCATATACATCCTCACTGTGGGAAAGGAGCAAGAGGAATGAGAGGGGCAGGAGAAGGTGAAGGATGTCTGGTGTTGAGAGGCAGATGCAGCACAGTGAGGTGGTGGGGTGGTTGGAGCGATGGCTGAGCGAGTGACGGGTCCTGCAACTTTGTGTGAATGTTCAGCAGCACGGGAAGTGGCCAATGGCAGACACAAGCTTGCTGTGAGGTACACTTCCACAAGGTTGGTCATCTCCTCTTTTAGATCTGTGTTTCTCCCTGTGCAGAATGTTTTTCTAGGGGTTTAGTGGTAAAGAGCAGGGAAACAGCTAAGCAGCTTTAGTTCTGCTGTGAGAACTGAAAAGGGAGCAGTCTTAGTAGAGAGTTGTTACCTTACAGGAACTCTTTCTTGCTCACCAACCTTCCTGCCTACCCCAGGAATTGCCAGGAAGTCCCTAATTGGCACAGGCACATCTCACAGGGATGTGTCACACAGCTTGGGGTACCAAGGGCTTACAGCAAAACCCAGGCTTTATGCACACACGTGACAGTAGGCAAAAATGGTAACAGTGCTTCCTGTCCCAACACCAACCAAAGAGCTTATCAGGGCAAGCAGAGCATCCACCACCCAGTGTTTCTCACTCTGTATCTCCTTACACAGCTTCTAGCCGAGCCAGGTACTGTGCACAGGCATTCATCTCAAACTCTGCTGCAGACTTACAGAAATAGCAAACAAAATCTCATGTTGAACATAAACATCCTAATGCTGTATTTTAAAAGCATCATTTTCTTTTCTTTCTCTGTATCTATTGTAGTCTGTGCAGCTCTCCAGATGGGGGAAGGAAAATAGGGCAGACAGGTGACAGATTTTGGAAGAATGAGGCCTTGGGCCAGGGGAGACATTGGGACTCAAATCTTAACTTTTCCATCAGTTGTTTTGTCTTTATTTCATGGCCCTCTTAAAATGTTGCCATTGTATAGCTCATGTTGCCCTGGAAAGCGCCCTGACTGCTTTCACTGCTCTGCTGCAGGCTGATTATGGTCGATGGTTAATTTGGGGATAAGTGCTCGTAGAATGAAAAGACAAAACAAAGCATAAAAAATTATTGAGCTTGTCTGGGGAGAATAAGGCAACTAAATCCATCTTATAAAGATAAGGTAGAGGAGTAGCAGATGGCAGATTTACACTCTTATGCCGATTCTGAGAATAGCCTCAAAAAGGGTCTGGTGATGAAACTGTTTTTATGTTACAGTAATTAACAGAATGCATTTGCTGCGAAAAAAGAATCCAGGGACACAGAAAGGGGTACAATTAAACATTCTCTTTACTGGGGCCTTGCTCCGAAATGGCACACGCGATAAATCTGGTTTCTGCACAGTGCCCATCGGTGCTGCTAATGAGAAGACCCACAGCCACATTGTACACTTTTATTTGGATTTAGATCAACAATACAGATAAGATACTTTGGTCAAACACAAGAACAGGTTGCTGTGCCACTCTTTCCTGGCTGCAATAAACATTGTAATGTGGAAAAAAATGCTGGTTCTCCTGGAACACCGAATGCGAATCTTGGATTGGCACACACAGCTAATAAATACATCGTATGCACTTAGTACTTTAAAACAGAATTGCACATGCAAGATGTAACCAGGCTACTGATCATCTTCACCATTGTCCCCATACTTTTTTTATGTCTATGCTCTTTGCTTGCATATTTCACAGCCAGAAAGACTGTAATTTGCTGCTCTACTCAGTATGTCAGTGGTTAGACTGGTGGATGTGACACATTTAGAGAAGGTTACATTGAAGTCCTTCCTGCCACATTTGGCCCCTTCTCTACAGAACAAATTGCCATAGAATGCACCATAGGCAGCGATGGCGGCACACCCAAGTGAGGGATGCCTACAAGCCCACGAGGAGAGGTTCTTACCAAGCAAAGGTATAGCAGAGGGACTGGCGTAAATGCAGTTCTTACAACATCAAGAGTCAATACTACAACCACACAAATAATGACATATCAATAATATATTGTACAAGCTTATACAGCAACACATGTTGATTTGCAACATTGTACAGTTTAAATCTAAAGTGCACAGCCTCAATCTGAGGTGACAAAACAGTACTATCAATATAATAAAGGCAACACAATTACAGACACTATTTCCTCTTACTTCATGTCCTCATGATATTACGTTGAATTAATAATTTATTTTAGATTAAATTAAAACCACATCGCACACTGCACTTTTTATTTTCTCTTCAAGTATGTTAGAGCCAGCAAAACAATACTGCTTTACAAACACAAGTTGGCCATGTAGGCAAAGTTAAAACCAAAACTTTTGTAGGGTTATAAATAGACAGACCTGAGCCCCGCAATTCCTACTGACACTTCCAGCTGTTGAAGGGGAAAAGGGGATAAACATCAGCTGCCTTCTCAGAGTCACTGCTAATGGTGAGGAATGGGGCAGCAATGAGTTCTGCAAGAGTCATGCCCATGGCTTCTAAGGCTGCTGAGGCTCTGCATGGGCTGTTCCAGGCAGATGCGGCCTAAGCTCATTCATTTACTGCCACTTAAAAAGTTGTAGCAAAGGACATAGTCCAGTACTGGGAGAACCTTTGACAATGCAGTTTGTTACTCAACCTCAAACAACCTCAAACAACCTCCAACACTGCCATCTGGACTATGGTCATGCTTAGTTTAGGCCTTGTCCTGCAGACCTGTACATCCGTAAGAAGCCTTTCCCCTCTTAATGAAACTTTCTTTAGAAAGCATTCCAGGCAATTCATATTTTGTACAGTTTTGTACTGCTCAGAGCAGAAATGGTTATGATGTAAGCACTTATTCAGACATGTGACTTTTTGGATAGGCTTTTTTTACCACAGGACAAAGAAACCATCCAAATACAACCTTATTTCAGTCTTGGTTAGATTAATTGTGCGTCTGGTTAGTTAGGCCAAGTGGGAAACATAATTAGGAATAATAGCATCCTATTGTTGTACTGTAATTGATGTTATTAAGTGGTTTAAGAGCTGCAGTACTCTTGAGGTTTTTCAGTAATCAACCCTGGAGACCTACAATCCATGTGACATGGAGAAATGAGGTACGGGTACCTCTTCAGAATGTATGTGGGCTTATGATTTAAAATAGGCAGTAATAAATACTTGAGGCACCTCATCAAAAGAAAAAGAATGCTAGTTAATTTTCAGCTTCTGTCCTTGCAGTTTTATAACCCATATAAAACAAAAATATATATTTTACAAAATAGGGTTTTTATATATATGTATATATATATATATATATTTCCTTTTGTAAAACTATACCTATTTAAATACATTTGAAATACTGCTATAGGTAAATTAGAAATTCTGTTCTAATACTATGAAAAAGGCTTCCACTTTTAAACAAACGACTTGTATACTCTGTTTCTGACTACCCTCTCCCTATTCCCTTAATTTGATTTTGTCACCATTTTGGGCAAATTTGGCATCATTAGGTCTGATTGCTTTTAATTTAAAGTAGTCCCCGTGTTAAAATTTGGGATAAAATTTTAAACATCTTCTGTTCTTCCTCATTTGTTTCAATGCAGCTTTTTGTGAAGCTAATTATTATCGAGGTATTCTAAAACTCAGGAAAGGACTTTAAAGGAGCCATGTTTTTTTTGATTTTAAACTGTACTCTACTCCAACGCCACAATATAGAAATAGATTTACTTTGGAACAAACTACAAATACATTCGCACAGTTTGTGACAACTTAATTGTCTGCTTAGACGCCCAGGAACAGCCTTTCACAGCCGGTTATTATAAATCTTGTCCCAGGCGCTCTATTTCATCAATCAGGAAATCAATGTCCTGATGAGTTGCTGCTGGGTTTGAGATGACCATCCGGAAGAAGTTCACTTTGTCTCCCAGAGGCTGATAGCTCACCATGGTCGTCCCATATTCCATCATCCTTGCTTTTATCACTGGTGCCACCTGCAGTGTTGTTCAACAAGAAGCAGGGGATGATGATGATGATTACTATTATTATAACTAAAAAGCAGAGTTGGTTTTTTTTTTCGTTTTTTTTGTTTTTGTTTTTTTTGTAAGGATGAAGAGATGTAAGAAGCTGTTAAGGTGAACATCAGTCCAATATTGATAAAGCAGTTAACCTCCATTAAGGAATTAAATGGCTAAGGAATAAATGGATCACTTGAAATACAGTGGGTTTATCCAGTTTCTTTGTCCTGCTCTTTAAATCACTGGGGAATTTCCTCCCTACTTTCTCAGTTTTGCTCACAGGCAATTAGCACACGGTAACTGGTTTTTGCGGTGCTCAAAACAAGTTGCATTTGTTTTCCATCTTCTTTTTGTATGGCAAAGTGCATACATATTGCTGCATCTGTGGGGCTCACTCCCACTGTTGTTTACATTAACCTCATTGAACAGGGTTCCAGTAAGAACTCCAGAGAAGAGGCCAGCTCAAGAATACTGAACTTGGAGGCCAAAGTGCCAGACTAATCTGCAGCAAGATGAATATGGAAGTGTCTTCTGCCAGAATACTGCCAGCTGACCAGACCCTATGCCCTGAAGATCATTTCTGGGCCTGCCTGCCTGTAAGGTCTTTGCTGCTCAGTGCATGACACTCTGGGGATGCTGCTTACCTTCATGAGGCGGCTCATCCTTTCTTCGTTGTCTTCCATGCTGCGCAAGCTGGGAGGTATATACCAGAAGCAGACGTTTGTGTGCTGAGGCTAAGCACAGAATAACAGTGGTTTACACTGTAAGAAATGCTCACAATATCTCAATTGCAATTAAACTCACGCCTTCTCCCCCTCTCATGCATCATATTGTGACAGCAATGAATGGTTTTCATTACCGTGGTCCACTGAGAGTCATCACTGTTATTAATGCAGAAAGGATAATTTTAGGCAATTTATTTCTAGGATGTCAGTTGCAGAAATACATCACCCAGCTGTGCAAATATATTTACCCCCTCCTGAGAAGCATCTAGATTTTATAGGTGCTGTCCCCCCAGGCAGCTGAAGGGAACACATGGATAAGGCAAGAGACTATCAGAGATAATTTAGAGGTGAGGACTGTGTCATTTATTGTTATTACATGACAGCATAATGCAGAATCCAGTCCTGTAAACACCAGTCACAGGTGGTAGATGAAATAGTCTATATTTTTGTATATATAATAAAATGTATTACTGCTCTGTTTGATTCCACTAGCTTCGTATTCATATGCATGCATAACAGCATCTTAGCTAGTTTAAGTTAATGTGGGAGTACTAAGTGAAAAGGCAGAATCAGCTGACATTTTGTATATTTTTGCAGTCTCCTAGCAGTAGCTTTCCTTGCTGTGTTCCTCTATGCTGAACATGTGAGCTACAGCAATTCTGACTGCTGTCAGTATCTCTACCAATCATGAGACTCAATGGACCAAATTCAGTGATGATGTACAAGGTGTGGGAAATAAACTGCATAGCAACATGTGTAAAGAAACACGGTGTCACTGCTGCCACATGAGCCCAAGCAGCACCAGCCCTGCGTTGTGCTGCAACCAGCATTCCTAACAGACCCTGGAATTACAAAACAACAACTGCTTTTTACTGTTTGAAAGCTGGTTCTGACTGCGCGTGTTCTGCTTTATCCTGAGATGTCACTGTTTAGGTTCAGTGGGGTGACATTGTACAAACTGCTGAGTTATGCCTCGTCCCTGGGTTCTTTAAGGAAGAAGGTTATCAGCACAACAACAGGTTTTGATACAAGGGCACTGAGCGCTATCATGTGCTGTAGGTTTGACCTATCGGTAGTGTCCTGGTATTTACATTAAGTTCAGGTGACCAACTGGGAAAAAAGCAGTTATAGTACGTACCTTTCCATCAAACACCATTTGATACCCTTCTCTGTTCTTTATTTTGTTGTATAGGTATTCCGCAAGTTCCAAGCACTTATCAATTTGTGCTTCAAATCCTGTGGTTCCCTTTAGAGAAAAGGGGAAAAAAAGAGTGACTGTTCTGTGACCAGACACAGCAAAAGGCCCATGCAGCACTCACTAGAGTGCTCACCATGGGTCACCTCTCTGATGTCAGTGTGGGACAGATTAAGGATGCAGTTCTGTCAAGTGAAGGATGCTCTCCTGTGTGCAGCTCATGCAGGTCTTGCTACCGGCTCCCCTATTGCTAGCTCTGCAACAGTTCTCAGCAAAACACTGGTAACATCAATGATGAGGGGGCTCTCAGTGGTGGATTTTGCAGAGTTGCCTGGGCTGGCACAAAACTGCATCTCCACAGGAAGATACTGAGTTCCATACATGGGGTGTTTCAGGCCATTTGCAGAAGAGGGGTCTTTAATCTTCAAAAGGTGATGAGATAGCCTTTTTCCAATACTACATATATTTTTTAATTAAACACAAAAACGTGCTTTCTGGGACAAGTCTGATGTCTGTGGAAATGCACATTTTGTTCAAATACTGCCCCGCTTCCCTGGTGTTTTCACTGCTTTTATTCTAATTGACAACTCATCAAGTCAGAAGCCATGTCTGTAAGACCCCCACAAATCCTGCTTTTTCTTCTCAGGCAGAAGTCCTAATCATCTGCCTGTGACATCATGATTGTTCCTGTAGTCACCAGCTGAGATGCCACAAATGAAGGATCCAGCTTGAAAAAGGAGGAAGGGGAACCAACAGCTGGAATAGATAAACCACTTAGGAAATACACATCCTATTTTGCAACATTAGTATTACAAGTGAGGTGTGAGAGGAGAAAAAGTACAAGGCATATTGAAAATATGGGGTTTAAAAGAAAAAATGTCTCAGTATTGGAGAGGTATCCTTCCTAAATCTAATCTGGCAGTGCAGAACTGACTTAAAAGCCCGTGTCATTATCCCTCTATGTACACAGATTTTGAAAACCGAGTAGAGCTAGCACAGCCCCAGGAGAAAGGCCTAGAGCTAAAGAGAGATTTGGCTACAACTGCCTGCAGCCTGTTAGTGCAGCAGTTACTGCAGCCACAGCAGTCTGCATCCTCCTCTCCAGAACCCCACATATCCAGCCATACTGCATGTCTGTCTCTGAATTGTTTGGAGAGTTTTAATGAAGCACACGAGGATCTTTTAAGGCTTTCTGGAAATGAAAACAGTGATGTTGTCTCCTCTGAAAAAACCTAGGGCAACTTCACATAATAAGATTGAGTAAATACAGGAAAGAGCTTATTTAGCAACATTGTACAAGTACAGACAAATTAATCATTAGATCTGGTGATTACATAGAGAACAGATTTTGATGAATTTTCCCCAACGCCTCCAAAAGGTGACTACATATCTCATTTGTAGAACGAAACTACATATTCCAGTCTCAATTTGCCATGCTTAATTTCTGAATGTCTTTAAAATAAAACATCTTTTTACTTCCAGAAATGGACATAACAACATTCTTAGATGTATGATTTATGCTGTTAGACTCCTACAGTTACACAAAGCAAATGCTATGCAAAGCCATGGAGTTCAAGTTTCAAAATCACGTGCTCTTCTTTGAAGCTGAATTGTGTAAAGTATAAAAAAGAGAAAACAATAATATTCTTTCTTTCGTGTTATATATGGAAAATTCAGGTCAGGTATTTTCTAGCATGATGATTGCAGAAGAGAAACTAGTATCTGGTGTGCATTATTTTACTGCAAACAAGAATACTGCAGGAAGTCCTACCTTTGCCCTCCACATCAGCCAAAGCTTGAAGACATCAACGTGCCGCCCACATTGCAAAGCCTTGTCCCCAGTGTCATAAGACAGGTCGTAGTGCTTGTCTTGTTGAAAGAGGTAGGACGCGTGCATCTGGTTGCAGCTCTGCATCAGTCCCTTATAGAAACCGAGACACATAAATGTCATTCTGGCACTCTACAGTTTAGAGGGTTGTGTTGGGTACGGGGCTGCACAGCAGAAAATACAAGCACCCAAATTCAGCATAATATGTGTCCAAGGGCAAGAGAAAGACTGAAAGAGAAAAGGGATACCAAACTTGATTGCTCAGTGGCCTAACTCCTTCTCGTCTCACTCAGTGCCCAGGACATGGCCTGGCAATGTGTAAGCCACTCCCAGAGGGAACCAAGGGTTTTTTTAAATGAACTCTGGACTCTATAATTCTTAGCATCATTATGCACAAGCTCATTTTTGGATCTCACTTTTTGCTCCTTGTCGTGGTTCCTCTACATCCTTTCCTTGCAAGGCATTTGATGGAAATGCCTAGCTGACTCAGATCAAGCCAATTTCATGTCTAATGTAAAGATTTTCACACCACTTTTCTAATCATTGCTTGGTTTCTAAAATTCTGCTTGTCATTGGTTTTTTCCTTTTTTAGAGGCGTTGTTCTTATCCCAAAAATCTGCAGTCCTCAGATTGGATGCTTAAATGGCAAGGAAATCCTTGAAAAAGAGCATATGGACTTTAAAGAGCCAGCTAGAGTTGTTTCTGGGGTGGTAGACACTGTTCAGAGAGCCAGCTCTGTGGGAGGGCCAGCAGCCAACAAGGTGTAGAACCTGGCCCACAAAAGCATAAGATTTCTTTTTAGCTTCTCAAGTGGAACGCAGAAAGTCATGTTCTGGTTCTTGTGCAGTCCTCAACCAAGTTTAAGATAAACCTTGTGGCTGTTGCTAGAAGTGCAATTTCCAGCCCAGTACGACTCAAAACTTTGCTGTTTATCATTAAGTCTAAGCTTTACATATAACTCAAAACTGAGATAGTAAAATGCAGGGGGAGATGGGGAGAAATTGGCTTTCTCTAATCTGAGCCATCTGTTCTCACCAGAGGTAAGGATGGTACTGACTTCAACCAGGTGGGATTTGTCTCAGAGGACTGACCCAGAGGGCAAATGAAAGCCAGCTTCTCTCTTCTTACGCACAACCGCTTTGTTGTACAATCTGTCGTACAGCTGTTAGCAAAACAGCAACCAGCTTTTTGATAGCTGATCTACTAAGTAGTGGTTGCATAGCAGCTGTCCCACGAACTGATGGTTATATGAAAATTATAGGCTTGAAGGGTAATTCAAGTTCTAGTACTACTTCTTGCAAGTGAACTTAGTCCTCCCTTTTTATTTTCCATGTGCCTCAGAGTGGATATATGGATTAGAGCTGGATTGAAATATCTATCATAAAAGTCCAGGAAGTGTAATGAAGTCCCAATTATGGATGAAATATCATACTGCATTCATACCACAGCATTCACCCTAAGAGGATGGGATTTTGCCTACAGCTATGTTTTACACCACACAGAAACCAGCAGGGTTACACAGCTATGCACCTACAACTTCACTATAGGCATTCTGAATGCAAAGCCACAACACTGTAAAGATATTGCCATTAATTAGATCTATCTTTTCTGGTAGAAGGCTGCTTTAATTCCCTTTTACACTCATAGCCCTCAGCCTTTGAGTAGAGAGCTGTTTCTCAGTTTCTTTTATAATTCTCATCCCATTAGCAATTATTAGCTATGACACATGTATGAAGAAAACATCCAGGACTGTCAGAAGCAAAATGTCAGACAGAGCCAGAGCAGCAAGGATTTTGGGACGTACCTCTTCCCTCACTAGCAGGGCTGAACACTGCAGTGGGACTCCCATCATCTTGTGAGGGTTCCAGGTCACCGAGTTGGCCCTGTGACAGAAAACCACGTGAAGGTCAGACACAGCAGTGAAACCATGGAGACATTTAGTAATGGTCAGAATGATAATGAACGAGGAACAAAGCTTACCTTCTTTTGTTTGAGGAAGCAAAGCTGAAAGTAATCTCGGCTGAGAGTAAGAAAGCAATGCCTTCCTCAGAGACCCAGCTCTGGATTGTTTTCGGATGGCCATTTTGGCAACTTATCACAGGACAACTGCTCTATCCACTACACTTAATTAGTATTAATCCTGCTGGAGAGTCATCTATCCTCTGTGAACACAGGGTAAACTTCTCAAGAACACTCACTTGACTGATGAACTTTCTAAAGGCAAAAGGTCTTCAGAGCAAATACGCAGACAGGGAGCTGGCAAAGTAGCAGATTCCCTCCCACCGATTTCAGTATCAGTAAGATTCTAGTAACTGATTCACACAGGTATTTTTGGTATTTTTGAAAATTTCTTTACATATTTCTGGGTACCTCCAAGTCTCTGACTAGCTTGGAAAACCTAGCCAGAAGTAACTTTTATCATTGTGTTGGTAATTTTCACAGCTCCTTTCATTTCAGTTGGATAATTCACACTGGAGAATTGAGTACAAGATTACCACAGCAATAAACACAGAAATAATTTAGCCTTCTACAGGGGAGCCCAAGCTTGACTCCTCTCAGGACATATGCTCTGCAAAAAAAGCAGTCAGCCCAGGTCTTGTGAAGAAACAGGATGCTGTCACAGTACAGACCAGAGCAGAGACATTTGGGTCTGTGACAAGTGCTGAAAGGCCGACTGCCCAGTAACAACGCTTATTGTTTTAATTTTGTGTTATGCTTGACTGTCTATTTGCTAATTACTATTATTACATATGATGACTGGCTGATAGATGTATGCATTTGCATCCTACTTGGCAAGCTGACAAGGATGCACAGAGCACATAATAATGATAATGATTTTGTGTAGTGCAGTGATTTGAGTTTTGATGGTGTACACTGCTATAAATGAGTCAACTGGCCATGTAAGCACTTAAAGGATTCAGGATGCACTTGCAGGTAATGTTTGTATGAACAGAAGTAAGCATGTGAGAATGCGGCAGTATTTTCCTTCACAGATTTGGAGACTGTGTTACAGGTTTATGCTTGTCCTTATCATTTCCTACCAAACTGCTCTCCTTCAAAGCAAGCAACTCCAAGATGCACAGGGACATTGTGCAACACTTCTGTGCCTTCTTCTCTGCTGTTTAAATAGGACTTCATAAGTGCTTGATGCAAAAACTGTACGCAATAGTCTTCCAGAGGCAACATCTGGCCACTTGGCTTCATGAATACTTGGCAGCTTTTAATCAGAGTCAGCCATCTGATTACAACATCAGAGCTAATGATTCTGAACGTGCACTCAGGTCCATGAATTTCCTTTGATATGGTACTTTTTCATTTTTATCTGTGTCTATGCTGAATCAGGCAAACATCCTTCAAGACATCTCTAAATAACAATAGAGGTATAGATTTTCTTAGAAGGATTATTTACTGACAACAGCCAGATGTAAATTATCTGCCTAAAACATTCAATTTACCCTAGGGTCATTTATTTCCCCAGATTTATCCCAACTGCATCCAGAAAAATATAATAATTATCCAAAATAATTTTCATTTGTTTTTCAACAGTTTTTCTGGGCTTGAGCCATCAGTATATGCTTGAAGAAACTGCTGACTGCAAGAAACAGCAAAGGAAAGCTGTGTGGATCCACGGATGTTTTTCTAAAGCATCTCACACTCCCCAAAATAACTGCGCATCAAGCACCTTTGTGATTTTTTTTACTATGGATCATAGAGAGAAAAAAAAGCAGAAAAGTCTTCCTTTGGAGATTCCAAATGGATGACATGAGAGATTCAAGGCTGGCAGAATTTGGGCCACAGCCATCATTAAAACCAGACCAGGGTGCTCTCACTGGCCAGCCGCAGCTCTGGGAAGGATGCCCAGACTGAGCAGAGCATTTATCCAGCTGCAGGCATGATTTTCTCATGTAGCTCTCACCACTGTCCAGGCCCTGGGAGTGGGGCACCAGGCTGCATGTCCTGATGGTGGTCAGACTTATCTGCTCCAGACACATGCCTCCTCCAGGTGCTCTTCAAAATGTGCCATGCAGAGCCTAGAGGCGATGGTAAGGATGGCTTTGCAGCACCTCTGTGTTCAACATGTGTTTTTTTTCTGGACTGCCTGTTACCAGAAGGATGGGAATACTTGGAGCAAGAGTCCTTCATTCAATGGTCCCTTTTTGCAATCACAAAATTGTTTGAGTTGAAGTGGACCTTCAAAGGTCATCTAGTCCAACTCCCCTGCAATGAACAGGGACATTTTGTTCCTTCTTGTTCCTTCCTCTCCCATGAAACACAAGTAACAGCTCCAGTTCTATTCAGGTCTATAACACACCATGAAATGGAATTGTCCACAGAAATTGGACCTGTTAAGTCTTCTCTACAAGCACCCACATTTGAAATCTGAATAAACTGAAGTGCAGGGGAACTGGACTGGAAACGACAAGCTTCATTAGTTCCCCACTTGGCACACAAAGATGGCACTTACCAAGCACTGGAGAAATTCTGGACCTAAAGCATCCTGCCTGGAAAATTCTTCGATGTGGGCTCAACCTGAACTTCTAATTCCCAAAGAATTTTGACAGCAATTTGTGTGTGGAAAACACCTTTTTCCCAAACTCTATCCTTGCAGATAACCATTCAGATTTTTCTAATGCACTGGGTATTTGGATGTATGTCCTTTTAAAGGACAATATATAGATCTGGAGTACTAGAGGCAGTCTTAACTAAAGTATACCAAATTCATAGAACCGCTGTCTGCTTTCCAAATTTTGCATGTGAGATAGATACATGATAATAGGAATAGGTTGAAGAAATCATCTGTAATTTTAATCAACAATCTGATTTAGAGATAAAAAAAAGGCAGGAGGGGGTATGATTTAATCAGCTTTGGAAGATATACAAATGTGAGCAGGACTCCAAGTACCCAGCATACTGTCTCTAGTAAGTGGCCTAAATAGAAGCCCAGAAGAATATAAAACAGGGCATGCATATGAGTACTTCCTCAAAATACTCCTCAAGCCTTATGTCACTTTGTGGCTCCCTGAAATCCTGAATGGTTTTTGTTCGTCTTCTCCTCAAGTCAGCTAAATATTAGCATTCTTAACATGGCAAGGAGATACACAGCACAACTAAAAGTTTCTGGGCAAGTTTCTGTGAGTTTAAGTGCAGTCTTTTCAGATGCCAAGCTACATTGCTATCAGCTGTGTGTACATATAATGTTGATGAGCTCAGGACTGCAAATGCATATATCCAGATGTCATTAGCATGGTTGGGAGGTAGCATTCCTTCTAGAAGTGATGGAGCAGTGGCTGGTGACTGCCCTAACACTGTCCCAGCTGCAGGTGCACCCATCCACCTTTTATACTAAGATCTCAGCAGGCAAACCCTCCAACATTCATGACAGAGAAATACAACTGCTAATTCATTTTGGACAGAGAATCAGAGGATGCTGCAGAAACCACTTTGGACCCAAGAATGCATGTTGAAAGGAATAAAAATGCAGACAAGAAATGTCTGCTGCTTGCACTACAAAGCACAGTGCTACGACACTGTAATAGAGCAGTGCTGCTTCAACTGGAAGAGCAGTCTGCATAATTCCTTCCCTCTGCATCCCAGAGATAGCAGGGCCTGATTTTTATTTGTGTTTTCAGATACTGCTATGGTAATCACAAGTGTGCTAAAATGCATTTAATAAATGTGTTTAATTAGCGCTAATAAATCATACCTTTCAACACCATTTAGCTTCCATTTGTGCTTCCTTGACATCAGCAGCCCGCCACCCCACGCTCCCTACAAGGCAAGATACATTATCTTAATGAGAGCACACCTCTGCATTTCTCCAGAATGACATCTGTGAGCAGACCTGCCTGCCTTCCCCCATTTGCTTTTGCTTACAGAGATCTAGGACAGGTAGATATTTTGTGTGGCTGAGCAGTAGTTGAAGGCAAACATGAATTCTTAAATTGGAATGATTTGGGCTGACAAAGTAACCAAAAGCATGACAGTCAGCCCTATGTAAATTCAACTACCAAGCTTTCTTGGAAAAAAAGATTTTGCAAAAATGACATAAGATCCATTCCAGGGCTGAAAGATGATCCTTCAGAAAGATTTACTGCCAAGAACCCAGATAAAGCCGAGCAAAGCAGCCAATCTGATAAATCTCTTTAGCATCTGGATTAATCTGCTGGGCAATTTGGGGTGCTTACTCCAGAAAAAAATGTAGACTTCTTATGTATTTATTTTGCAGCTGCTGCAGAAACGGAGCCAATGCACATTATGGTTCTTATGGATTTCTTGGACTAGTGATATTTAAAGATAAAGCTGAAGGCCCAAAGCTCTCTAAATAGGTCATCCATCTCAACTATGCCATTTACTATGAGTACTGCACAGTCACAGCTCCTGTTATGCCCTCTTGACCCGAGCCTGTCAGAGGACTGGGAAGTCACCACTTGGACAACAAACTTAATTACAGAAACCAAATACGATGGTTTTGTAAAAAAAATAAAACATTCACACTTACGTGCCTTGGAATCTACCCCCCTCACCTACCCCCCCAAGGTGATACTTACATCCACATGCATCCAGATTTTGTATTTCTTGCAGATGTCTGCAATAGCTATGAGTGGGTCAAATGCCCCATACACTGTTGTTCCAGCTGTGGCACTCACTAGAAAAGGAACAAATCCCTACAAGAAAGCACAGAGGCATTTGACAGAGTCACACAGCAGCAGTCCTAACTCCTCCTGAGAGCTGGCATTGCTCTGATGGCTGCCTGCACAATGAGCCCAGAAGTGGCTCCTAGAGGACACAGTCGCTATATCACAGGGTTTTTTGTTAACTTAGATACTAGTGATATGACAGTTTCTACCTTAAGGTGGCAGCAAACTTCCAAACCAGTCTACTCCATTTATTTAAGATGCAGGAGACAGGCAAGGGCTCAAAGGAACAATTCTTCTCCCTTTCACCTACCCAAAACAACAGAGTCTGCTCTATGTAACATCATGTAAAGCAAATCTTATCTGCAAGGCACCTCGGTGTCCAAGGACCATTTCTTGGACTCCTGTCGCTAAATGCTGTACATCACCAAGGAGCACACAGTCACCTGGATTTTGCACTGCGAAGCCTTGAGCATGAAGGAACTTGCACTAGTGTTTTGTTTTCAATTCATTTTCTGTTAATACTCAGAGCAGTAAAGGTACAGGGTGCCTATATTTATCTGTCGAACTGGGGCTCAAACAATCAGAAGTGTATGAACTCCATTTTGCAAAAGGAAATGCAGTGTCAGGAGATCTGGGTGGAGCTTTATTGCCAAACCAACTAGCCATATCGGTATGGTGTTTTTTCACTTTTGTTTTTGTTTTGTTGGGGCAAGCAGAAATGCAAGTAAGCTTAATAATAACTTACTTTTTGTTTGGCCTCAAGAATTCTTCTTTCAAGGTCTGATGGAATCATTTTCCCTCTGGGAAAAAGAGAGTTATATTACAAATCTGGTATTGACATCATCTTTTGCTGTTACTTCTTCACTTAATGGTAAACCCAAAAAGGAACAAAGCAACATTTTTGCCCACAGCTTATGAGGCAGATAGACTCTGTCCATTAACCTACATTTTCAGTCTGCTTACTTTTTCAACTGATCTGCATCAACACGGTGATGGCAACAGAGACACTCACATCACCTCCCATTAAACACTAAGGCAGCTCCACTGAGCCCCCCCCCCAATCCTGTTGGAGGTTGCAGCCCTGGGAACTGCTCCTGGTCCCAAGCAAGGAGCTCAGCCCAGGCTCCCAAGATGCTCCCTGGGTGCCAAACCCCTCTCAGCAGGTACAAAAAATGCTGGCTGCAAATGCTGGCTGAGCTGCATGGCCCCAGCACTGCGACAGCTCCAGTGTAAGCAGCACTCTCCTTGTTCTGGTCCCAGGGATGGGCTCATTTCAGGGTGACTGCTCAGTTACTGGTGCATTACATGTTCATATTTGCTTGAAGCAAGATGTGAGACAAAGCAACCAGTCCAGACTCAGATGCACTGCCAAGCACTCTGCATTGGCTGCATGCCGTATTTGGAACACATTAAAATGAACCATTTGCCTGAGACTCAGACTCAGTGGTAAAAGGCTTGAAGGCCAATTTAAAAATCCCGTAAATGAACTAGATGCAAGGTAAAACAGAGCTGATACTGAACACTGAGGTTGCATTTCTTTGCTTTAGCCACAAGCAAGACTAGCTAAGAGTTACCATGCATAATGGTAACACAAATGTGGGGTGACAGCTCCCCACATTAGAGGAATAAATTAATCAATGAGCCTAAGTGCTGCCCATTTACATTTATATATACATAAAATTACATATATGTATATATACTTTGAAGGACTTCCTAGTTCTTAGTATAGACAGACATACCTTTCCTTTCAGTACAGGGATAATTTGTACTTCTTCTTGTTATTAAAAAATAAGAGCAACTTCTACTAAAGCTCAAAATAGCACTTTGAGGAAAACAAAACCATGATTTTTAGATTCACTTTTGAAAAAAAAAAAAACAAACACAAAGCAACTTTTTTTTCCATGATATTTCCTGATACGGATGCAAATAAAACAAAATATCAGTTTTTAGTAATAAGATCCTGTTAAGCATGACAAGTTTCAATCCTTACACACCTCACAAGTCAGTGACTGGTTCAGAAGAAATGGGTTTGGATTGCTCAGATTTTTTTTGAAAAATCTTTCCTTCATTTTACTCATTCAAAACAATGAAAGAGTAATTGAAACTAGGAAAGTTCTAGTCTAAAAATTAGTCCTGATTTTGTCACAGACATTCAAAACATATGAAGTATTCTACTCATTCTGGGTTTCCCCTAATTACCTGTAATACAGAAAAAGCAGAAGTTGTCTTATTTTCACAAACCATTTCTGGGACTGTTAGAGGAGTAAAGAAGAAAAAGTATGCCAAAGGAAGGCTCTGAATTCCTCCTCTAAACTGAGTTTAGACATTGGTCTTTAATAGTTTCTCTTTTATTGAAGATGTGCACAGATTCAAGCACAAAGATGGGCAGGTTCCTTTATCTGTACCCAGAGAGGTGATCAGCCAGCCCCTGGTCACACTGATTACGTGCACAAACTCACGGCCAGGTGAGTGCAATGTCCAAGCAATGTCAAACTTTACTAAGCAGCACGCAGTAGATTGGCTTTGAGTACAATCCAGCACAACACCTTGCTCCGTACTCAGCAAACAGCCAACAACATTGCACAGCACTTTGTGTTGCCACCTGAGCAAAGATGACCCGAAAGCCTTAAAATACATTACAAAATAATTAAATTCTTCATTACTAAGGTACCTAAAAATACATCTTTACACAAAGCTCATCAAATAACATGGCAGGGTGGTTACATGAGATTTCCTAGGCAAAACCAGAGGCAGAAGGAGGATGGCAGAAGAAACTCAGTAGCAGAAGAGCACTGCGGACAGAGACTGCTGGTGCCAAAGCATTCTCATAGTAAACACATCTGTGTATAGTCTTCACAGTTATCATATCAAAGTGGAATGTTTTGACTGCAAACCTGCATTTAATGTGCTACTGCTACCAACAGTGAGGGAGTAGACAAGGCAATGAAAATGTACAGTTGTTCATGTCCCAGGCTGGACATTTTGTGCATGCTTTCCTGGTTGAAATTCACCACAAATTCCCATGATACAGCAAAACCAGACAGACTTGGTGGAAGTGGATCAGGGTGGGGAGGAAAGGAGCCAAGCACGCCAAGAAGCATGCTTGGTTAGGCTGAAGAAGTTGAAAAGATCTTATGGTACTCCTTCACACTCCTACAAGTCTACATATTCACCAGCCCATGTCAATCACCAACAGCTTGTTCTGTGCCTGCAGGATCTACTGGGGTTTGCTGAGAATTGCAGTAATCTCACTGTGTATTTCAGGGTGGGCTGGATAAGTACTGTAGTCTTCACAGAAAAAAAAATCAAGTGGAATTTGCACAAGAAGAAAAGCAAACCATGACATCATTGATGCAAGTCTGTCTTTAGCGAGTAGAAACAATCATGTTTATTCTGATGCATGTTGGATGTTGCCATTAATTCCTCGTCAAGGTGTGTTCAGTTTTTTGTCAATAAAGAGATACTAAGCCCACAAATCAACCTGCAGGCATTGTGATTGGCACTGTAAGTTGCTTAGTTTGGTGTTCTACTTTTATAGAGGCAGCAAAAAATTTGCATTGCAGGAAAACTTTCCATTTAAGCTAGAGTCATAAACACTTCAATACCGTTTAACAATGGTATTTGGACTCACTGCAAGAGAATATTTTACTGAAAATCTTCTCAGTAGAATGGATGAGGATTTTTTATTTTACATTTGTCCCACAGAACACATGCTTTTCTAGCAAACTGCAAATCCTCATCAAGTTCATTTTTGTTAACGTTTCTTTGCTTTCACAAAATGGGTTTTGGTAACCTTTTAGTTGGGTGAGTTCAGACTTCACCTACCACCAGTTTTGTGGTGCCTGCAGAACTGCATGCAGCCTGCTGTGCTACTCCTTTCCACGGCTCATCCCCTTGTTGACCCATGCTGCCTATGGTTCTGGAAATACCGTTCACAGAACTGACTGCACATCTCACTGCAAGGGGCACGTTCCCACGATGGGAAATGCCATCCAGCCACAAAGTAATACAAGTACATTAGCAAATCCTCCTCAATATTTCAGTCCTTTAAAGTGCTCATTTCAGCTAATTTCAGTGTACCAAAATGCAAGTGCATCTTCCTTAAGAAAGCGCCTTTTTGGTTTCTCACCAGAATGTACAAATATATGTAAAGATTGTTAGTTCACCTTTTTGTTTCACTTCAGGAAGAGATGAAAAAGAAATATGAAAAATCCTTGAGGAAGAGAACTTCAAGATTTTTTTTCAGCTCCAAAAAATGATTCATTAAGAAACTACAACTACAGTGGGATAAATCACTGCAAGGCTGACTGAAGATGATAGCTCTATGAGTTATACTGTTGACTATATCCTACATGCTCTCTCCATATTAAGCACTTGGTGATGCTCTTCTATGTACCAACAGAAGGAATGGCATTTGGCATCTTTACTTACCTTTCATCGCATCTAATCAGAATCACACTATCTGTACCAATACCCAAGGCTGCAGCTCCTTTTTTCACAGAAAAGTGACTCTGAAAAAAACAAGTTTTGTTATTATTTATTGCTTTTACTACTATTTCCTATCCAACTTAATGAAACACTACACTCTTGCAAGCCCTTCCGCAAGACGTTCCATATAGGCAGTAATTCTAGTCTTAGGCTTTGAAAACTGATCACTGTAATTTCAGGCTTCGTATCAGGTCACCACAGTTTATTAGAGAAACAGCAATCACTAGATTTACTTCTGGAATATTAAATACACAGTTGTGGCTGGTGATGGACCCAAATTCCGTCCTAGATGCACGCCTGCACTGCCTTTTCTCATACATACTGAGCAACAAATTTGATTCAGCAAAACAAAAACTTATCCAGAGAGAATTCATTTAGTTTGTGGCACCAAGAGTGATGCGCTTCTGCTATGTAACTTCTGGCCAAATAACAGACTGAGAGAAATTGAGAGAGAGAGCCTAATTGTGATCTCATGCCAGTGAAAGTTAGTTAGCTAGTTATAACTCCCATTAATAGACAGAACTATTGTAGTTTAAAATCAGGTCTGGGCTATTATATTGCTAAATCTATTACCTAATCTGTATGGTAAAACATCGAAGTTATATATGAGAGAGCAAGTCAGCCTAATATTCTCTTCCTCATCTTAACTCCTGTTAGTTCATAATTCTAATTCAAATCCTAATGATTAAGATCATGAAATAGCTTTATGTCAGATTTTATCACTAAGAATCAGATTTTTTATTAAATGAAATCCAACTGTAACAATACTGTCCAAAGAAATTCTTTACGTACACCACAGCAGTGTTAGCTCAGGAGATAACACCTAAAAATAAATAATAAAAATCAATGAGGACATCTAGTAAGGTTTTTTAGGTGCCCAAAAGTTAAAGAAAGGAAGACACAGCCCATCCTCCTGCCAGTGCAGGAGTGGAGAAGCAGGTCACAAAGCAAAGGAGTAATCATCACGGCTGTATCAACTGAATACTTGGCTTCAACAGTACTGCAATCATCGGAGTGATGTATGGGAAGAGTTGAATGTGATGTTATGTGTAAGCATCACCTACAGACCTTAAAGTCATTGGGACCACACAGAGTGCTTAAAAGCCCCATATAACAATGAGCACCTTGAGAGAAATGAATGTCAAATGTACAACAGCTTTAAGACAGAGAGGAAGAAGAGCTGAACTGTAATGCGTGCCTTGAACTTAATATGTAAAAAAAACAACTGTGCTTTAAAAACAACTCAGGGGTAATTTTCATTAATAGTCCTGACTACTCTGCTTAAGGTTGCTCTATATTCTATACTACTTAAAACAGATTTACTACTGTCATTTCCTTTTTTTCTAATAGAAAATAGAACTATCCCAAGTGCCTTTAAAAGGAAATACAGATTGGAACAGTTTACTACGAGGAAGAAAATTAAGCCCATGTGCTCAAAGGCATCCACTGGAAAAAAGCCAAGCTCAGCTGCCTCACTGAAAAGTCTCATGGCACTGTTAACACAGCACTGGGAATAAAATGAATATATTGCTGATATCTCAGATGCCTGAAAGCTTTTTACATGCTGAAGGGAATTCAGCAGTTAGGAACCAAAGTACGGGGAAGAAAATACAGAAGGTAATACAATTTCTAAGCAAACTTTGAACATGAAATTGCTCAATCTGCGTATGCAGGAGCAGACATACCATTGCTGTCACATTTTTGCGTATCACGGAAACATCAGCCGAATCACAACCACCTGAATGGCTCTGAAAGAGCCAGAATGAGACTAATTAGTTTCATTCTGCAAAAAAATACAGTTGAGCAGCAAAAAAAAAAAAAAACCACCCATTTCTAATGATGATGATTATTAAACTCTGTTTTAGAATTTCTGATACAATTCTGACAAATGGCTGTCTGCATAACCACAGGCAGAAATATAAGAACATACAGATCTAACAGAAGGCTGCATATGCAGAAACAGCCCTGGTTAAACAGAACTGCTGATGGATTCAGCTGGGCTAACAGTGGGAAGGACATCAAATCAAAAAAAAGTAACCCTTTTTGAGAACGTGAGGGCTGCAGCCTGTAGTGTATCACACTGGCTGTGTAGGAGCCAGTTGAAGTCCTGTGGTGGGAGACTGAGGGTCAAAAGGGGAGGACAGGATGGCCTACCTCATGCCAGCCCTGAATCAAAAACCAGGCTGGGAGAAGTCAGCAGGACCGCAGTTCCATCTCTGTCTTCTGCTTGCCAGAGACAGAAGGACACATGGGTGTGAGCGGGCTGTCACACACCCCAACCCCTTCTTCTGCATGCACCTATGCACCTGGAAGACTATGCACACACACACACACACACACACACACACACACACTCAGAAGAGAACTTCAATTTCTGCCTGGGAAGAAATACAGCTGAAATTCAGTGGTGAATGAGGAGGAGGTTTTACTCAACATTAGTGACAAAAGTGTATTAATAGTCAGGGGAAGAAAAAAAAAAAAAAGGTGTCTGAGCCAGTGGAATCATCCCTGTCTGAAATTTCAACTGTTGTTGGGCATAAGCCTGATAGTCATTTTTCCATAGTGAGCACTGTAACATCAAAACACACTGCAAATTTATTACAGGCACAGTAACGCAATAAGCCTGATGGAAAAAGGAAAAATTGGTGCTGCTCAAAATGCTTTTATTTTCAAAAGCATGCCATTCTTGTCTTGAATGAATGGTGCTTTAGCATGCAGATGCTTCTATTTTTACAGCTTGCTAAATTATTCGCTCATCATCTGGCACGGCTGAAGCTGTTAGAAGAGCCATCCTCGTGCCACGGGCCCAGAGGCCACAGCTGGTTTTTCAGATTGCAGCTTCTCCCTGCTCACATAAATTCAGAGTGACGTGAACTCCCAGACGCTGAGCAAGCCGAGCCACCAGCAGCCAGTAGGTCCCTGAAGGCTGCAGGTTGGGTTGCTGCAACTCTGGTACCCTGCAGATCTGGACGCTCAGACTCACCCCACCAGCAGAGCAGGCAAACATGTTTTCCTCTCCACCTCCCTTACACATGAAACAATGCGAGATCCCTCCTTATTCCAACCATCTCAGAACGTGAGTCTGGTAACTGCCTGGGCTTCCTCAACAGTGGGGAAGAAAAGAGTACATCTGCAGCACCCCCAAGGCTTGGGCACCCGTTTCAGTTAGGACAAATTATCTTCTGCAGATTTCTCTTTTGATTGGCTATAAAAAGTGCGCAGACTAACTCAGAATGTCTGTTTACACTTTTGGTGATTAAAATGAAGCAGTGCGAATCCCATCTCTAAAGTCCAATTGTAAGCTATAGCTTTTCTTTCAGTTATTTACAAAAAAATTATGCTGTGCCCCATCACATTTTAAATACACCATAACAACAGATGGTTGCTATTGTTTACTTCAGCTACTGCTACTCCATTTTCCAATTATTTGTCAATGGCAGGAAAGAAATTAACATTATTAATGTTTCTGCATAGCATACCCATATTCTGATCTTCAGCATTTTTGAAAGATGCAATAGTGTTTGGATGCAGTGCTCAGGGAGAGTTGTTAGAATTGGGGTAGTATGGTTAGGTTGTGGACTCAATGATCTTTAAGGTCTTTTCCAACCTGAGTAATTCTATGATTCTAAGACTCACAACCTTTTTTCTCTTCCTGTGCTGACAGTTTTATAGCACTGTCTGAGGAGGAGAAGTGTTGCTCTGAGCTCACAAAGATTCTGTGGCAGTGCGGAAGTCCCAAGATACTGACCAGAGGAAGGATTAGACCTAATGATAAATGTCTTCCCTGGAAGAGGCTCCTCTTTAGCACTACTCTTCTGGAAGGTGATTTTACTTTTAGTTGAATAGAAAATTCAACTTAAATTAAGTTGCTCTTCCTGTAATACCAACTTTTCCACTGTCTCACTCTGGCTTCGAATACCACAAAGCAAAACTTTTATGGTTACCAAGCATTACACACTGCAAAGGAAGAAAGTTTGGCTCCACGAGTTTGAATTTTAGTTTCCTCAGGAAGAAACAAAATTACCACTCACTCCGTAACTTACAGCTGCAGAATTTGATGCCACCAAATGGAGAACAGGTCCTCCAGGCTTCTCTACCTTTCCCTGAAAACCTTACCACAAGGCCACTCCTTGCTAGATGTCCCTCCAGGTACATCTGGCCATCCCCAAGGCTGACACTTTACACCCATGTGGCCAGTGGATCCCCTGACTCGCTTCAGAGGCAGCCTCAGGCAGGAGCCATCTCACCCCAAAAACCAAGAGATGGGGGATGCTGGAGGCAGCGAGAGCCCTGCCATGCCCTGCTGGCTTTCTGACGGGGTGAAGAGGTTCCCTTCACATTGAGCAAACTGATTGGCTTGCTGGGTCTTCTATTATTTCTTCTCTCAAACTACAATGAGAGCTGTGCTGTCACCCCCCTGTGAGCGCCTGCCAAGAGGTTCCTCCTTATGGGCTGCTGTGGGTGGACAATGAGGAAAGCTGATGAGGACAAGCAGCCCTGCTGATCTGGAGAACACACGAGATGAAGAAATCACTGCATCTTTCCAATTACGTCCAACTTTTTATCATTCTCTGAATTGAGGACTGAACCCATCCAGTCTTCTATGGAAAAGCTGTGATTCTTGCAAGCTATTTACACATGATAAAACAAAAAGGCCAAATACTGTTCTGTAACTTGAACCTAGCTTGTTCTCTGCACCTAAGCTCTTCCCCTCCACACCTCTTTCCTTCTCAGACTATGGCTCTTCACACTTTTTACCTTCTGAGGATAATCCCTGCTCCATGCTAAGAGAATGCCAGGTGGAATAGCCAAAGTCACATCAGGGAACGGGTTAAAACACAACAGCACTTGCCTTACAGACAGAAGGATTAATTAAAATATTCTGAGAAGGCAGCTCTCTTTTTCAGGTGCTTTCTCTGCACTGAAAAAGGGATGCACTGAGTTGAACAGTCTTTCAAGCCTAAAGCCAATGCACAGGGATGTAGGAAGAAGCCTTCATCTGAAATTTTTCATTTAACTGCCATCTATCACTTTTACCCATCTGAATCAAGGTCTCCTGTGTCATGAGCAGTCCAGAACAGCTGCCTTGAAGGACATCACACTGCTCCTGCACCAATGCACGTTCAGGGATGACTGATGACAAACTGGTGACTACAGAGGACTAAATTAAGACCTGAATGCAAGAGTGCCTCTGTGAAATTATGCATGAGTCAAGCCTGACCCAATCAGTTATAATGTGCCTTAGTGTCACTGGTGAAACAGAAATGATCAGAAGCAAAGACAGAGATGTCACAGCCCTACTGAACTTGGGGAAGACCTGACAAACATGCATGGGCAGGGCTGGAACAGCCACATAACCCACTTTAGGCTGAATGTAGGTTGTGCATGTCAGGAGTCTAGTGTCTCTCTCTGGTTAGATGAAGAAGATAAACCTCTCCCAAAGGTGATATAAAATATCTAAATTAAGGAACATTTAAGTTCCTAATTTGGATGCTCTGAGTTTCACTCCAGAGATGCTTCTCCTCACTGATCGTACACGAAGTGAAGCTCTCAATTTAGGCACATAACGTACTCCTAAATTAGGAAGGGAATTACTGAGGAGCTGTGAATTACTCCTCCCTTCCCTTCTCCCCTCTGGCAGCTAAACCTATCATGGCCAAATTCGGATCACAGCAATATCAGCAGCAATTGTGGAGTAACTTCACTCATAATAGCAGAAGCTCTAGATTGGTAGAAATGAAAATAGAGTCTGGTCTGTGATGCTGATATTCTTGACAGAGAATTACTAATACTGGAAAATTTGCTTCCAACTGAAAATCTCAAGAAAAAAAAAATCTCAATGTTTCTAATAAAATCCAGTGACTTACAGCTTTGTTTATTACTACACCACACGTGCAGTGTGGGGAAGCAACAGCATTTCATTTACAGCCTGCTTGTTCCACAGCCATTGTTGTAAAACTGCATGCAGCTGTGACAGGGAGAAACGAGAGTCAGACTGAGGAGCCTGGAAGGGAGCAGAAGATCAGTGTGACATGATAAATGAGACAAATGCCATCCTTGTATCTTACTGCCTGTTCAAGTTCTGCATGACATTTCTTAACTAAAAAGGGACTGTGCTTCTGGATCTCTGCAACTCTCTGCTCTCCTGAAGCTTAAAGCCCAATCCCTGTCTGCTGGGCAATTAAGGGTTAAAGGACCCTATCTTTACCTAGTGGGGTTTCTCAGCTTCCCTAGCAGATGTGGTACCACATACACTGCTTGAGGGAGGGACATAATTGGAATTTCAGGATACTTTTAAAATGTAACATTTAAAATGCTATTCTGGGGATTCACTGTGTATTTGACTTTGGAATGTTTAATTTGCTAAGGGAGATGCTTCTTCCTTGGCATGAAAACACAATTATTAAAGCTCATTTCATTATTTTGAGACCGATAGCACAATTAGGTCCACTGTTTAACATCCCATTGCAATGAATACAATGAAATTCTCTAACGATTAATATGATCTGTTATTTTAAATAATCATGCTGAACCTTATTTGCAGTACTTATTAGCTTTGTAACTTCCATATGAATACTGGACCTCTAGCTGTGAAGCTAACTTTGGAGAGCTGCAAAGCGTATACAGAATATTTTTGTCCAATTGCTTTGGGGACAATTATTCTGCAAACTGGAGCCTGCAGTTCTGCATTGCACCCCATCCTTAAAGAGACTGCCTCCCAGCATTTCTGACCAGCTGTTAGGACACTGAGCTCCTCACACTTGTATGAAGCAGCACATGCTTTCTAAGTCAAAAAGGCAGCCAGGAAGATGTGAAGCAGAAAGGATGGCAGCCTGCTGAACCCAGCCATCAGAGTTCTTTCTGGATGAATCAACCTAGCTGGAAAGAAACTCAAAAGGTGACCATGAAGCCTGAAGACAGCTCACAGCCCTTCAGGGTACAACCTCTTTTCCCCTTCCCCTTGTACCACTATAAGCTGCAAGAAGCTTGAAATGGTCCTAAGTCCCAAATAACCCCCACAATACACAAAGAAACACAACTTCTGCATGGCTGTCTGTAAAGCAAAAAGCTGCATTTCCCCAGCACGGACCACTCAACGCCCTCGTGCCCATCTCCTTTCCTCTCAGCCTTCCCCACTCAGTGCACAGCCAGCTCCTGTTGGCACCTGGATGAACCCTGCCGTGCTGAGAGCTATGCTCAGAGGGCAACCCACAGTGAACCCAGTGCCCCACAGCATGCCTGGCTGGACACTGCACTTCAGTGCTACTGTCTTCATGGGCGTTATTACCCTTACTACATGACAGCAGGAGTGGTTCCAGCTAGAAGTACTCTGATTCACAGCGATCTGTTGCCCAGGACACAGCACACAGAAGCCCAGCATAGTGCATCTGCTATTTGATGTGGTCTCTACCATCCATACCGCATTTATAGACTCAAGGCAGAGGAACCAAAAGGGCAGTGTCCATGGAGCCTATTCTCCCTGAGCCTGAGCCACACAGGAGTACACAGCTCATCCCTCCACAGAGTAAGAAGCCAGTCCCCTCCCAGTTCTTCATTACCAGTGAAGGAATAACAGAAATGAAGGCATCTGGCTGCCAATTCTTGTTTAGCTACTTTCCTCATCAGGAATTGTATAATCAATGAACGTACAGATGTTATACTTATGAAATATACCAGAGAGTACGGCTACACAGTTGTTATACCAAATCAGAATAGGTAGAATGCTTACCTGTATCCTGGGCTCACTGCAAAACTCCAGAGGAGGGATCTCCAGAAGAGATCCTCCCCCCCCGGCAGTCAGCTCTTAAATGGGCCTTAGGAGAGGTGCAGCCAGGCTCCACCCTTCCGGCAGCACAGGAGAATTGCCTTCACCTGTGCTCCCATGGCTGACTCAGCGCTCGCCTCAGGTGATCAATCAGAGGTTCAGGCCGTGATCCAGCAGTTCCCATACAGGAATTCATGCAAGCAGATGTATCAGATAGGAAAAAACAGAAACACATACGTGTTCAGAAGTGAAGGCAACCAGTCTGGGAATAGCTGCCATTCCTTTTTCTTTAACTTCTGGGAACATCTTGAAACGTGCAATCAACATAGCATACATGTTAGATATGGCACCACCTGGAGTCCACAGTAATACACTGTTACTTTTTCTATGCAGTGTAATATCATTGCAGTATAAACGATAAGTTTTGCTATGGTTTTCCTAACTCTCCTGTTAACATATCTGTCCCGTGTCAGAAACGTGCATTCTTTCTCCTGATGTTCCACAGAGCTGGATTGTACAATAACAGGTCTACTACACACAGGGAACAATTTATGCATAAAACACTAGTGGGAAAAAATGATTGAGGTTTCCTTTTATCTTCTTTTTTTGTCACCATTTTTCCTTTAGTCCCTAGTTTTATCTATGTGCCACCTATACATTACAGCCAGTCCATGCCAAGCACATCAACAAGGCAACTTTGTGAGCGGCTTCTGAGTGTGACCTGACCTGTCCTCTCCCTCCTGAAGCAGGGTGATGCTTCACACCCTGGCAGTGAAAAAGGAAACCTACACTGTGTACCAAGAGACACTGCCTTCTGAATAACTGGAGTAGGAGAGGGAGGAGAAAGGAAAAAAGGGTCATTCTAATAAATACTTTTCTTCTTATCTGTTTTCCAGTGGGAGTGAGGGGAAAAGGTTACCTCTCCCTTGCACTACTGTTAAAATCACCGATGTACACTGCTTTTAAACACCCATGTAAGCATCAAATGACAGGTCTACAGTATTTCATTCCTGTATTTCAATTATCAATGCACAGATTATAAACATGCTCTTTATTTTATGGTTCCAAGACTGTTACTGAGTCTCTGCGTCTACAGCCAAACTGTATCTGGCTGCACATTAACACTGCATGAGCACTATGGGAATATAATGCAGGCAGAGGCCTAAGGCAGAGTCCAAGTACTTTCACATTACACACACCACCACACACATAAACATACATGTACACATAAAACCCAACAGCTTTATCCTGCATATATAGTATACGCATATACACACACATACAGATGATTGTGTATTTATATTTATGCACATATATTTATAAAACAAAAAGGTGTACACTGATCATGGTTTTAGGTTTTTAAATGAACAGGTCCAATTGCTTCCTAACTTTCATCCACCTAAGGATGGAGGAGCACAAGCAAGCACTGCCAGGGAATGGCTCAGCTCATCCCAAAGGTAGCTGGGCTATGGCAGCTGGGATGACATGCACCATGCACACACACATCCACTCCCTCCACTGAAGAAATGGGAATTGCTGTATCAAGCCCAGGGTGTTGCCCTTCTCTTCTACCCAAGGTCCCTGGCTCTAGGCTCTTCCTGTCCTCAGCCCCAGTGTGACAGCTGGTGACCCTGTCAAAGGGGAATGGCACTGGGGGCACAGGACTCAGAGCAGGTTGGGGGCTGCTTCCTCCTCTCCTTACAGTACCTTGGGAGGTACGAGCATGCTTCTGTACCTCCTTCAGCAAATGAGGTAACATGACATGGAGAGAAGTTAAGGGAAAATATTCAGGTTCACATCCCTAAAATATGCAAACATCATGCAGCAGCTACTGTTGATGATTTAGATGAACTAACGTGTCCAGGTGGAAGAAATTTGGCCTATCTTGTCCAAAGTCAGTGGGCTCAGCATCAAAAGAATCAAGACTGAAATGTTAAGTTGCTTCAATGCTGGATTTTCCTAGTATTTTTTATCTACTCTTTTAACCCTAAAAACTTATGAACAATAAGCCTGCATTCTGTCTTTAATTTTGCAGCTCTGTTTACACTCACCATTAATGGCAGACAACAAAACACACCAATAAAATCTGAAGACCCTTGTCAGGCCTCTGTGTTCTGCGTATGCAGTACACAGGAACAAGATGTAAGCTCATCTCTTCTTCCACCTCTGCAGAAAGGACCAACCCCAAACTCCTGCAGCAGCTCCTACGTGGGCAGCTGGATGCCCGCAGTCAGCTGCTGATGAGCCCTGCTGGAACTTTTGCACTTGGATTCCCAACAGCCCAGGCTGTTATCCACAAGGTCTTTCTTCTGCTTGGTATTTAGTCCAAATGCTCTTTTCCCCTCCATTAGGTCTCTGAGCTTTCTTTCCAGAAGAGCTCCTACCCCAACTATCAGTCTGTTCTCTTTTGACTCACCAAGACGCTGTGCCCAATGTAAATTCTTCTGATCTTTTGCAATTTGGGGAGATAGATGGGCTAAAATATTTAGGTTCAGTGACAAAAGATGTGAAGCAAAAGACTAGGTGGAATGAATAAAATGAAAGCCTTAAGAATGCAGTGTCTCGGTGTCAATGACTTCTCCACAGGCACCACAGGCATTTTTGCCTTACTGATGTGCCCAGATGGAAGCAGGTCTGAGCCTCCAGACACTCAGATGAAGGAGCCCTCTGAGGTCCCTGCTGAGCATCATGGCCAGCTCATACATGGAAAGCTAACTGCTTACTGTGCTGTTGGTGGGACCCTAACTAACCACTGAATTTACTTCACGGGATGTCCTATTTTTACCTCCTTGCTCCAATTCCCCCTTTGGTGATGGGCAACATTTCTTCTCGCTGTTTTAATACAACGCTCTTTCTGTTTCATGTACTCTACAAAAAGTGGGGGCAAGGCCAATGTCTCTTCTGATTATGTTTCCCATGTGCCATTACAGCTGCTCATAATGCAGTGCAATTTGCTCAAACAGACCCTCTTAATCACATCCCTGAAATTCAAAAACATGCAATGCTTTATCTCAGAGAGAGGCCACTAGTGGTTATTAGCAAGCGTCCTCGTGAACATGCATATTTAATTATGTTTACTCTTTAACTACAGGGGATGTCACATAGCATAGTCCAAAAAGCAAGCTTGAAATATCATGTACCAGGTGAAAATATCCCATCGCCACAGCCCCCCGGCCAGCCAACCATCTCTCTCATTTTCCGTAGCGTGACATATTCCAAAAGAACAAACACTGGAGCAATTTCATAGGTGAACCTGAAACGCAGTAATGCTCACATTTAATGCTTTCATCTTCAACTCTAACACATCTTTTTCCAATACTGCACTACATGATAGCCTCAATATACTCTATCTCATATTGAATAGAGTCCTGTTTACAATACTTTTGATAACCCCCCTCCTGACTTGATGTCAGATATTTGAAATATCTGACATCAAGTCAGATGACAGATGTCAGATAGCTCTGGAGACTCCATTTCCACCCACTTCAGTGAAACTGCTCATACCCACCTCCTCCAGGCTCGAGGCTCTGCCCTGAATTCAAGAGCTGCTGGCCCAAATCTTGATGCACACACATCAACAGCCCCGTTCATGACGACAAGACAGTGCATGGAGCTAAACACGTGCACAAAAATGCTTCCGAGCCTCAAAGTGCAAAAAATTACCAAAAATGTTCTAAATTCTGCACCTCTTTCTTATAGGAAGCAATGCTTCTAACTGCTTGGTGTATGAGATGTACCTAATTCCTATAGTTAAATGCAACTGTTCTCTTAGCAAAGCTTTCATTTTACATACTTATGCATGCAAAATACTAAAATAATTTTTCTGTACAATTCTGGGGAGGTTAGCAAAGGAAAGCTCTGACATCATATCTCTATGATCAAATTTCAGTGCCTATAGAATGTTATGGAAAATCGTCATGCTGCTAAATGTCAAAATCATTTTAAAAGCAGACAATTGTTTTTCCAGCAACCTTAACATAAAAATTTTCTTTCTTTCATTCAGCTACAGCAGCTAATACTGTACAATACAGCCATAAAATTATATTAAATATCACAAAAAATTTCTTCTACTCACATATTAGTGTTTGCTGCTGATGTCAGCCAATCTGCTGCCAACCCAACCATGTCCAATCCAGTTGAAAGTTGATTAAAATATCTAGGATGCCCTGCATAAATGGAAAACGTTACCGGGAGTCAGATGACTGGAACTGTTCAGCCCTGAGCAGCACGGTTACCTCGGGGTTTCTATACCGAAGGAAGTCCTTTCAAGGCACGAAACAAAGCAAACAGCAATAAATGTATGTATTGGAAAAGGCAGGATTTTTCTTCTTTCTCATTCCAAGTAAAATCAGAGTAATTTCACTGATGCAGACTAATAAATGCCAGCATTCCCCATTATCCTCTCAACGTGCCTTGGAGATGAACACGACGCTGCCTCGCACAAACAGCGGCTCGCTCCTGCTCGCGTGTCACATGCTGTCACCGAATGGTTTGTGCCTGGCTGGCTCTGAAAGGCGCGCACGAGCCACCATCGGCGGGGCTTGCCAGGACATATAACATCAGTGATGAATAGCTAACCATTATAATAAACGGGGCAAAACGAGAAAATGGAACACTTTGGTGACTGCTTTGCTCACAACTCAGCGGCAGATGATCGCATGGAGATGGCGGGGACGGTGGCGGTGCTCGTCAGCTCTTCTCTGCCAGCCTGCAATTACACGCAGGCTGCCTGCAATTGTGGTTTTAAACAAAACCAGCACCGCTGCCACATCGGGATGCAGTACAGGAATATCCTCAATTGGCTGCAAGTTCATTTATGTTGTTAATCTATTTGGCTCCTGGTATTTTTCCAAAATCCCCCTGGCGATTTTTCTTAAAAACGTGCCCAGAAAGATTAAAACAAGAACAGAAACCATCACAGCTCAGTTTTTCCTACACACACTCTGCAAAGCTCTGTTAAATGGCACAATTACCGATACAATTACGGACGGGTGACAATTATCTGAATGCTGTCCGATGGGAGGAAGAGCCTTCAAAGCACCTGTCCTGCCCCACGGACAACATGCTGCTATGGCCGTCACAGAAAACAAAAGATGGAGCAGGATGATTGAGGGAAGGCAGAACCAGAGCTGAGGGAGAACTTATCTCTGCTTGCCAGCAGTCCCTTATCAGGCACGGACATGAGATCACAGCAGCACGGGGACTGCCCCCTCCCCACAGCACACAACGATACAGCCAGGCTGTGGGACAGAGCAGTGTGGGGTGGGGGGCATGGAATCTCGTCTCCTTCCCCTGAGACACCCCTGGTGCTGCCTCCAGCCATGCTGTGCCCCAGCAGAGTACAGCTGGCACTGCACCCCACAAGCACTACCCTGGATGCATGCTCACATGGGGTGGGTGGCTCCCTACGTGCCCTACTGCTGCCACCAGAGCTACACATGGCCACAGCACCAGGGCTCTGTACTTCCCCTGTGATGGCTGTTCAGTTGGTTTTGAGATTTCAGTATTCACAGCTTGGGCTCAGCATCACAGCCAGGCTCCTCACTGGCTCCCACATTCCGCTCCTAAAGAATTAGGGTGTGAAAGAGGAAGCCCTGGAAGACTCCCAAAGACCAGGAAAACTCTCTCTTTGGAGCTAAACCCAAACCAAAAAGCTGAGGAACAACAGAATTCACATTTGCAGCCCCGGTGTCTCAGCAATGCTCTGGCAGTACCCAGCCCCAGATGACAGCTCTGTGTCACTGCTTATTTCTCTAGCCTCCTGCTTGGGTATCTGCGAACCACACGGGTGGAATGTGGAGCCACATCCCAGAACTCTGACTGTAGGAGCATCACCTCCCAGCAGCGATATCTCCGGAGCACAAGTTGCTGCTTGCATACTGCTTTTCTGCAGGGCACACTCAGCACAGCGGCAAACCCACCCCCTAGGCTGACCCCAATCCCACTGCTGGGCTTTTTTCCATCTAAGTGACACTCTGATGCGTGAGCAAGCTGCGGAAAATTGCGGCTTTGCTTACAAGCCATGCTCCAGGCAACAACAAACAGCCTGTGAGGGGCTCAGAGTGCACGTCTGCCTGTGCAGCCATCACCGAACAAAGGGGTGACAATGGGGAGAGCCCCTCAGAGCCCCCCCAACACCTGCCTCTCGAAACAGACAGCAAAGCTATGTATTTGTTAGAAATTCTTCCTCCAAGGGCACGGTGTGCATTCCACTCCAGAGAAAGGGGCTGGGTGTAAACCCCGCACATTTCAGCCCCACAAGGGTCACTCCTCCAACCAGGGGAACGCTGTTTGCATTACAACAGCAGCAAAGAAATGCAAGGGAGCAGCCTCCCATCTGTATGCCAGGGAATAGTTAACATTATTCTGAAGACAATTCAAAGAAGAATGACTATCACACCGCAGGTTAACGAAAATCGCTGTAAGAATTCTGCGCTTTGGTTCCAGGGACCCTCAACGAGTGGGGAAGGCACTGCCCATGCCCTGCACAGACCCACTGGGAACACTAACCTCTGCCACTGCTCTGTGGGTAGCACCAATCTCACCATTCATCGCAGTGTTTTACCAACATTCAGACAGCACTGGACCGTCCACCACTGACACACGGCTGGGCACGGCCATCACTAACCCACAGCATCACAAAGAGCCCCGATCGCCGCTGGGATCAGGCTGCTCCTACAAGCCGACCAAAACGCACGCAGTCTCCCTACAGCCCCCATTCACTCATCAGCCTTTGTCTCTCCCAGCAATCGGTGCACGCTTATTTTTAAGCAATTTCTCAGCAATTCAAATTCTCCCCAAGAGCTCTGTGCACTCCGCTTTATCTCCCAGTCTCAGCACTAATCGCCGCTGCGCTTTCTGTCTGTGTTTAAGGTGGCCCCGGAGCATGGCCGGGCAATGGGACACAGCTTCCCAGTGGAAATAAAAAAAAGGGCAATTCAAGCAATTTAAGCTTTGTTTCTATTCTTAACCCTAAAGTAATAATAATAATAAAAAAAATTCTGCAGAGAGCTTAGACACATTTCTAATTTTAAGTCCTTACACAAGTGAAGGGACAGAGGTGGCAAACAGCCACCCGGAGCCCCGTGGACTCCAATCCACGTTTGCTGGACTGGGGCTGCTCCTTGGGAAGGTCCCTGCACTGCTGCCCTAGTCCAGGGGAATTAAGACACAGGCCTGGCCCCCACCAGGCAAAACAGAGAGGAGGAAAAAAGGGGGAAATCAGAGGATTCGTTTTAAATGAGAAGGGGTGAGCGATGCTGCACCGACAGCCCCAGGGCTGGAAACAGTCCCTGCTCTGTCAGAAACTGCCTGGAAATAGCAGAGCTCCAGGGTTGCTCCGATTTGTAACGCTGCGGGACACAACGAGATACCACTTCCATCAGTGCAGCCGTACCTGTCTTAATGGCATACTTGAGTGTAGTCCTGCAGTTCAGGAGGATTTCTTCCAAGGTCTGCGGCTGCTCCGCCAGCTCCCAGTTGTACTCCTGCAGCAGCTCGTTGGGGTAGTGGAAATCGATCACTTTTGTTGATCTGTCGAAACTTTTCACCACGTACTGCAGCAGAATGTCCACCACATCCTGCAGGAAGGACAGCGTCGCTGCCTCCCCGTCGCACGCTGGCAGCAGGTCTGGGGGTGAAGGGGGAAAGTTAACACTGCTGCGGGACTGCACGGATCCCAAGCTGCTCCTTTTGTGTCTGGGAGATCTTTTTGTTGTGTTCAGCATAAAGAAATTTTACTTTGATTTGTTAAGGAATGTGAACCGTGTTTCAAGGGATGTGCCAAGGGATGCGGTCAGGTTTTCGTTTCCCCATCTAAAAATAGCGGGTTTTGCACCCAGGATATTTCAGATCAATTTCTGAGACAGCAAGAGATGGCAGGTGAATGGGGAAAAAAAGGAAAAACGAATTTCGGGAAAAAATGGGAAGTTGGTAAACAGGAAGATAGCGGCCGCACGCAACCCCCGCCCCGCCATCAGTGCGCGATGGAGCCCTGTCCCCGCAGCCCACAGCTGGCTGGCAGCACGGTGCTGCGCTCCGGGCAGTGCCGCGGCCGCGCCGTCCCGCAGCAGCACGAGGCGGGAGGCTTTGCTGAAGGGCAAAGTCACCGTGAGCTCAAGTAGGGTTCCTCCTCCCCGCAACCCACCCCCACCACCACCCCCACAGGGTCCGCAGCGGGAAGGTCGCTCATCCTCACAGCGAGAGACCCTCAGGCTCCAGAGCGCCGCGTGTTCATTTTTATTGCGTTCGGGAACCCTCTCGTTCTGTACTTCCAGCGGCTGCGCAGCGGTGCGGGGCTCGGTGCCCTGCGGAGCCGCCGTGTCCGAGGCCGCCGCGGAGCGCCGTTACCTGTTGAGTGCAGGAACGCGTAGTTGACGTCGGCTCTCCGGCAGCCGCAGGGCTTCTTGTCGCAGGTGCAGGTGGGGCAGGATGGCCGTGGCTCCGCCGCCCTCGGGGTCGCCCTGGCGCCGGGATCCGCGGGCTTCTCGGCGTCTCCGTAGAGTAGCGCTTGACAACGACAAGGGGACGCGCGCTCAGCGCCGCGGCCCCCGGCCCCCCTCCCCGGCCCGAGGCTGAGCCCCGGCGCCCCGCAGCCCAGCCCTTACCGCACAGCTTGTTGCCGATGCCTCCGGTGAACTTCTGTGCCACCTGGCACCAGGCTCTGGCTGCAAGACATAACGGAGCGGGGGTCCGCGGGTCGGGCGGGTGTCTCGCCCTTCCTCGGGACCCCCCTGGCCGCCCCGGTCCCGCAGCTCCGGGACCGACGTCGGGCGCCGCGGTTCCGTCGGGTCGGCTCGGGCCGGGCCCGGCCGCTCTGCGCCGCCCTACCTGTGCCGGGGCTCTCGGCGGCCGCGGAGCCCTCCTCGGTCCCGAAGGGCCAGAAACCGGAGCCGGGGCTCGCCATGAAGGAGCCGAAACGGACGAAGAGCTGAGAGCTGCAGCCCGGGCAGCCCCGAGCGGGTGTGCGCGAGGGCGAGAGCGCGGCCGTGTGAGAGCGCGCGGCTGCGCCGGGTGGCGGCGAGCGGAGGGGGCGGGAGCGCCCCGGGCACGCGTGGGTGGGGGCGGCTCCGTGGGCGCCCCAGGACGCTCCCTGCAGGAGCGGCGGCCGTCCTCGCCGGGCCGGGCCGGGCCGTTCCTACGGCTCGGGGGGAGGCGCTTCGGCGGCGGCGGCGGGATACCTCCGGGCGGGCACCGACGGGACGGGATGAACGGAGAGCACCGGCACAGCGCTGGGTGGAGCGGAGGGCGTTCTCTCGCACCGCAGCTACGGTTGTGCAGCCCCGAGAGGAGGGCAGGGACACCTGTCCCCAGAGCGGCGGGAAGGCTTCCCCTCTGCCAACGACCCGCGAAGCGCTGAGAAATCCCCGTCTTCCCTCGCCCTTTCCCGGGGCACCCCCCGCGGCTGCAAGCGGGCGACTGGGGCGGGGCAGCCCTTCGCTTCTCTCCCGTCGCCGCCCTAGGAATGAACACCCCGCTGCTCCTCTCGAGCCGCCGCTCCGCCGCCCAGCCCCTCGGACCGCGCCGTGCGCTGCTCTCGCACACCCGGGTCGCACCCGCGCCCCGCGAGCTGAGCCCCAGGGCTCAGCCTTGGCTGCGCCTCTCGGCGGGGACGGCGCGGCGGTCCCGCTGCCCTGTTCTGTCGGTGCTGAGGCCCGGGCAGCCGCGTCCCTGCCTCGCGCATTGTTATTAACGGTACCGTTTGAATAGTATTCGAGAAAGCAACTTTAACGCAGATTTTAAAATTTAAATGATTTATCGCAAATTTTACATCGCAGCACGTTGTAACCCGGTGCTGTGGCACTGCTGCCGGTGAGAGGTCCGGAGGTGATGGCGGCCCACCCCTCACTGAGGGCTGTGTGTGCGGGGGGACAAAGCCCCAACCTGTGCTATTGTAGCCTCTATGGAGCGCGGCAGGGGCACGGCCAGGCCTTCCCGCTAGCTTCCCAAAATCTGCCTCCCCTTGTAGTTACAGCTGGCAACATGCAATTATGAACCCTGAAAGGAATAACGGCAATTATCTGCATAATAAGGCAAAATATGGGCCTGTGAATAAGGAATCAGGGGAAATTTTGAACACGGTGGCTATCGCCTTTATTTCCATTTAATTTCTAGTGGAACTGATTAAGAATGATCATTACATTTAGGCAGCAATCAACCGGAGAGCATCTTTCTGTTCCTTTCTTGGCACCCCAGAGATTAAGGTTCCTAAAAATCTAATGCAAAGCAGAACAAAGCAAACATGATCCAAATGCTCTGTTAGTGACGGGGTGAGAGCTGGGTCCTTCCATCCTCCGACATCTCCAATGCTACATGCAGTGCTAACCTTTATTGCTGGCCACTGGCTTACAGGAAAGTCAGTAGTGAAATAAACTGCTACAGAACGCGATCAATTAATCATTTGTTTTCATTAGAGGGACATATACCACATAGAGCTTATCCCAAAATTTAGGAACTGTAAACCTAAAATAAATAGAAATTCCCCTGTGATGTCCTTGTCATTTATTTCTTCCTGTAAAACAATTTACTAGAAACAATAACTAAGGTTTTCTGGAGGTGCCTATGGGATTTTGGAGGCTTAATGAGGAAATGATAAACTAAATGGTTTATTTTAATTGGGTAAGAGTGATTAAATGCAGAGAGAAAAACAACATGCACCGAGGAAGGTAGCCTACATTTAGGCTGCTTAATGCTTAATAATTTTAAGATGCAGTAGTGGTATCTGAAGGAAACCTGATTCCTTATTTTTCTAAAGGTATATGCCAGCAGTGATGGTGTCCCTTTGCATCGGTGTTGGGCTGTAAACTACAGTAATTCGTACTGACATGAACACACATGTTGTAAACCTGAAATGTCAGAGATTTAAAAAAAAAAAAAAAAAAGAAAAAAAAGGAAGCATGTGGTATAAAATGATAAAAAAGATGATGCTAATAACAGCAAACGGCAGCGGGGCTAGAACTGCTGGATAAGGCGCCGGCGCTGCGAGGTCTTCCGCAGCAGCCTCCGGTAGTCATAGGGATTATCTTCTGCTTTGCTTTCTTCCAGGGAGCTCTCCGCAACCCTTGACCTAGGGATTAAGTGCAGAAGTGTTTCAGGGATTGAAATGAAAACGTTTACCTTGGCAAACACTCCTAATCGGTCGCTTAACTTCCACCCTCAAGACAAAAACAGAAAGAAAACCCAACCGTGCTAGGCCTCATCCACCCGTGCTGCAGGAAGCAGCGCCTCAGAACAAATGCAGCTGAGATGAACGCAGAACGTGTTCTTCTGCAATGGGGTCACAACAAAGGGCACAAGGCCACCGAGAACATGTTGTGCTATTTCTCATCCATATAAATCCGACCTTGCATTATTTCACAGCTTTCTAGCCGAAGAGTGAAAGATTTGGAGTAATTAACAGCCCTGGCAAAGCATCATTTAACAAGTGAAGTGATTCCCTCACATGATGTTTAATCCCGCACCTTCACAGTGCCATTCTACAATGGACGTAAACATTGCCTGTAAAGTGCCAAAAAGTAAAACAAGCAACAAACACAGAAAGCTCTACCAACATTTTTGTTATTATTTTGGATATGTTTTTAAATCCAGCAGTCATCCTGGCGTTTTCTTTACATTTTTACTTGGATGCTTTGCAGGTTTCTCTTATATATATGAAGATACAAACGGAGCCATAAATAAAATAAACGTGGATGTTTTTGTATGCGCAATCTGTGCCTGAGCATTGCTAAGAATATGAATTTTCTGTGCCCAGCAGAGGTCCCCCTCTATGAAGTCTGTGTGGGAAGAGCCACCCTGCAGAGCTCCTCTCCCGACTACCCGCTCCAGCGGTGCTGCCACAGCCATGAACACAAACAGTGCTGTGGGACAGCAGGAGGAGGCACTCAAGCAGGGGCCTTATCTGTGGAAAGCAGGTGAAAAATTCGGCATATGTCCAGCTTTTTGGAAGCTGAAATGAGCCAGGTTCTGCTTTAGCTGGATCTGATTTTCGATCAAAGATTTACAGCAGGAGTCTATCTCATCTGTAGCTTTGGAAGCCAAAACAGGTGGGCAGGCTGGAGATAAACCATGCTATCATTTGTGCCTCCAAATGAAGATGGAAAATTTTCTGCTATCCATATTCCAAGCGAATTTAGCAAGATTCAACAAATAAAAAAAAATAGTTTGTCTAATTTGTTGTGGTTTTGTTTTGTTTTTTTAATGAACACGCACATAACATATTTTTTCTCTGCAAGGATATGCAACGTTTATTTGTCCTACTATGCTTTTCTGTAAGTTACCTCTCAGTAGTTCTTAAAGTTGAAGTTCTGCGCTCGACGGGATGTCTCTTCCTTTTTGTGGTAGAGCTGCTGTCCTTTGAGGTGGAACCAGTAGATGAAATTTCATGGTAGTAGATATCTAAATCTAGCACCTTGCCCAGACTGTCAATAAATAAGTAATCTAAGTCAACAATTCCACTTTTGAACAGTATATTGAACATTCAAAAGTAATACAACCAGGTATCATTTCTGTGTTGAGAATGTAAAGAATATATGTGAACATAAGAAATGATTCTCTGGAATGTAACTGCTGTATGATGCAGATGCTGACAATTTTGCAATGCCTAGGTACTTTCAGATGTTCATAAAGCAAACGTGTAACTAAAAAGGTCTGAGTTTACTACTGCATTCAGTAGGGACGCATGTTTATGTTACAATTCATCTGATATATTTTAGGCATCTCTCTTAGGGAGATATGAATAATTTTCCTAAAGATACCTATTTTTTTTTTCCATCTTACTATATGAAGAGAGTCTAAAGCAAACAGTTCAGATACTGGTGCCAATAATGCAGATGTCTGTATGTTTTTAGAATGTTAAAACAGAATGTAATATGTACAAAAAAAACCCACCACAATCCAAATATCCAGTTTAGAAAGGTTAGGGAAAAAATCTATCCTAAAAGTAACCTGAAGAAGAACCTTCAGAATTCTGTTCTCACAGTGGTAGAAATAACTTTGATTTCAATTGCTATGTTCAAATAATGTAGAGTCACCACACGAAAGAAGATGCTGTCATGGAACTGCTTAACCAAATTTAAGATAAGTGAAGCCAAACTGAGGCAAGATGGGAAAATTATTATTACTGTATTATTATTATTATTATTACTATTGTTCGCTAAACGTAATATAACTGTATTATTTTCAAGGTACAAACAGCACCAGAAGAGCTGTAACTTAGAACTGACATGGATGTTAAGTGAGTCCTTTAAGCAGTTGCATAATGAAGTGCAATTTAAAAAGTGGTTGAATGAAGCTATATGCACATATTAAGGGCATATATGTAATATAACTTCATTTAGGATATATTTTTTTGATATAGTGCTTGTATTCTGCAGCCTCAGCCAAGGATAGCACTGAAAGCCCATTCACACACTGCTCAAGTACCTTTCCTCTCTGAACAGGCTTCCATAGAATTACAGTGTCCCTAGGGAGCAACAGAAAAGCTGATGTATATGAACACAAATAATAGGGTGCTAGGATGTAAGGCAGAAGCTGTGAACCAGAGCCTAAAGCACATGTAAGAATCTGAAATACAGAAAGGCAGGGTGTATGTATTGTTTCCTTTATTTCTACAGAGATCTATCAAAACAGGTTAGTTACACGGTGAAGAAGAGATTTCTGGTTGAAATTTCAATGGCTACACTGCTTTACCTGTTATTATTATCTCACAGTTGTATTAATATCTTACTGTTTCCATTTTTTATTATTATTGCCAAACCACTGTATATTTTTAGGAGAAAATTTTAACAGTCTTTGTATTTTGGCTAACAAAAGAGAAGTGGTTGCTCATTTGCTTTGACTGGAATTTTAAGCACCTTCAATTATTTTCTGTGTCAGAACTATCTTTGCTGTGGACCTTATCTTAACTTATTATTGTGCTTGTGTTGCCATGGTAAAGGGCCATGCTGCAGTAAAACCAAACAACTGAATTCCATAATGGATTTTTGTCGCTGGAAATTGCATATTTAACTTTGTGTATGATGCCCTTCTTCTGAATCACCAAATTACCGTGCATTTTTAATGCTTTATTTCCCTAGTTGAAGTGCAGCTAAGAACTATGTCTAGACTACTAAAAAGACAATAGTGAAATAATAGAAAAAATTACCTTTCTTTTCTTGGTTTCCGTTTTTCATCTTGTATTGATTTCTAAAACAAACCACAGAGTAATTAAAGAAACACTAAGAAGAAAGTTTATGCAAAGATGCAATTCATCAGTATGCTTGGTGGGGGAAGCGTTGTGTATTTTTTGTTAAAAGAAAGTACACAGAACTTATTTGTGGAGTAACAGAGCAAGTGCACCAGCAAAACCTCAGCATCTTTGTGACTAAACATGTCACTGAGAATGTGTTAGCACTGGTACTCCCAAAAATCAGTTACCATGCTTCGGGAAAAAAAAAAATAACAACAACCAACAAAACAGTGGAAATTGAGTAGAATTTATGAATTGTACAATGCTTAGCCACTGAGAATCGGGGATCCTGATGGACACCTCAGTATGCAGGCAAATGCACAAGACAACAAGACATATAATTTCAAAATGATAGACTGATTTATAAAACAAAACAATAAAAGTCCCAAGTAAACTGTGACTTGCATGACCAATGGCTACCATCAGGTTTCACTTAATCTTGATATGCAAGATGAGTCAGAATGGAACTTGTCTCACATCTGTAGTGTGATGTGAAAGAAATACCTGCTTTTGTAGGAGGGGCCATAAGGCAAAGGAAATTAAAAAAAAACAACATGTTCTCATACTGTGCTTTAACTTTCAGGTAATCTGGGCATGATAATCATTACCCTGTAAGAGCAGTTGGTCATGGAGATTTTTTGGTAAGGCAGAAAAGCCATGAAAGATGGGAAAGCTGACTGCCTTCTGGTATCTCAAATCAGAGCTCAGTGTCTTGTCCAGAGTCCAAGAGCAGAAGAAGAGGTATGTTCACTTCCTAAGCTTCAGTACAAATTGATAGCGAATCTTTACCTCACCAGTAAATTTTAAAGTTCTAAAGGAAAGACAGACTTCCCTTTTTTACAGTTTCTTGAAAAACACAATTAATTGAAAGCAATATTAGCTAATATGTTGGAAAATTGCTGCTAAAAACTTGTTGAAAAAGTCTCCAACATCACTGCAGTTTTTGTTTGCACTGATGCGATGCCATTTTTCTGATACGGAGTTGGCTGCATAACAGATTTGTTTTCAGAAAATAAAATGTTCCTGCCTGTATTGCATCAGCTTTCTAAATAGGCATTTGCTTTAGAATTATACTGAATTATACTTCTCAGACATTTTACAATACAGAATACAGTGTCATGTCTTTCATTTCAGCCCTTTATCTTACCAATCTTGTTTTCACAAAACACATCTTAGTCTTACATACCAGTTTATTTTTAAGAATATCATTTCATTTTAGAATGCAATTGTTCCAAAGCTGTGTTATTTACAAGCCCCCATAATAAACCATAGCCGTATTTGTCTTTTTTGGCATGCCAGACACAAGTCTCCCTGCAGGCCCCTGTGACACCTTCTGTTGAAAGGAGAAGCAATTGCTACGGTTATTTTATTAGCTGGGCTCTCACCGGCTGCTAAAATAGGTCAGTAACATACAGGCACCTCGAGCAAATGAGTTTAATTGCTTTTCTGTTGGAAATGCTTTCTGAGCTGCTTTCACGCTTTCTCTCTTTTCGCTTACTTTCTTGCTTCCCCCCCATATATCAAGGGCACCAAAGTCAAGAATGGAAAGCAGACCTTGGTATCTGAACTTGGACCGAGGGCTATATATAGAGACCCTCAAATCCATTAGTCTCCTGAGCTGTTTGTATTTGCCAATTCCTTCATAATCACAATCTGACACATTTGTAAAGGAAGTTACAGTGTGCATACTAATACAGCCTATTTTAATATTTGCTCTCTCTGCAAGATCAAGCACTAATTTATACGCTCAAAATAGCTCTCCGAATGAACCTGCTTTTCCTCATGACTTATAACAAATCTACAGAGAGCAGGCACTTATTTTAGGTATTGAAAGTGCAAATGCTGCTTATGCATATTATAAATGTAGATACGTTCAGGTACAAAAGTAAATATTGGCCCAATTTAGGGCTCCAAGCAGAGTAACTGCACCTTACTAATTTCAAACCTGGTTTGAGATTTGATGTTTTTGCAGGGCACAGCTCTCATGCTGCATCAGAAATGAACACAAGAACTAGGCAATTAAAAAGTATTTTTAGGTGGGAATTATCTGGCAGTTTAAGCCCACAATAGCTTGCTAAACTCACATGTATTAAAGTGTAGTAGGTGGAGTCTTCAGGGTTATTTAATGTCTTGGGCTTCCGCGGCCTCCTTGGGGGTCTTTTCAGGGGGCGAGTGTCTTCTACTTTGGCTGTCACTGTGAAAAAACAGAAAATAGCAAAGCTTATTTCTTCATAGAATAGGAGGCTTCTATAAAGAGAGGAGGATTTCACCAGAGAGTAAAAAAACCATCCATTTAGCCACCTCTACTGCTTGCAGTCACTCAAGAATGCAACTGTTTGGAGCAATTCTGCAATCAGACTGGAAAGGAGAATGAATTTACTCATTTGAGCTCTGATGACCCACAAGGACACATGCCATGTAGTGAATGCCACTCTGGAGCATGCCAGCACTCTGCCTGGCATAGATTTCTCCTTAGTAGGGCTGTTGCTGCTCACTGAGAGAGAGGCTCTGAGGGGCAGCGTCTGTTGGAATGCCACCAGCTCATGACAGGGAGCTGTGCAGGGTTGTGATATTAATCACTGAGGTGCCAAACAGGAGAAACAGCATTAAATCTCTCCCTGATTCAAAGGCCGGACCTCTATGCTATCATGGTGCAGGTTTTCCCCAAGGTCTCCTGCTGAGGCTGTTCTGTGTGAAGTCAAAAAACGTACCACTGGGCAGTGTGACAATGCACATTGCACCCACTGCAATCTAATCTGCATTCTCTAGTTTACTCAACTCATGGACTCTGCTTTTGCAGAAATCTACAGAAATGGAAAGAATGTTTTCATTCTAAAGGAAATGAAACCAAGAATTTACACAAAACGGAAACTGCTGTCCACTAGTTGTCTCCCAGCTCCAGGCTGGATGCTGACTCATGGGCTGCACGAGTCCCTGAAAGAAGCCATCTCTGCATATATAATTGAAGATAGTGAGGGTGGAATAAATAGCTACCTGTCAATGAGCTAATGAAATGCATTCTGCTCATCTACTGTTTCATATGAAGCAACTCTGACTCCATAACCCAGATGTGCTAATTACACATCATCGCATCTCAGAAGGAAGAACATATTTTGTTCTCTAATGGCCACCAGAAACTCTTACACTGTTAAAATGAAACCTCTCCCCTGTACGTCAGACATCTTTTTAATTAAGGAGAAAGCACAATCATTTCAAATGAGAAATGGTCAGTAATGCATCATTGTTGACTCCTGCAAAATTAGCCATGTAAGTTTTTTGTTAGGTATGATAAATAAAGGCTTGTAAAGGTCATGGATATACAGAGGAGCCAGAGTGAATAATGTTCATTTAAATTGTAGTGGGATAATGATTACATTCATTGTCTTAGTTTCTTATCTGAAATGCAGACGGCTTCTCACATAATGAATGAAACAAGTACTTTTTAACATTTTGCAATGTAAGAGAACAATGGTGTTTTTCTAAGTCAAGGTACAGATAATTCCTATGAAACAATGAGATTCAGGTGCAATAAATTCATTTCACTAACCTGTATGAAATATAAATTACATTCTTTTATTTGAAATGGTATGGCAGGCCTGACTGTGCTCCACATGGGCTGTTGTTACTCTGCTACATTTCACGTGGGCCTCCTGGAGTTACCTGAGTTTCCCTTTGGGGACAGTAGAAGAAAACCTTCCCTATTGTATTTTTAAAACCAACAGGAGCCTAACTGGAAACAATACCTTAAAAAAAAGCAACACCGTAACAAAACCCACAAAACCAAATTAAAAAAAAAAAAAAAAAAAAAAAGCAAAAGCCACAACCCAAAACAAAAAGAAAAGCCCAATCCCTTAAAATTCTACATAACTCAAAAGAAACAACAAACTGCTTGTGTGTAGGACAAAAACTACATCAAAGATCCTGACTGCATGAAAATCTGAAAAAAGAACATGGAATCAAACTGTGGGCTCTAAGAAAATCTTGAGATTCCAATAATACTTATTTTTTTTTAATTTTCCCTTAAGAATTCATAAAATGTATGCTGCTACATCATTGAATTCATCATTGTCAAGCATATTAGAGCATTCTCTTATTCTATATTACAATTATTCCGACTGAAATTAGTTGTATGTTTCTCATATATTTGTTCTGCAAAAACATATTCCAAAAATCATTTTGACAATGGGGGTTTAGTAAAAAATAGCTTTTTATCTTGGCCTGCACACTGTGCATATCTATGAGCTATTCTGAAGAACTGAGGGGACAGAAGCATTATCCTGAGGCAGCCAGTCTTCTCAGCTCGGACATCAACCATTCCTTTATAAAATTACACAGAGAACAGAAAATGTCATTCTGAGTTTTGCCTTCAAATTACACAGTGGGTAAAAGAAGCTTGATGGATTTAGCTTACTTTGTTTCACCATAAAGTAAACTTGTGATTTGCATCAGTGCTTAGATTTGTGTGCTTGTTGCTACTGAAACACAGCTGATGTGGTAGTAGTTAGTTGTGGTATTGGACAATTCCCTGCACAGAGTAAGGTTTGCTTTTTGCTGCTACAAATTTGTAGCAGCAAATCTGCTTTCCAGAAATCATTTACTCAGTCAAGTTAAAGGTGGAAGGCAAATTAAATATCTAGGCTTGATAAATGGTCAGTTTGATGTGCTTGTTTTCCAGATGGTCTATACCTTTCTGCAGCAAGCAATGGAGCAGAACAGAGTAAAATCATTCACTTATTAACAGGCAAAATATGTTGCTTCGTTACATAGAAAAGCTTTCTTTCAGAGCACTACAGTAAAATATCTTATTGCCTTTTCTGTTTAAAACTTCAAATATCTGCAGGAAGATCTGGTCCTGTGTTTTTGATCTGAAAGGGAAAACCGATGCTTCTACCTAATGAACATTTAAACATGCATGCCACAAAAATGATAAAAGTCCATTCAAAGAATTATACAATTATTAACGTTGGAAAAGACCATTATTATCACCTAGTCCAACCATCACCACCATGCCCACTAACCGTATCCCTCAGTGCCACGTCCACATGTTTCTTGAACACCTTCAGGGATGGTGACTCCACAACCTTTCTGGGCAGCCAATGCCCAACCACTCTTTCAAAGAAGAAAATTTTCCTAAATTTCCACAGGGCAGTTAGCCTGTGCTCTGTGGTTGCACAGACACAAACAGTGCTGCTGCACTGCCACGTGCCTTAGTGCAATGCACAGGAGAAATTAGAAACAAAGACATTTGAACATTCACTGACATTATTTTTTAGGATTTTACCAACAGGAAGATGGGTCAAACAAATTTGAAAGCTGAAAGATTTCCTTCAAACTACAGAAAATTTGGAAAGCAGTGTCTATTTGAAACATTCAAGAATGGGAAAGAAATGCTTGAATAAAGATGAGTCAGTATCACTCGTCCTTTAGGCTGAACCTTCTGCACATCCTGACATACAGTGATAACCTTGGAAGACAACAATCTAGAGGAATCTACATCTATGGATGCTAATGCAAATTATCATCTGTCTTACAACGGAGCACATACTGAGTACTGAAGAAATAGAGAGGCTACAGCTACGATAAACATCTGAGCAATGAAAGGTCTTTATTTATTAGGTCACCTGGAGAAACAGTTAAACCTGTCTGCATGTCACTGAAGTGACATGGTACTTGTTTCATTCAGTACTGCTCCACATCTTATGCAGATGGGAAGGATAAAGCCAGCCCCAGAATAAAGCAGGAAGAAAAAACAGGCAGAAGATCCAGTAATTGTCTGGGTTTTGCTGAGGAGACTGGAAGTAACCAGAAAAATGCAGGTACAGTAACCAGAACTACAGAATATGATAATAATAAATTAGCAGCTATTGACCTTCCTCTTCCCTGCAAAGGCTGCCCAGGAAATCTGTGTAAGTAGTGCTCAGCAGCAGGGGGGTTCCGGGTGAAGACCCCACCTGTGTCACAGCTTTGTGGAGCTGAACGGGTTCTTGGCTGTTCTGAAGTGCCTTGTACCATGAGGATTTCAGTCTAAATACAGAAAATTCTCTTCCAGAGATTTTGTACTTGCAATGTCATTTAATACTTACAAGGATGGGCATTCTTATTCATCTGGTGGAAAAAAAGACAATTGTTTCCATTATGATCAAGTTCCCTTCCTTCAGTTTTTGACCTCAAAAACTACACTGTGGCCTACTACATTTGTGCATCTGTTCTAACCTCAAATGACCCCAAGGCTCACTAGGAGTCCAAAGGGGCAGCCATTTTGGGATGCAAATGGGATGCAGCCATTTTGTTTAGCTGAATGTATTTAGTAAGCAGATGCAACTGAGTCGGTGATTTGAGCTACAGGGAATATTGCTTATTCTAGGAACCTTGTACAGTGTGCCTTATGCATTTTTATAAATACAAATAAATTCACTTATGAACAACTTAACCTTGTAGATTTAATATTCATTAAAACTTTTGGCTTGAATGTTCTTTAAACTGCAGGATTTACATTTTCATTAAAATAAACAGCTTTGAAAATCTGAACACTTGTCACAGTTTGCCATCCAGCTTTCCCACAGTTCCTCCCCTTCTGTGGATAGCAATATAATAGGATATTTTATCACAGTAAATTCTCAGATGGATAAAGGCCACCTATCCACTGATGAAGGCAGACAAGCACTGCTATCTGTCATAAAGCCATAAAATACACATCTCATGTTACAGTTATAAAATGATGTAAGAAACTAATGAAGCTGAAGAAGGTGTATAAATAAGTGCAAACCACCAGAGTAATAAGATATAGACGTGATCTGAAGAACAGCTGAAGCTCAACAAACACTGCTGTAGGGCAGGAAAACAAAAATGGCCCAAGAGGGAAACCCGAAGTAAAAACTGTAAATGTGTATAAATCATACTGAAACACAGTGCAGGGAAGAAAACAAGAAAGCTCCTCCCTATTTAAAATACAGTGCATCACTCACGTCTTCCTGCCTCACTTTAGCATGGCAGTCTGCAGCACAACATCTCAAGTCTTTATTTTACACAGTTGCCTAACTCATGGCTTACAATGTTTAAGGGCAAGGTAGGAGTTCAGTCGCAGCTTCGTAGTCGAATAGCACCCACTATTTCATTCTAAAAGCATCTACCTTTGAAAAGGTCAAAGAAAACACTGTCCAAAGATAGACTACCAGTACCATTGCTGAAATTTTTTGCAAAAGACAATTAGACATTATTAACAAGCATTTAGTTTTTGCACCTGTAAATTAAAGAGAAAGTTAAAATAGGGGCCTAGTGTCAAATCCAAATTTTCTTAAATACCATGCCTAGTGCACAAAAGAATGAAGTGTTGTCATATCATATATTTATTGGAAGAAAAAAAAAATGAAGAAAATAAATTCTTTTGTTAACATCACATAGCATCATTTTGTAAAAAATTAAATTTCTTTCTTTTCATCAAAATGAGGCCAAAGTCCTGGTTTCTTATGCAACTCAACACTATTTTCATGGTTGACTTACAAAGTGTTAGGACTTGGTTCAAAGAAATGTATGACACTCGTTATGTCTGTGTTGAAAAGGATACAAGCAGCACTTTCACACACTTCATCATTGGGAAAACGCTGTATTATGACACTGCAGGGGTATAGAATAGTGACATATTCCAAGATAAAGTGAAGGTAAGTGGCTGACTGGTAAACACTTTAAGTGGGATTGCATTCACAGGTGATAAACTCTGGTATCCTTTTGTCTCCTGTGGAGCTAATTTATAGCAATGCTTAGGGAGGACTTTGTACTACTCTGCTGCTGATACAGTTTTATCCTATTCACTTGTTGAATTCATGAGACCTTTAGCTGTCAAACAGCTGCCCTTGTCTTGGTTGTATTTTGGGAACCCACTGCCCATACTAACTGGAACATAAGTAACTTTGGAATATGTTTTCACAAGTACTATACTCTTAACTACAGAAGTTAAAAGGATGCTAATTACTAATAAGAATTTACTTCTAATTTTAAAGTCCTTCCCATCAACATTAGGAGGAATTAGAATTTTTGATAGACTCAATTGCACTTCTGGGTAGCTTAAAATTTTACTCAGCAAAAACGTGCCCAACTTTGGTAAAACATTTGACATAATACCTAATATAGTCTTGTATTTTACCCACTGCATACAATACTGAGCAACAACGAGTAAAAAAGAGCCAATGTGGAATTTTTACCAAATAAATGTATCTCTAGAGATGCTATGACCAGGTCTTACAAAGATTCATTCACCAATTTTAACAAGCACTGAAACAAAATACCAAGAAAAAGGTAAACGTGTAAATCTCTACCAGGCTTGGATATTTCTCTGGAAAATGCCCTTGAGAACATGAATAGGAGTTGTTTCTTTACAGTCCTGCTGACAAAAGAAAAATTCTTCCTAACTGTTAGGTTCAACATTACCTGACTGACAAACATGAGAAGAATGTTGGTTGTTAGTTTGCTTATCTTTGGACATCATCACAGGTCTCAGCTGATGTGACAATATCATTTCATTTAATTTTTGCTGCAATGCTAAGTAGTCTTCAGATAATTTTGATATCTGAAAGATATAACACAGAATTTCTCATTGTTATATAGATATATATGTTCCAAGATAACAAAAGATAAAATGGTGGACTGGAGAATGAATTTAAAACATACTGCTCCAGCTGCTACAGTGCAGGTCTCTACCACACTCAATCTCTCAGTCCTCTCCTTAAAAAACAACTCAGCAAAGAAAAGTGTAGAAAATCCCACACTGTCGCCCAGTCCTGCTGCTATTTGATACTGGTTCATTCAGGTGAGCAGGGGCTGCTTTGGTGACAATGGGATGCAAAACAGTTTCTGGCATTGACAAACAACTTGCATTTATGTTTACAGAGACATTAAGGCCTTGCCTGGTCAATGTATACTTCAAAGAAAGTCAGAGCTTCTGCATTTGGGTTAATACTGACATAATTTTTTTCCCCAGTTTTTTAACTTCATTTTCCCCTTCTTTCTGAAAAAGGGTGTTTCTCTTACAGCCCCAAATATGCATTTCTATGCAACGCTCATTAAAAAAACATCAGTCTCAGCTGAGAGAATGACGACCTGGTTCTACTGAAGCCAGTAAAATGACTCTGCCATTCTGTCATTGCTCAGCTTGTTACATATATTTCATTTATAAGCTTCTTACCTGCCGTGAAAAGGCTGCCAAATCACAAGTCTCTTTTTCAGATCCTCCCTTCTGTGTCTTAGAGCCCTCAGCCTCTGTCACAGTGCTCTCCTTACTTTTTTTTGTTTGGGGATCTTTATTTTGAATGTGTACTGCTTCTGTTGACTCCTTTGCAGTGTTCTCTTGACTTTTGCAAGGTAATTTCCCTTCTTTTCTGAGTTGTCCTCTCCTTCTGTAACCCCGGTAATTGCTCTGAATAACCACTGCTGCTTTCTCTTTGTCCTCTAAACTTCGTTGTTCTGCTTCAGTTTGCTTCTGTGAACCTCTTACAGACTCTTTTCTTACAATTCCTTTACATCCTCTAGGTATCATTTCTTGTTTTGGATCGTTTCTTTCCATATCCTTGTTGGTCTCAGGCTGGACCACAGCAGATTCTTGATTTTGCCCACCTGCGCTGAGTGTGTCTTGGTTAGCTTGCTCCTGCTGGGGACCAGGTTCAGCTGTGATTTTGACAGATGCTTTGCTGGATGATTCCTTCGAGGATGCCTGTTCTTCACCTTCATCAGAATGCTCTACTGCAGGCCTCTGCTTCACAGAAGCTCTCTCTTCTTTAGTAGATATTACCTTTTGCTCCTGTACTTTTCCTATGTCACCATTCCCAGTGTGCTCATTATCATCAACACCTTCTCCTTGAGTCTCCTCATTCTCTGCTTCTTCCAGTGTAACATCTTCAGCTGGCTGCAGCTGTGCTTCAAGATATTCCACAACAGATAATTCTTCCTCTGCTATTTTTTTGCGTTCTTCCTTTATTTTTTTACGGGCTCTGTAGCCCCTGTAATTGCTTTGAACAACGATAGCTGCTGCTTCTTCTGTTTTAGGAAGGGCACTCTTCACTCTAGCTGTACGTTCCTCATTTTCTTGAAGTTCTTTGTCCTTTTCCTTTTCACTAGAGGATGCTGCATTCTCAGTTTCTTTCTTTCTAAGAGATTCTCTAAATGGAATAGAGTTTGGGGGAAAATTACAGTTGAAGGAGATGAAAGATAATGACAGCTTTGCAATTCCCTTTTGTGAACTACCATCGTGTAGCAAATGGCAATTTGATAGATTGTAACATGGTGAAAATTCAGTGCATATAGCTAGAATTAGGGCCACAGTGTTCCTGCTCATTGTCTCCTGAGAAAGACTGTGGACTCCTTTACAGCTGTTCTCTACCTCTCCGGACCACTCTACAGTTGCTGAAATGCTGTCACTGAAAGCAAGGCTGTGATGGCAAGTGCTCCACTTCAGACTGGGACTACCACCATGTTGCAGGGATGTTTACAATGTGATTCACCTCCCCTTACTTTCTTTTGTCTGATCTGAGCAAGTCATCTAGGTTTCTGCTCGCCATCTCCTATGTTTATCAGACACTGACTTAAGACGAGAGCAGTTCCTGGCAGATGCCTACTTCTTGCTCTTCTCTGAGCATTTTCTTGCAATGAGCCCATTCCAAAAAGAGATTCATTTACAGGTTGTATTAACATTATAGTATCTCCTGGGCTTGAAAATACAAGAAAATTGCCTATGGACATTAAAAGAACTCAAAGTGAATATACATTACTATATATATCTCTAGAATAATTTGTTTCAGTACATCACATGCAGTTACTGAAAAGGGACACAGTGACATAAGAGACAGAAAATGTTACTACCTCCTCTTTTTGAAGCTCTTCCTCTCCTTATATCCCCTGTAGTGAGATTGAATTGTTGTTGCTGCTTTGTTCCTTTCCTCAGTTAGTTCTTTTCTCTTCTTCCTGAGTAAGTATCCTCTGGCAACTGATAGTAAATCGTAATATAAACAATCTTAGGCAACAAACAATGGATACCCCCAAAATTTCAGACACATGGTAACAGTATTCAAGAAGTAAACCAACAGTAAAAGGGAGAAATAAGGAAACACAGACTGGGGTGGTAATTCTGGTTATGTTCAGCTGAAATTACTTTTTTTCAGAAAAATTGTTGAGATTTCAGAAAGCTGCAGCCGTTCTATCTGAAGATACAGCCAAGGTTTTTCTCAGTATTTAGCTGGACTAAAGAAAATAAAGAAAGACATAGAAAGAAACATTTCTGCTGAGGTACCTCCAGAACCCCGTGCTCTGTGCTTCATGTACCTGCTTTGCCTACTTCAGGCAATTGATGTGACTCCAGGTCCCTCATTTCCCAGCGAAATACCTGATTATCACAATATAGAGAATACCAGCCTTTCTTTTGGCAGAGACATGGAACTTTAATTCCTTAGGTAAACATTTACTTGATCAGAGAAAAATCTGAAAATGTTACAGCTCAGCAGTAAGAGTAGACCTAGCTCATAATCATCTTGCTCAGTACTTTGTGAGAGGTGCAAATTCAAGAGTCTCTGACATGCAGGCACCCTCACCATTATGCCAGCTGGTAGTTAAAGGGCTGGGATTCAACTCCAGGTGAAGGTGACTGAAGTGAAGTGTGTGTATGAATGTGTTTACAATTGTCCTTTGTCTCCAAGCTCTCATTAAAGTCAATGCCTAGTCACTAGAGGCTTGATGCACTTGCTGGCATATGGCTATTGAGTGCCATCTGAAGTGCTTCAGGATGCCCATGGCATCCACATGGAGCTGGCATAAAGGACAAGACAGATGGGGCTTTTTGGGAAGAGAAAAATGGGCGTGTCACACGAATTAAAGCTAGGGGCCAGAAGGGCCAACCTGAGACATCTCAAATATCTCTACCAAAGCATTTGGTGGTTTAGAAAAAAATGAATCAAAATCTAGGTTCTGCTGACTATGAGGAATTTAGACATCTAGTCACTTTTACGGTTCTACACTGAGGTGACACATTCAGAAACCGTATCCCGCTTGGGGTGTTGCTTCAAAAATTCCTGAACTTGCACATGATTTCCCAATGGAAACTGGCACACTCTCCGCAGCACTGTGATTTGGGCAGGCCTGCAGTTTGATGGGTTCAGCACAAATCTGCTAATCCTTGGCAAAAAAAGAACAAGATAGTGTTTTGTCCAAATGTTTCTATTGCACTCCAACTCTAAATGCAGCATCAAAACTGCAATGATAGAGGATTCAGGTGATTTAACCATTCTGAGGAGATGGTAGATATGGGAGCTTACTTACTCCAGGCTCTGCTGAGTGTTTTGCACTACAAGGAAAGGTCAGGCTCATTTAAGAATGGAAAAGGAGAATAAGTAGTCTGTTCTAGCACGTTCATAAAACTTTATGCTAGGTTTTGTTTTTCTTTTCTTTAGTGTTCCCTCCTCACAATTTAGACTAGCTTGGGCTCCTCTAGGTGCCATGGATCAGTGTAAGAAGCACTGTATGAAAGGGACATAAATTACTTACTGATAACTGGATATAAGTTAAAGGAACCAAAATACTTACTGGAAATGGCACAATTGGTTTCATACTGCTACCTGACAAGGCTATTGAAAAGTGCAAATTATAAAGCACTTTGTATACTTTCTTGGACTTCCTGAGCAAATTCTCATTCTATTTCTATACAAAAAAAAAGTCAATAGGAGATATTTTAAAATATATCAAGTGACACTGTCAGTGGAAATGCCATATAAGCTAAGTATGCTCTCTTTAGACTTATGAATGTCTGACCTTTGAAGTTGGCTGAAACCTTTCTTTTGAGACAGTAGCTGTCTCAACACTGTTTTCAAACCAGAAGAGGAGTTTTGTATTGCTTTAAGAATAAATAGGAAAAAATTACTGTGAGAGCTATCATTGGCTCAGTGCCATTAACAGATGCATCTGACAATGACTAAAACCAATACTAGTGTTGGTACACACCCACAAAGGCATACTGGAGATAGTTTAGATCTAGATAGCTCGCTTACTGGCAACATTAGCTTATATTTGGGGTTACCACCTTTGTAATTACTGAAGGTGCACTGCAGATTTGAGCCAATTTTTTTCAGACCTGTGCCTCTTTAGTTGTATAGACACTTATTTCAGAGCTGCCTAGACTACATCTGGCTTTGGGATGTCTCTGCAGGGACAGGGGAGAAAGAAATATAGGAAGGGAAAAAGATATAACATACAACTAGGTGCAAGGTGATAACTGCTGCTGAAGAGAAATACTAGTTGGCTAGCTCAGATTGAGCCCTGGCAAAAAGAAGTCAGACATGAGTGCAAGTACAGGTTGTTGTCTTCTCAAACGTAACAACTATCACTGATACGTAACAAAACCTATTCCTAGCAGAACAGCATGAACACACACATTACATGCAGATCATGTCACACGGGGTTTCAGCAGCACCAGCTGCAATAATTAGATGTATCAGACTGGGAGTGAAAAGTCTTGCTATGGCATTTTTCCAGCCCACTTCATAGCTGTAGAACATGACTCTGCTGCTTTGAGGTACCAGTAGTGGAATACATCAATCTGTCTCAACCTCTGCAGATAGCTACATGATGGATAAATTATACCTCAGAAAGTGTAAATGAGCATAGTCAGTAGTGTGCTTAGGTCAGAGCAAAGAATCTGGATCAACGTATTTTGTTTGGGTAGAACATTAAAAACCAGGAAAGCAAACAATTCGTACTTGCTTGAAGTCTGATGATGTATTTTTCAATTTTTTGATTATGTTTTGCATTCTGGTATTCTTTGCGAGCAACAAAACCCCTGTAAGCTGGAAAGAGATGTGAAAAAATAAAGAATCCATTAGGTACACAAAAGGGTTTAAGAACAAAATAAGTCTGGAAGGAATTACAGACTTCCATTAAAATATTTTTATAAAAATTTTGCAGGCTTTATCTTTCAAAAACCAGCAAACAAGTATAAGCACTATGAACCTCCATTAAAATTACATTTTCTGGCAAGTTACGTTACTATGAATGAAATGAACACAAAACACAGGAGAATCAGAATGTACAGCAAGATGATGTATGAAATGTATTAAAAATTTCAGCTGATGTCTCCATCAACAGTGTAATTGGTCTTATTATCTGGGATGTTTAATCCATTATATTTTTATTATTATATTACACAACCTTGACAGAGCATGCTAGAATATTATTAATAACACTATCATTTACAGAACCACATCCTTCCACTTAAAAAATTGTCTTTAAAGGTAAAAATATTGATAAATGCAACTTCAGTAAGAAGACCGTCATAAACTGTTCAAAAGAAATTTTTCTTCACAAGAGCAGAAATGAAGTATCAGACATTTTGTAAAATATAACAACAGTAAAACAGCAAAATCCATATCCAGCAAGCGCAGCTGCATACACGTGCTAACTTTAAGCAAATCTTCAAATGTTTTAAAGCTATTACCTGATTGTATTTTAATAGCGCTTTGTTCCCTTTGTTCCTTTATCTTTTTGTATCTCCTTGAGCCCAGCCATCCTCTGACATAAGCTTGAATCAATATAATCCTATCAACTGTCTCTTTGCGCATTAAATTCAGCTGTTCCACGTGATAGTATTTGAGAAATACCTTAAAAAGAGGAAGCAGACAAGCAGTGGTTTTAGTTACTATGGCTTACATAAACTGGCCCCCACAGTCCCGGTATTCACTCAATCTACTTAGAATCTACAAGTCACAAGTTGGTGCCAGCAGACCTCTTACTTCTATTACCTAAAAGATCATTTTTGTTAAAGAATCTTGTTTGTTGTAGTATTGTTTTACCTTACTCTCTCCTTCAACAAAGGTGATCCAAATCTGGAACTTTCAATGTCTTATTTCCAAGTTTAAATCTAAGGCATAGCTTATTAATTAAATTTATTTCATCAAGCATGAAGCTGATATAAGCTCCTACTGGCCAAAACCTTTTCTCCTCCCATTGTGAGTCTGGTTGCTCCAAGGAAGAAGAATAAGCAGATTCTAACTATCACATTTTTAGAAATACAATACGAGCGGCATCATTGGTCACATTGGTAAGGTAGACTGTGGCATCATTACAGTTGATCAGAATTTTAACACATTACTGGGTCAGGATTTCAGCCAGATACTAAGGAACAGTTCTGCAAAATACTTTTTGTTTGCTTTGGTTTTGTTTTAGTACCAGAAGAGACCAAGAACAACTCCAATCAAATGAGTAAAGAGATTGAGAAAACAAATTGCCTAGTAAATTAACAGTGACATGCTGCAATAATGTTGATTTGGTATATGTACTGTACATATAAAACAACAGCAAATACGAAAGGTTACTTTAGTTTTTCCAAGAACCCAGTTGTCAAGGTGGGCTTTTTCCAAGATGGCAGCACAAGTTTCTGGGCTGACTGGAGGATCATCATTTGTTTTGTAACAGATGAGATAATACCTAAAGACAAATAGATTATTCTTTATTCCATTAACAGCATGCAGTATTTGCAAATATATCTAAACCATTCATTTACATTAATAAAAACAGTTCCATAAAAGAAAACATAGCACTGAAAAAAACGAAGAGTACACCAAGAAAACTGCTGTGATTTATACATAGTACTGAGAAATTCAATTAAAAGCAGATAAGTGACATACTGCACACCCTGGAGGGATTTTAATTCTATACCAACACTGGGAGGCTTTAAAAAGTGTGCAGCTCAAGCAGGGTTGTGTGCCAGTTCTTTGTTGCTCTGACTGCACTCTGTGAATTATTTCAGTGGTAAAATAAAAGTATTTGTGAAGATTTTCTGTCTAAATTAGTCTCCGTCATAGCTAGAAATGTCATGAAGATTTCATATCTTAATTCTTGTTCTAGATCATCTACCTTTTAGAGGCCTAACATTATGTGAGATGCATCCCAGGTCTTGTTACTTCCTTGGATTGAAAATTACCCATACCATACAAATTCTGCTGGCAGGTAGAAGTGTACTTGCATGTTCCAGGACTTTTTAGAATACCTCGTTGCAAATTGAATTGTACTTATCTTGTTTTCGATTTTGTCTTTTTCTTTTTTAATTCAGAAAAATTATGTTAATATACTATGTCTGCTTCCTGACACTGCATTCTAATTTTTTTTTTCCTAGTTATTGAGCCTTCATATGCTAAGTATGGATTCTACCAGCTTTAGATGAAAGTAACAATTCCCACAGAGAATAATAAAAAAACGAGAGAATGCTTTTTCCTGCATTATCACTACCAATTCCTATTCTAAGTTTCAAATAATAATAATAATAAAAAACCAGGGAGATACGTACCTGTTAAAAATCTCTTTTTATGTAATGCTGTATCAGCTATGCTTGAGACCTGCACAGCCTCACTGCCATCAGGGTCACGCTCTTTGGAGAGCTTCCTCATTGTGGTCACTGATTTTCTTTTCTTTCCTTTACCAGAGCAGTACAGTTTTTGATAAAAAGTAGCAGCTAAAAGCCACAGCACATCTTGGTGCAGTGATGACTACTTTTTCCCACACTGCACTCTTCCAAGACTGTAATAGTTCCAGCAATGCTTTTTCCAGAAACTATGCTATTAAAACATCACTTTGTCCTTCCTCTCTCTCCTTGTGCACCAGCAGCACTCCATGGCTAGCTCTCTGTTTCTAGGGCACTATTACTTTTAAGCACTTCTGAGTGTCTGTTGCTTGCTTTTTCCCAGTCTTGCTTTCCATTTCAGAAATCTAAGTTCTGATTGAGGCAAATATTCAGGGTCTTTATTTGCAAAAGAGGACTACAAGCTAAGTACTCAGAATTCATTTTTTGAGGCAGTGGGAGAAGAGAGAGTTAATTATCTAATTATATAAAATTATCATTATTCTTCTTAACAAATGGTCAATACTTAGAAATTGTATTTTAAACAGAACTATGCACTTAATGAACTTCTCAGCCCTAAATGAGCAGTTCCAAATTATCATCAATCCCTGCCAAAAGCACATGTTGCACAGTGCTGTATGTCAGAAGCTGGAGGAATGGGGACAATTCTCCAAATTCTCCACTCCAATTTGAAGCATTAAACTCCTAACCCTCAAATCTCTGAAGAAAACTTTCAGATTATAAGCAAGTCAATTTCTACCCAATGCACAGGGAATCTGAAACAATCATCCTGAGATGCATAATCTTTCCCTACCAATCCAGAAGGGCTCAATCAATAGATAAATCTTGTGATTTATCTATTTTGTCATCCAGTCTGCAATCATCTTTGTAACAGAAAACATCTCTGTATTTTTTTGAACACCATGCCAAAGTCATGCTTATCAAACTCTGAGCAGCAATGACGCAAGAGAAAAAAACACTTCTTCACATCCATATTACCGTTTTATGAAGTTAGCAAAGAGTATGCGGTGCGAATAACCCTGTCTTCGAATCCTTGCTGTCTCCAGAATTCCTGTGTAACGCAGCTGAACCAGCACTTTTTCTTTATCAAACTTGTTTGCCTGCCGGTCATTGTTTGGCTTGATGCACCGGACAAAATGAGGCTGGCCAACCACCATTTTGGATAACAAATCCATGAGTGAGTACTGAAAGAAAGGAACAAAATATCCAATGCTGGGATGCTTAGAAAACTTCCACGTAGTTCCATGTGTAGCTGAAATTTTGTTTCATATGATCAGAAACACGTGAAACACCATTCACATTTCAGTAAGAGGGAACTTCAACAGTAGATGAAGTAAATGGCCCACCAACAATTCCAGCTTCAAAAAGATCAGCATATGATTGAGGGCCACACTGACCCTCAACGGGTCTATCGTAGCCCATCCAGAGCATTCTTACTAAAATTGCAATAATTTATGGTACTGCCAATAGAACTCCTGCTTTGTTTTGGGAAGCAAATTGCAGTTCTAAAAACTGATCTGTTTCTTACAAGCTCCCTGATGACCAGTGCATGTAACAGCAGCTGGTGGGCTGGGTTGGCCACATTCAGATCAAGCTGTACATTTAGCAGAAACAAAGCACTGTTTGCTAGAGCATAAATGAATTCTATGTACAGCTGCAGAAGAGGGAAGAGTTAAATGAGGAATATTTCTAAAGACATCCCACTCATTCTCCTGAAAGGCACAAGTGCTTGACTGCACATTTTATGCCTAATGCTGAAGATAAGGAACAAATAAGTGTTTGGAGCAAGTGCATCAGGCTTGCTGTGTGCATCAGTGACTGAGCTATTAGTGACAGTGCAGCTGTTAAAAGTGTTAAATGCTGTCAGACCTGACGGAAGGGCAGTGTCCCTGGAAGCCTCTTCCCAGACACATCAGTCTAATACATGATAGAAACTCTCCTTGTACTTCATTATTTTTCTTGGAATCTTGTTAGGTAACTGCAACCTGCGTTTGTTTCTTTTTTTGTTTCTTTGTTTTTAACCTATTGTTGACTATTTGAGGATCTTTATTCATCCAAAGAGAAAGTCTTAAGGATGGGAAGTGGAAGAGCAACAAGCCAGTAAACATCACCATCCCTGCATTAAATTGGAAGAAACTAAAGTCACCCCAGAAGAGGGGTTGCTTAATCTACTCTGATATAGCACGTCCTCTTTGTTGTATAGGCTGATGGTGACACTACAGCTGCCCTGCTGGCAGCAAAACTTTGAGAGGGGCAAAACTAAAAATGCACAAAATCAATCCCAAGTTGCATTTTCCCCACCTCACCAGGACGCCAGGCTAGCAGAGAGGGTGCTACTTGTAGCTCCTCATGCCAACTGAAAAAAACCTCAGTTTGTATTTCATAACATTCCTTTGTAGGAAGATCTTATTAAGACACAAATGAACAGGCTCATTCCTCAAGATTCAACCTGATTCCTCAAAAGAAGGCAGCCAGGATGTCGTGCAGTTCAGCAGTAGGTTAGGCACATGAAACTGGTGTAGGATGTCAAGAGCCATGTTTCCTATTAAAATGTGCAACTCCGTTCTGGACAAATGCTGTACAACGCAGCAAAGTGCTTAATTAGCTTTATTACTAGTGTGGCAGTGAAACACAAACAAGTAGGACAGGCTAATGGATATGCTTTTTTCTACTCAGCCTGGGAGGCAGATGGTTTTCTCACTCACCCAGGGATTTCTGCTTAAGAGCAAACCACTGATGAGCTGAGTTTTCATTTGAGAGCATTAGCTAGCATGATCTGACCAGGGATTTCCACTATAGAAAACAGTAAAAGAAAACTGCAAATATAATAACTCATCCTTGGCTTCTGTTGCTAAATTTGTTGGTAATGCACTGAATCACAGACAGGAGCTTTGAAGTAGATTCAATACATTTTTCCATCCAGAATATTAATGTACCATCCAGCTTTGAATCACCATGATACCTCAACTTGAATAATCCTTGGTAGACCAAAAAGCTGTGTAATTGTGTTTACTAACAAAGAGCTGCTTCTTATTGTTCTCTGTCTCAGACGTAAACGAACTCTTACAGGTCATAGACATTACCAGAGCCACCTTTACATTTTTGCTGGGAGATAGGAGTTATGAGGAGTTGGAGCCTCAGAGCTGTGCTCCAGTCAGCCAACTCTGTGCATGATTTTGGAGGAAAGAATGTCCTTCACAGATATTTTCTATGTCAGAATCAGCAGCACAGCCACCGCTTGAGAAAGTAAAAAGCACTGCTGAAGAAGCCAAAAGGATGGACCCCAAACAGCCTCTATGACCATCAAAATCTTCCTCTGTACCTCCTGTTCCAAATTAGCTTTGCCCTTTTACTTCTTAAGATCTTAGGGAAATGCTATACAACTAGTCTTCTCCTATGTCCCTTAGGAAAAAGCAGGCAAATGAAAGATGATTCATACAGAGAAGCATCATGACAGAAATATGGCTGTGTATTTGAGTAATATTAGATGGAACATCACAGTCTCCTTTAGATATTTATACTGCACAAACTGCTGCACCCTATGTGCATGTCACATTCTCTAAATTGACCATTGTTGACTCTAAGATAACAAGTGTATTTCAAAAGCTGAAAGAATGAATACTTACTCTACTCTAAAAAAAAAGGTGAAAAACATCTGATATCTTACTCTGAAATAAGAAGCGACTGTTTGTGTTTTCATACTGGTTGTCTCTCTTGGATGATGTCCAGTATCTCCTGATTCATTCTGTATAGATGAAGAAAGAAAATACACTTCTTATCTTTGTTGAGCCTACAGCGCCCTTTCCAAAGCCTCAACCAACCACTTTTTTGAGAACATCAATTTAAAAAAAAAGTACTAAAAACTGGAAAAATTACTGTATGATCACTAGCACAAAGTAGTTACACCAATACAATACATTACTTTGCTGCACAATACACAAACATTCACACACAGAGGACACAATCTGAGAGCAGAACATCTAAATAACTGCCACAAATACCTTGACAATGTCTGAGAACCTGTTATTGTGGACCACTGCTAGTGTGGTCATTCTCTATGGAACATGACCATATTTCACACCAAATTACTAATTTTTATTTTTATTTTTTTCTGAAGCTTTTATAAAACTATAGCAAGAAAGAAGGGAATGTTAGTTTTTTTACCTCACGGAAGGAATATGAATTGCACAACACAAAGATATCCAGCTAAACAGAAAAGAAAATAGGAGAGGGAGAAAAACCATCGAAGGGGTTACTTGCTTACTTTTAGAACCAATAACAGTATTGCCTTTGTAGTTTAACTTAAGATTCAATGAGGAATTGTGATATCAGCTTTCTTACCTTTGTGTGACTGATTGATTTCTGGGGGGTCCACATCTGGTAACTGATTGTAGTTTTGCTTTTACTGTGTGCCAGGTTACCTATGGGAAGATCAAAGAATGCAACCTACCAAAATGCTTAGATCTCATCTAAACTGAAAAATATGTTGAACCACCTTATTCAGTATAACCATATGATCATAAAAGACATTGACTTTTTCTGTGTATGCTGTCATTTCTCTTTGCACCCTTGAGATGGAACAAGCTCTGAAGAAATTGCAGGAAGATGGAATCGGACTGAATTTTCTGCCTTCAGCATTTATATCACCTACTAGAGCAAAAAAAATAGAACGCTGTAGAAGGTGAAAAAGATATGTCTTATAGTATCCATGAGCTTTTACCCTGAGGAGGTTATTTTGCTAGCCTAGTTCTAAGGCTACATATGTAAGATAAAATTATATGCCAGCATCTTTCTCTAGCTCTGAGGTCAGATGACATGGCATGACTCAAGTTTATATAGCTAAACTCGATACTTCTCCACTCTCCTACTCCACTGGTAAAAATACAGTTGCATCCCCCCCACAGAGCTTGCTAGAAACCTTTGCTAATTTGTACTTTCTTGTGAAGTGTGCCTGGGTATTCCTGGGAGAATGCTAGCTGACACTGATCAAAACTGTCCCAGGGTGACACAGTAGCAATTAATCATAATGGACAATCTTGTGGCAGTGTTTTGGCTATTGTCTGATGGCCCTGTTTTGCTTATTATTACAGACATAGTCTTAAGACTGCAACCTTGGAATTCTTAGCCAAAAACTACCCTTATTATAATCACTTGAAGGATAAGGTTCATAGGAGTGGTTTATATAGACACTGACCTTCTAAAGAAACAGTAAAAATACTACTGGACTTCACACCATGTTGCCTTATGTTGATAAATCCCACCCACTGCTGTACGCTGCCATTGCTTCTGCTATTAATATAACTCCTGTGAAATTTAACTACACACTGTGAGAACCTACAATCTCTCTGTGCTCAGCTACTATAAGTAAAAGAAGGATAAGAGTAACATAAAAGTTGGATAAAAAGCTGCAACTATATGGTATGCCCAGTTAATGCATCACGGATTATGTGATGGTATCAAGTGCAAAAATCCCCTGTGCTTAGCTAAATATCACTGGGTAGAAAGGAAAGAGAGATTACTCTCATCTAACGTTGGCTATCTGGAAGTGAGGTGTCTACCAGATCTCCACTGCATTCAGTGAAGACAGGGACCTTCAGAAGAGATTTATCTCATCCTAAGAGAAACACTGAAGATGGATAGGATCGGTTGGACTCTGGTTATACCTCAGTGTTTCCACTGACTCTATGTGAATGACTTAGACTGGAAAACTAACTTTTAGTTGGTTAGAGCTGGATTGTTTAGGTCAGTTTCAAAAGGTGCAACATTTGATTTTGATTAACAAGAAAACTAAAATAATCTTCAGAGTCATAAATGCAAAACATTACAAAAGTTCTTGTACCATTTGGGCCCTGACCTTGGCTCTACCGAAATTATAGTTTAACATCTTAGCAGATGTAAGTAATGTTCAGAGGACACTGTGCTCTGTGCTTTCCCAATAATACTGACCTAAAATAGACTTTCAAGACTAAATTTTGCATTCCACCAGCAAAGCTTCCTTCATGAGTAACAGGAGCTTTGCCAAAGCCCTAGCTTCTGTAAGTTATGATAACACTTTGGAGAAATTTCCATTAGGCTCTTTCAATTTAGTTTTCCTGTTCTTCTATGCAGTGGTACAAGAAAGTACTGTTGTAAAATACTTATTGTACAGCATCAGTACCCTCACACAGGGAGAAATATATACAATAATAAGTAACCCCTGCCTGTCTATAATACACATAACAGCAGTTACCCAGTAAATTCATGGTAAACTCAAAGACAAGACACAAATGATGCTTGATACCTAGATTTTCTGGTTGTAAGGATAAGATGACTTACCTGCGATCAAAAAAGACAAGTAAGACGCTGTACAAAGGACATAATTCAACTAAGGTGCAACTTTACTTAGAAGTAATGTCTGTAGAGCCAGTTACATTCCTACAACCCCTTGTAAACTCTCTGAGGAAAAGTTCACTATTAGGACCTCAACAGTTAACTATTATAATGGACTAAGACTGGGGAAACAGTGTCTCCTCTTTCTCTGCAGCAGAAGTTAGGAACCCATCTGGGTTCCCTACTACTTTCTGAAAAAAACTGCATGAGACAAAACAGACAACTTACATATGCCCTGTCCAAAAAAGGCCAGTGACTTACCTGATCCTTTTTGTTCAGTCCTCAACTCAAGAGATGTACTCCACTCCCTGTCCCGAGCCCCTAACCTGAAGAGGGGACCCTGAAAGAAGCCTCTACCACTTCCTTCGCACTTGACCAGACCAGTCCCTCCCCTGCAGCTTGAGATGGCAGGGGCTCCATTCTGTATAGATTCTAGGGTTGGAAAGTTAAGCCACAAAGTGTATAATGTCATAAATAAACGGTCATATGAAATCCAGCAGTGGTCAGCATGAAGGCTAGAGAAGGACAGTAGGAAGATTACCACAATAGCAATACCTGTTTTTGTAAGAGGATGCATTACCAACTGTCGTATCAGATTGTTTTCAGAGGATCGCAGAAGCAGCACAATATCAGCTGGCAGAGTATCTCTATTTTTGGCCAGGAATCCACTTGCATTATACAGAACCTGTTTAAAAAGTGCATTTATGCATCTTCCGGGCTTTTGAAAAGTAGTTGTAAATTCAACCACTCTGGCATGTGGCTTGTAATATATTAAGAGACATTAATTTTTCAGCCATGAGGTTTGCTCTTGCTCACAGTCTTTCTTTTGATGACAGACAGTTTTAACTTTTCAATATTGAGAGCCATTATGATGCAGATTACTAAAAGCAAATCTATTACTCCAGAGTACCTGGAGACACTGTTATGCCCTCATTCAGGGAATACTAGTTTTAATCAGTGTGGATTTAGCAGTAGAATAACTGTATTGTAGCCATCCTTTACACTAGTACAGGTGTAAATACACAACAAGCAGTGAACTTGCTTTCAGCCCTGTTGCATAGGGTTACCCATATTGTGCAGTCTTTCTGACCCATTCATACTGGGCCCAGGACTTACCCTCTTCCTAGAGAACCCTGCATTAACTACAAAGGAAGTTTTCAAAGTAACAAGCTGCACACGAGATCTCTACAAACAAATCCAGGCATGGGATATCTAACTCAATATGTACCTCCAGAATTCTATCTGTCAATGACTCACAGGAAAACCAGGCCAAAGGGTGGCAAAAGCTGGCCAGGAAGTGGAGGAATCAGGAATGGTACAGGCAGAGCTGACTCCCCACTCCTCAGCAGTGAGATAAGCAATGCTCATTAAACATACATAATTTAGCAGATTAATTTCAGAGGTGTCACCACAGGCCTTTTGTAGTTGCCTGTGTTACACAAGGGGAAAGCAATCTTCCATTAGCTGACGGGAAATGCGGATACGGTGCTCGTTCCAGACCAGCTGCTCCTGTTCTGCACAGGCACAAGAAAGTTTCCCATGTGAGACAGCAATGCTTACTCTGTACCCTTGAAAAGAGTTCAAAAGGAAGCGTGAGCTCCTGCTTCCACAAGGTTCAGCTGACCAGCAGCATCTTGCCTTAGCCCATCAGTGACTCTTCCTGAGTTTGCAAAGACATGTTCAGCAAGTCACCTTGTAGAGCAGGGCAAGATGATGCTCACCAAATAAAGCAGAAAGCATGGCCTTTGCTATCTGTCTAATGAAAGCACAGAACTAAGTAGTAAGGCTGATGGGGTGAAGGAAATACCAAAAGGGAGAAGGAATGGAGCTGGAGCCCATTTTGAAGCAGCAGGAACAAGTATAGCAGATTTAGAGGAGCATCAGGTTGCATTACAGAACGTTGACTTTTTGGTTCTGCTGTAATACAGTCACTTCCTTTAATGGGTGACATTGAAAAACACACTTTCACTATTGCTTTTATTTTACTTTTTTTTTGTGAAGAAAAATACATTTTTTACTTTTGAGGTATAGTATTTCCATGTCAGACCTGAATAAGAAAAAGATTAAGAACCAACCCAGCTGACCTCTGTGATTTCCTTCCAGACCTACTGTTCCACAATCCCCAACAAATATCAATAGGTCTCTTACCTTTCCTGCATAATGATAAATCCCAAATGTTAAATCTACTCTTTTGGGTCTCCAAAAATACTTTGACTTCAAATTATCCTCAAATTTTTCTAGAAGGAAACACATTATTGGAGTTACTTAATTGTCTTCTGAATCTGCATCCATCTAAAGATATTTCTTGACTTCTCAGACAATACAGTGGCATAAAACGTGCTGATGTTTTAAGGAGAAAGAAAGTATAATGGTCTTGTAATAAAAGACACTCTGTGGAGAATATGGGAACTCTTGAATCAGTTATTTTCTTCATACCATTTTTTTTTTTTTTTCACCTCAGAAAGTCATTTGTATTTCTAAGCGTTTGATCTTCATATACACAACAGTATATGAACAGAGCGGTGAGGAAACATTTACCTGTTGGTTGGGGGGCTCTGTACTGGAAACTATATAAGATTAGAAAAACAATGAGCTTATATAAATGCTTATTATGGATATTGTTACTAGGTTTTGTGTTCAGGCGTTGGTTAAAACCTTCATCTGACACTCTGCTCATTCAAGAATCATTAAAACATTAATCTGCTCAGAAACCTCACTGAAATGCTGAAATTAACTGTGAGCACTCAGTAGCACTGAAATATTCAGGATCTGAATCACAATAAATTTGGATGTTTTAATTTTAATTTCCAAAATAAACGGAATTGGAAGCACAATTTGCAGAAAGGCACCAAAGCAAGGTTTGCAGCCTTTACCCTTAAGGAATACCAAAAGTCTTGTTCAGATATGGTTCATGTTAATTTCCAGAACATTTTGGAATTCCGAGTGTAACTCAGCTTTGAAAACAGTGTTCTTGGCATATAAACCTAGAGGTTTACATCAGTTTGACCTTTATCTTTTAAGCACAATAACTAAAAAAATCCTGAAGGTGGAAGAATTCAAAACCTGGCTTAACAACTTAGGTTCCTTTGTACTCCTAACATTTCTTCTATCAACTTCAAAGATGTATCCAGCATTGCATGCATGCCTCACTGAAATATACTGTGACACTGGAATGTGGACTCACTGAAAACAACAGCTAGCACATATACCCTGAACTAAATAAAGCAAACAAAAACGTAACAGGGAGATACCCTGCAAAATTACAAAACAAACCATACACTTACCTACAAGTGTCTGATCTGTTGCTTGTGGGAATCGACTTTCTTCATCAAGCAGGGATAATAAGCCCATTGGTTTCTGCAAGAACATATCTAAGAGCGGCCTGTTGTCCTCATATTCTATAACTCTTGCATCAACACCTTCATACAGGTACTCATTCTGTAACAAACAACAGAAGGCACATTATATTTATCTATACAGAACCAGTTCAGAAAATAATTCATGAACTGTCAATTATAGGAAACTAAAACTACATGGAATGAGTATGCTGAGATGCTAAAGACATGAAGGGACGTATCACACTGCCAAGCTACAGATTTTGATTTGCCATTGGACATTTAAGTGATTCCTATGGCATTTTTGCAAAAGTGACTGGAGATAAGAGATGCCTCAAGTGTTTGATTCTTCATCTTCAAACATATGGAAAAGCTCTCACATTGGGAAGTATGGTGCAAACACTTTCTAAAAATTACATAAATAGTGTCATATTGGCCTCTACTTTTATTTTTTTGGTTCCTTTTAAGAAATGACAGAAAGGTTTAAGAATTATTAATAAACAACAAAGGAGCCAATTCTTTTTTCTTTGCTGAAGACTATGGATATCCTCAACTTTCCACAAGACTGAGAATAACCTAGTAACAAAAGCTGTATCCACAGGGTGCTGCAATGATTTTTTTCTCAAAAATTATTTAAATTATAGCTGGCCAATACAAGAATGACCTTCTTTAATCCTTCAGCATGGCAGAGGACAGGCACAGATTTATCAAGAGAAAGATGCTCTAGGGACCCTTCCATTATTTTTGTCTTCATTACATAATGCAGTATACGAGGGAGCATAGTGCTCTTATATATACCAAGGCTGCCTTCAGACCCATGCAGACTGCTCCATATGCTATGAAACACATAATTAAGCCTTTTGAGCTACTCTAAAAATAATTTGCCTTCCAAATAATAGGACTTTATAAAAGTGTTACATTAATTTATGATGTAATGTCACAGTTGGGCTACCCTGAATTCACTGTAAATTGAGTGTCACAAACATGAATGATGGCTAATATTAATGAGTTCAAAGACCTCTAGCCCCAAAGCCTTTCCTTATGTGTCATTCACTTGAGTTTGAATGACAGTCAGGGGTGAGTGAAGAAAGCAACACAGTGAGGATTTCAAATAACAATTAACTGCCATATACAACAGAAAAGCACACATTATTAGACTTCATACCTCTAAGCAAGAGAGAAACTGCAAAGTGACAAAAAAAAAATCACTAACACTGTCTTGGAAATACAGAATCACAGAGTCACAGAATGGCCAGGGTTGGAAGGGACCTGAAGGACCATGAATCTCCAATTCCCTGCCACAGGCAGGGCCACCAGCCTCCCCATTTAATACCAGACCAGGCTGCCCAGAGCCCATCCAACATGGCCCTGATCACCTCCAGGGACGGGGCATCCACAACCTCTCTGGGCAGCCTGTTCCAGCACCTCACCATTCTTATAATAAAGAACTTTCCCCTGACATCCAACCTAAATTTTCCCTCCCTCAACTTAAAACTATTTCCCCTTGTTCTGCTGTTATCTAGCCTTTCAAAGAGTTGATTCTCCTCCTGTTTGTAGGCTCCCTTTAGGTACTGAAAGGCTGACCAAAATAAATATCTGCTGATCCATTTGAAAGAGAAGACAATACACAACTAAACTTTTCTAGTATCCAGTTTGATCTAATTTCTCAGGACACTCTTAAGTCCAAGGATAGGTTATGGTAGGGTCGGTTCACCCACGTGAAGGTGTAAGGAGTAAGAATCTCTTCTACAGTCCCACATGGGCTCTGTCTCTCAGGCACATAATATTAACTTCATCCTTGTCTACCCTGGTGTAGTGGACAGGTGGAAGTTTGATTTTCATTTTAATCAATGACCTGAGTAGCACAAGAAGACAGGACAACAATAAATGTATCACTGATATAAGCATGAAGTTAATTATATACATGTAGGTGCCAGTGGCAGGAAGGGAATGACTCTGTGTTATCTCCCAAAAATTACATCGGGGTAGGAGCAGCTTAACCAAGGGCTATGGCTGTACTGACACACAGCTGTTATGCTCATGAAACCAGCTGTTACTGCTCAAGGTAAGTACAAGTGCTCAGGTAAGGTACCAAGACTACTTTCACCAAGGGGGAAAAGGTAAAATATTGTTGAAGATATTACTTTGGATGTTCTATCAGAAAAGTGTTTTGGTGATGCTCAGACAACCTCAAAGAAGATCTCAAAGACAAAACATCTAATGATTAACTTTTCCCTACTTGAAATGTTTGTGAGAGAGGCTGATTAGGAGAGCTGATAGAAAAGGAACTTTGTAATAGCCATTCTGCTCCACCATAATGGCAACATCTGCTCCCCCTCCCTGTACTGCCAACACAAAGTGCCTGACCTTCAAGGCATTCACTTGGTGTATATGATCCCTCAGTGTTTAGCACTTGTATCCTAAGAATTGAATGGGATGTTAGTGCTGACAGCTTCTGTAATGCTGCTGTCTCGCCAGTAGGATATGGAGCAAGTTCACTTCATCACTTCCCATGAGCTCCTGGAGGACGGCTGATAACCAAGCCTTCTAGGCAACAGTATGACAGATAGCTTGGAATTAAGAGATACCATATTACATTTTCTTAAGCAATTGGTGGTCCTTGGCCATATTATTACGATACAAACAGCAAGGAGAAAAGCTTTCATGATGTACATCATGAAATTGTAATTAAATATATCTTATTTGAATTAATAAGCTGAATCAGCTACAGGATGCTGTAATCTCCCCACAGTATTTTATAACTAGAAGGCTCCTTAAAATATCAGCTGCTCATTGAAATTCTAAAGCATAATCCACTAGACAGTACTCCTATAGATGGGATGTCAAAAGGAATGACTGAGTTGCACTTATACCTGGGCTCCAATCTCATCTCACTATTTTATGGCGTCTCTTCTGTGATCAAAACTAGGTATTATTACCTTGTGTAGTCTGGTTTCATTTACCAACAGAAGAATTATTAAATGCATTAGGAAATTATCTTCATGCTTAATAAAAATGTAATGTCATTTTTTCCTGAGAATGTGGCATGATGATGCTTTGGTTTAAACAGCAGCACCAGGGAGTTATTCACGATGAACGTTTCCAGCTTAGAGTAGAAGATCAATTTGTTACACAAATGTAAAATAAACATTGCATACTTATAAAATGCAAAAAGTAGTGTCCTTCTAAGTGGCAATAAATTTACCACTTTCCAATATATTGAAGGTATTTCACATTACAATGTTTACTTTTTATGGAAGCATAACAAGTGAGAAAGAAATGGGAAAGCTGTCTTCCAGGAAAAAGTTACCTGCAGAACATGTGAGAGAAACACCTTGAAGGACAGCACAGCCAACATACTGAAAAAGGAGGCATTACTTTTGGAGCAGATCTCATATATAATGATATAATGGAAAAGAATATTAAAAACGAATAAAATCACATTGGGGTACTACTGTGACACTAAACACTACAGAAAGCATTCAATAAAAAGGATTTCTCAATACTGTGCAATTGTCTTCATAAATGTCAATGCTGTAGAAAATTTTCAGCATCACTTGGTGCAAAAAACTAAAGGAGAAATAGTCAGGAGTTATTATAAGTCTGTGGTCACCCACGGGGAAAAAAACAAAATCTTCGTTAGGAAAATCAGAGGCAATTCTTCCTTACACCCTACCCAGGCTTCTCTTATTTACTGTATCAATGCAGCAAGACTAGCAAAAAATGATACAGGAGCAGTAAGGCCAATTTTTCTTAGATCAGTAGACAGGAGTGGTACAATCCATTGTGTTTTGGTCTACAGTTTCGTGCCCGCACCTGTTTTTGGGCTACTTATGTCACTCCAGTAAATGTTTTATAGGACATTATGACATTATTCATTCATTCTTTTCAGGCAATTTCAATGAGGGTGCTAGTTCCTAAAAGGCTGGGGGTGATTGCTCTTTGTAATTAATGCAAGGGCATCTTTGTATGGCAATGAAGATCTTCAGAGAGGCTGACTGGGGAACTTCCTGAATAACAAAGCTTAGGATCTTTGACCACATCCCAGCATACCTTTTCCATCACTTCTGAAGCTATATTTTTAGCAGGTTGCACCTCCAAGGAAAGCAAAGCTTTACTAGTTTTCAGACTCAGGTACAGGAAAGAAGCCAGTGACAATACTGAATACATCTACTGCCAGTGAAATCATCGTTTTTTCCCCAGACATGTAATTCCTTCAAATAACAATACTGAATAACGATTTAAAGATGAGTCACATGAAATGGTTTATAAAGTTGAAGTGATCTTTTTCTGAGGTTTTTTAGTCCTCTTCAATTTAATAAACTTTTATAACTCCATTTCTATTCTGTTTCACAGAAAATTATTTTTATTAAATCCATCATTATTTAGCTTAGATGAGCTAGTTCCTGAACAAGAACAAATTAAGATAATGATTTCCATTTTTTTTATTTATGGAATTTCAGTGTTCATTAAGCTTATTAGCAAGTTATTATGAATACTGCACTTCAATAATTATTTCACTACTCATTTATTTTTTTTTTACTGTAGAACCATACGTTACATTATTCCTCAGGAAAACAACACTGCATTTGCACCAGAATGATCATCACTGTGTTATGCTGATTAGATACTGTACTTTTCAAGTTTAATGTATTTTATGTAGGCATTTTACTTGCAAATAGCAATCCAACAGTGCTTCATATAATACATATTCAGAAACATTTGTTAGGATCTGCAATTTACAATTTCCTACAGAGATGAAACAACGTCATTCCTTGAAACAAGCTTTTATATGTACAGCAATACTAAAGCTTAATCACAAAATTCAACACATACCTGTTCCCAGGCAAAGACGTGTTGATTGAAGTAGAACTGAATCTGTTCATTGGCAATGTTGATGCAGAGTTGTTCAAAAGAATTCTTCTTGAAATTCTCAAAGCCAAAGATATCAAGAATTCCAATGTTCAAACCATCATCACTTCCACTGCAAAGATTAATTATTTGACATTGACTATGTTCACAATTGTTTTGTGAAAGCCAATCATAAGCCATATCTGTACAGCAAATGAACAGAATAGCCTTTACTAAGTCAGATTTTTCTTTTAAAAAAATCAATTTTTATTTGAAATACAATAAATGCATATAAATCCAAAGACATCTCTATCTGCAAACCAGATACCCTGAATCACATAATGTCCAATTCAATTTATAAGTGTAGAGAAGACTTCAAATTTGATTAATATGTGCCAGTTAATAATCTGCTGTAAAAAGCTGATGGTACAGAAACAACATGAGGTTCTTTTTGTTCCTTTTGTAAGGAAACAGGTCTTATTCAATTGTTCTTTGCAATTAAAGCCACTAGATCTTATTTCTTCTTATTACATATTTGCAACACTTTAAACTGCTTATTTTAACAGGAAAGTCTAAAGAAAGAATAGCTAGACCTTCTATGCAACTAAATAACTACTTGAGGTATTGAGCACTTGAACATCTTTGTGAAGTCCATCTCATAAACCAAAATATTTCCTCATGGAACGACCACACGTGGAACTTTTCTTCTGGCTATTCCTCATCTCTTTTTGTGGCTATTTCCAAAATAAGTCAGAAGTGCCAAATGAAAGTTCTTGCTGTGTTTTGTTCTCAGTGTTTTTGTAGCTGTGTCTTTGCAGTTGTGCCTGTGTGTGCAGCTGGCACTGGGGCAGTTGGGTTGTTCTGGCTCTCATTTTTGCTAGCTCTGCAGCACCACGTCAAGCCACTGTGGTACAGACTGCAAGGCCAAGTTTGGGTAAAATGAAATAGATTCAGTTTCTGTTTTCAGTAACTGGTTCCTCAGGCACAGCCCTGCCCTAGCAAGGTCAATCCAAGCAGGGTGCCCATGCCCATGTCCATGCAGCCTTTGGAAAACCCCAAGGAGGAAACCTCACAGCCCCTCTGGTCCCTGTGCCAGCACTCCATCACTGCACAGTGCAGCTGATGGGCAGGGGCAGCTCCTGGCCTCTAGGTTGTGCACAATGTCTCTGAGCCTGGCCCTGAGCACCACTGCAAAGAGAATCATACAATTCCTACAGGCTGGCATCTTTTTTATTGTTTCCTGCCCCTAAGACTGCATTGGGAAGACTTAAAAGAGGAAACAATAAACAAAATTTAAAGGCACATATTCTGCTCTGACAAATAATACAGATTTACAAATACTATTTTACTGGGTGATTCTGTGTGAAGCCAGCAGTTGGACTCAACAATCCTTGTGGTTCCCTTTCAAAGTGGGATTTACTGTGATTCCATGAGACTATGACCAAATACATTTGCTGATTCTGACCTACATTGGTGACTACTTTGTCTGTCTGGAAATTATCTTTCTTCTTCAGAGCTAATTGGAAAAAAAAAAAAATATATACAAATTATTAATTATTTTACTACTAAAAAAACCAGTGTAGACTTTTGTTTCTGTTTGCTGTTGTTATTTGTTTGCTTATAGCAAGAGTTTCAAGTCAAACATTCTCCATGCTCACCAGCACTGTAAGTATTCGATTTGAAAAAGACTCTTCAAAGAGAGGCACGCATTAGCAATGCTGCCTCATCTGTCATGCATTTTATTCAACTATATACTGATTAAAGTTCTGCTTATTGCTGTCCTATGGTAACCAAATTTTTGAAAGTTTAGACAGATTTTAGGATTGTAGCCTTGACTTTCATTTGATGCTTCAAAAATACACAATCCAGAAAAATTTAGATTTGCAAAGCTATTTGTTATTGACATTCTGTTTCAAATATATGCTTCATTACTGATATTCCCAGCCAGAGAGAGCCCTGACCTACAGGATCTACAATGCAAGCTGTGTTATTTCTTCTTTAATTAATTAGCAAACTGCATTAAAACCTCATTCCCAGGATCTTTCTCATCTGTGTGTTTAAAACATCACCCTGTAAGGACAGGGTGGGCATTAACCTTAGTAACTGGCTTTGAAAACCACCTTGATTGATGTATATATATTTGTGTGTATATAAAAGTAGTAACTGCAATATAAGGAACAACGTGGGTGCACATAAGAGCAGAATTTGACCTATGTAGTCAACAGTATAAAGGAAAAAATAATAATTTCAATAGTTACACATAATCTACAAATTGTTAAGTGAGTAAAGGTTAAACAGAAAAACACCAGCTGCTGTGCTATCTGTATCTACTGTATTGCCAATGCATAACACAAATAGTATCATTTAACATGAGAACACTAAATACTTCAATGTAGACCACATTCCTTCCATAGAAGATCTTTCTTTATTTTGGTAAAGTACATTTTACCTTAAATGTTTGTCAGGTTTGAGAAGAGTGTTGATGCGATTGACTATCCAGCTGAACAGGCGCCCGTAGAGAGCTTTGGCCATGGCATCTCTGACATCAGTGGCTTTTTCCACAGTATTGGGACGAATAATTGTTTCTCCTCGAGTCACTACACAGTGAGAGGTGAGCGCCTCTTGCAGCTCGTCTGCCTGAATACACAGCAAGGATGCACCTGGAAGGCAAGGTCACAGCTCAGAGGCAGACTTCTGAAGAAAAAAACACACACTTTTGTCATCAAGGCTGCAAGTATAACGTACTATCAGTGGCCCAATCAAAGTCTTAAATTAAACCTGCAAGTGGCGGCTTTCATACAAACCGATGGTCAGTAACTATTTCAGTCATCAGCCTTTCTCCCTTTCGCTGTATTACAGAATCACAGAATGGCTTGGGTTGGAAGGGACATCCAAGACCATCTAGTTCAAACCCCCTGCCCTGAGTAGGGTTTTCAGACACTAAATCAGGCACTAGATCAGGCTGCCCAAGATCCCATCCAGCCTGGCCTTGAACATGTCCAGGATTGGGGCATCTACAACTTCGCTGGGCTGCCTGTTTCAGCACTTCACCACCCTGTCAGTGAAAAAATGTCCCTCAACATAAAATCTAAACCTCTCCAATTTAACAGCAATCGGCAATTCAAAGCACAGGATTTAGATGCTCTAGACTGTTCTATCAAGGAGGCTGCTTCTCCAAACTGTCTGGGTGACTGTTGGGAGCATGAAAATTGTGAGGAGTGAATTATATTCCATCCCTGTAATTTGCAGCTGTCCCCTTTTGCTTCTTTCCCAGTTGCACAACATTGTTCGATGACATGAAAGTGTGTAAGAAGATAGCATGAAGAGTTCATAGACTCTTCAGTTGTAATTACTGAGAAAGAGTAGCAACTTCCTTGAGAATCACTGCTCCTTTTCCAGCTACTTACAATCAAAAGTGTAAGGTAACCCTTCCAAACAATCAGTTAGATGCAGTTCAACATGTACATGCACGGAACAAATAATGAGGATCTATGAAATAAACTGAAAAAAATGTTCAAAATGTTAATGAGGTTCTCCATCAAATGTTCAAATAACCTTGGAAAAATTCCAATGATCTTCTTTTCAAGCATCTGCAATGTTAGTCATGTTTCCTGAATACCAGCAAACTAGTTAGTCACATAAAATGTTTTTTTTTTCTTTTTACATTTGAATCCAGGTGAGCCTGGAATTAATATAATTCCAACATTTAATTCTTGCAAAATTTCCATGTGAATACAGCCCTCATTCATAACTTTTTGCAATGAAATACATTTGCTACTAAAATGCTAAAAGGAAAACAAATTCAAAGAAAGAAAAAACTCACAATTTTCAAGGGCTACTGGATTGGAAATGTTGCTCTTGTCAATCATGTGTTCAGATACCACTGCGGAAAATTCAATGTTACCCACATTTAGAATGGCAGCCAGAACACTGTATACGCTTCCAAGTTCCTGGAAAGTATATGTAAAAAAAAAAAAAAGATGTAACACTTAGTAGCCTGAGAAGCTTGTCACTTTGGTGCAGGTGATCGGCATCCTCGTGTTCTTTCTAAGCTTGGAACACTTTCTCCCATTGTCTGACACAGGACTATTTCTTTTAGGAATACTTTCCCAAGCAATTATTCCCTGTTCTGTGCAAACAGAGGGAACACAGAGGATTATTATTTCCACCCTTCACCATGTCTGCAGACTCAACCTTGTCTAAAAATGTAATACCTACCTCAGCAAAAATATTTTAAAAACCTGCATTTAAGTTTCTTGGATCACGGAAACAAAGTACTCCAAATAATAACAGGTCTCCCACCACTCCAGTGTCATCAGGAAATGAGCTTCACTGGGAGAAGAGTGAGAACTCATATCTCTAATTTAGTAAAGAACTTTTCAAAGTGTCACTAAGGAACTGAATACTCACCACAGTATTTTGGTGTGGACTGTATTTAAATAGATTTAAACATGTATAGATTTCAAATGTTTTAGTAGGTTCCGAATAGAGATTCCGCCTTGAAATAGGGCAGTGATACCTACAGTAAATGATTTTAAGTAATTACATAGGACAAAATCGAATTTGTAACTAATGAAATAAGGTATTCTTTGCACATAGATTTTGAACTGCCAATTTTCAGCTGTGAATTTTCACCTGAACTGTGAATATTTTTCAGTATACTCAATGATCTGTATTTTCTACTCAGAAATGCTGAAGTGTTTCTGTAAAACAGACTCAGTTTTAAGCTAGCAATCTCCAATACTACACATTCTGAGGCACAGAGTAATAGTGTATTTTATAAAGACCAGTTTTGTAAGTTTTATGGTTGTTTTACAATGAGCAGTTTTATAACTTTGATTAGTATTTTATAATGACGATTTTCATAACTCCACAGCATTTTATTCCTGATATTCAGTTGTTTGCTGGTTCCATGTCAGGCATCATTTACTCCGATACAATCCTTACTTAATTGCTCTAGAGGACTTGGTCTTGTTTTCAGCACTTTCAGAGAAGTTAATCTAGCAGTTAATAAATTAATTATTCCAGTGACAGCAAGACAAACTATATGAGCACACTCGAAAATTATGCTCAGGATAATTGACTCACAGTTGATGTAGGCTTTAAGCAATCATTTACATTTTAAGCTTAGGGACACACAGACACTGAAAATGAAGAGCTTAACTTCTGCCATTATGCTGTACAGTATGTATTGCTGCTGACAGCTCTATTCCCTTTCCCAGCGTGTTCTAAATCTGGCTTGATCTGTTTTATACAGCACGATTACTGCTCACCTCAGACAGTTCTTTCCATTAACTTTGCCTTGCAACTTGAGATGAAACAGTGTGATTTTAAGGCTGGTATACTGACAAGTACTATTGACGGCTGTGAGGCAGTTAAAAACAAATTTTAAGGAATGAAAGCTTTATTTAGGTCTCAGTTTTAACTGAAGAAGATATTTTATTCAAGGCTTTCTGATAATAAAATACAGAATATGTATATATAGATCTTCCTTTGCACTGCAGGGTGAATATCAAAGCTCAAGGCTAGTTAGAAATAAATCAACTTAGAAAAGGAACTCTGTCTTACGGCATTTTTTTCCTAATAGAAAAGAAATCGTCTCTGTACATACACACTCTGATTTCTGGCACTAGCCATCACTCCTCAAAGAGAGTGGTGTACACATCCTGAGTTCACTCAGAAGGGTTGGGAAGCAGTGTATAAACACAAAATAAGCACTTATTCACACCTCTGCCACCATTTGGAAACAAGTCAAACTTCCCTTCCCTGCTGGCATCCTGCTATGCCACTTGATGCAGAAATAGAGAAAGCAATGTCCTCCTGGCAGTTCTGGAGAGACATACAAGTGCTAGTTCCTTGCAGTTTCAGCCTCAACTGAGAAAGATTCCTCTGTTCCTTCACTCTTGCAAACACAACATCAGACAGGCTAATTCAACCAATGGAGAATGTAAGACAGGTTATCATGGATGGGGCTCACATGTAGCCACAGATTATTTATATTGCTTCACCTACTTCTGAAATTGTGGCAAGTCTACACGAAGATAATCATTCACAGATTAAGCTCATTGTGGCTTACTGAGGAAACTGAATGAAGATACAAGTTAGAACTGCTTAATGCAGCCAGTGATGGTATTATAAATGAATTTTTAATTTGTAAGAACGGTCTCCTCTTCTGGATGATCAGGACTATTCTTTCCATCTATCGAAGTGAACAAAAGAGTGTGGAACAAGAACACACTTCTTGCTTTACACAGTATTAATTAGGGCATATCAAGGTTTTTAGTGAGATAAAACTGCTATCAGTGCTGAACTGTGCATATCCTCCCAGGCTGCTTCTAGAGTGCTGAAAGTACAGGTGTGAAAGGATGTGTGATATTATTACAAGCAGTTATGAATAAGCACACAAGAGGAGAAAGAGACTGTGAACACTGCTGTTACTGCAGCTTAATGTAAAAGGAGTATGGAGGAACAGAATGGATGTTCTGCTACCTATTCAAAAATATCGAGGGAAACAAGACATTCTGAAATTAACAGAGTAGTTTTCTGAGAACAACTTCTTACAAAATATGATTTTGATAGACAGATTAAAACATGCATCCATTTGGCAGCAATAGTTCTGTATTTCACAGATACCATATGGGTTGTGTTCCTGATATCATTTGCGATTGATAAAGTCAGTGGTAAACTATAGCCATGATGCACAGCTTCTAAAATGAGAGAACAAGGGTGCAGGATGGGGTTTATTTCCCTTGAGTCATATTTTATAAGTACAGAGGCCTGGTTTTCACTGCAATTACATGAAAAACAGCCTGGTGAGAAGGATTTAATGGCCAGTAGAGCAATGGTATGAGATGATAAAGGAAGAATGGGTTCAGTTAATGTTCAGTGATCACATCCACTCTAAAGGAATGTAAAAACTTCACTCAACTTTGTCCCTGGAGTTGTGAAAATTTATTGAGTTCATCAAAACCCAGATAAACTCAATGAATTTTTAGAACTCCCACCATGGACATCATCTTAAAACAGAGATGAAGCTCATATTCACAGCCCCCAAAATTATAGACTAATAAACAGTTACAACATTTAATTTGCAGAAGCCTTTTTTCCCCAATCACTCAGCTGTGCTGTGTTCACGAACATCAAAGCCTTGTTGACTAACATCATTTTATTGGTTTATGCCTTAAAACCTTAAAAATTTAAATGTAGCATATAACAGCAAGTTGACCACGTAATATCATAAAAACAATACTGCTAAAGGAGGAAAATAACAAGGGTGACTATTTCAATTCTTTATTCATGTTTTCCCTTATCAAGGTAGCCATTAAAATTCATTAAAAAGGGTTATCAGCACTCACCTCCAGAGTAAAACCTATGACTTTGAAGCACTGTTCAATTAATTCAAACTGCGACTTATAAAAGCTGTTGTTCATAAAGTCTTGCACTATTCTGAAATGATCGTTTTGCAGATATCTGGAAGAGTTGACAGAGTTAGAATTTAAATGAGGTTAGGAATTCAACACCATCAGATTTCTAAGGAATCAATTTTTGTAAAAATAAACAGTATTACCTGGGAGGTCTATATTCTGGCAATTTGTAATGTGCCAGTTTTTTCTTTTCTGCAAGACCAGCATAAATATAATAAAAAATATGGAAATTTTTCTCTCCTCTGCAACAAGAAAGAAACTTGTTTAGAAGTGTATCTATGTTACATTTATTGATGACATACACACTACAATTAAATGCTATTAAGGTAACAGACAAGGCTCACTCAACTTGATAGCAAAGACAACACTGCTCTACACCAACATCTTCAGGAGCCCTTGGAAATTCAGGCTTCAAGCACTAACCTCCTACAGTGCCTCTCAGGCTAACCAGCTCAGCAGCATTTTCCTGTGAATTCAGATCTCTAAACACCTACCCAAAGCACATTTGAGGCACTTAAATGGTTTGCTGACTTTCTGTCTCAGCATGTGGCAAAATGTAAATACCAACTAATGGTGACAGGAAAAAAAAACACACATTAAGTTAAGAAAAAGGTGATATTTTAGGGAAAAAGCTAATTTTATCCTGAAAAAAGCACTTTCTGTGCTTATGTTCAACTTGGAAATGAAAAAAGCTTTTTATAAACCTGCATCTAACTTTAAATTGTTAATAAAAAAATTGCCAGTGAGATTCAGAAATCATTCATACCAGAAATATACAACAGGCAACAAGGTCATACAGAACTACAGAATGAATAAAAATGAGAAAAGACCAGTAAGCAGAAAAATTTAAAACAACAAGATTCCTTGTCTCAAGCTCTATCTTTTCTATCATTACTAAGATAGAAACAGAGTAGGTATAATATTTTTACTATATATCGTGACAGAAAATACATTTCAATAATTTTAATACATTAGAAATGCCATTTCATTTTTCTTTCATATTATGAGATATACACACAACAGAAATTGCTCTGTATTGCACTCGTCAGTAATCCTGCATAAATTCTCCAAAGTAGAAAGTGAACATTTTGCAAACAAATCTAAAATACTAGAGGAAACATAAAGCAATTAAAGCCACATAATTTATATAATACTAAAAGTTTGCGTCAAAGTAAAATTTTGATTTCTCCATAATTTCCACAAAGAACCATTAGAAAGCTTTTATTCTTTAGACATTCCAATATACTTTTTATATATCAGATATGAACGTTCATGGGATTTGTTTAAGCAATTGTGGAGGCAATGAAAAAAATAGGAGTAGTTTTCAATTAGTTGACAGAACTGTTAACCGTTCATAAATCATTTATGTAAAAATCCACATCACAACACAACCACACACAGCAGTGTACTCCTTACTCTTCCTTCTGTTTTGTCCTGAGATAACTGCCATTATTGTAAGCCTCCTCCATAAACCTCAAATGAGGTAAAAAATTATTTTTATACTTACACTGCCTGGTGGACAACTCTGGATTTTTCAAGGAGGTACTCTGAAATCTGAGCTCCTACTACAGTGCCACCACAAGTAAATTTCATTTCCAAATATTTTCCAAATCTGCTGGAGTTATCATTGATGATAGTGCCTGCATTTCCAAATGCTTCTACAAGGTTATTCACCTGGAGGATTTTCTCCTGTAGAGTCCTGTTATTAGCCTAGAAGTGAGAAAAACAGTACTTAAAATAAGCAGTAATTATTCAAATACATTCCTTCTTAAGTGCTTCTTTCCTATTCCAGTTTGCACCACGTAGTGTGACTTTTGTGTACTCCAAAATGTTGCACTCGGGCCTTTTTCCTTTTTTTCCTATATCAGTAAGTTAACCCCGTGCAATACAACCCTCACACACAGGCTTTCCTGCTTTCCTTCATGAGCATTATCTTAATGGTGCTGCTTCAATACTTGGAGTTGGGCATAAGCTTCTGAACAGAAATTAACAAATGGGCGTGCTGTTATTTATTCAGCCATTCATCTAATCTCGCTGCTTTGCTACAGTCAAAGAACAGATCAAACTGTTTCTGTAACAAGGTAAGGCATATCTCACACCTTGACTCATTAGTGTGCGTGACAAGAGCACAGGTGTGTGGCACAGACTAGCAATTACAGATTGTATCCACATGGGTGTTGGACCCTGTCCTTCTAATTTTCACTCCAATTGCATCTGCATGAATGAGATGAAAGCCAGCTCACACAAAACCAGCTGAGTACACTCCTTCATTCAAACATGTAGGCATACCTTCAATATGTAGACGGAGTTTTTCATTGGAGTAAGGAATGTAAGATTTCAGAGGGAAAAATATTTCACTTTGTATGGACAAAAGCTGTCTTTGAGTTTTTATCAATCACACTGATCAATTAATTTTCCTTACCAGATACACAGGTCCCTTCCTTCCCATGGATCTCAAAGAAACATGGCCCTGCAGACTCAAGAAGGCATCAAAATGCAATGGAATCAATAGAGGCCTTACATCTCATCTAGAGTGCGCCACTGCTTATGCACATGTAGCCTTTGATACAATGGACTTTCACAAACTGACACATACTTGGCTGTCCACTATACTTTTGAATAAGTAGACTCATTATCAGAGTGGTCATTCCTACATAAAGCATATGGAAAGAAAGGCATACATATACCACAAAGCATGTCACAATACAGCATTCTGCAGAACGAATGGCTGGCTGAAAGTGGAAATACACAATCCAGGGCTAATCAGTTTCTGTGGTCCATCACTTGACATGGCTTGCCTGCTTTTACAATCCATGTTACCATATGTTTAAAGTGCACTGCACCACACTGGTAAATCAGTTTGCTAGCATATCACTTGGGAAATGCAAAATCCCTTTCTGCTAATTATGATGGTTACTTCCCAGAAGGAACACATCTAAGTGACAGCAAACTGGTTGTGGTGAGAGGCAAAAAGGTCTAAGATAGTTTAACAGTTTGGGTGATACAAAGACATTCAACTAAACTGGCATAAGCCCTCACTAGAAGGGGGCACTCATAGGAGCTCTTAGGAAAATGTTTACTGTCTTGGTCCTCTAGCAATGTCCTGCCCCTGATTCAGTCATTCAGTTAGATCTCAGATACCAAAGCCTTACAGAAGCTTACAGGGAATCATACCTTGCCCAGGACAGTGAGCTGCTGAACCAGAAGATGGGCACTTTGTGTCTTGCCAGCTCCACTTTCCCCAGAAATAACGATGCACTGCAGAGAACAAAACCATAAGTCTGAGCTCATTACATATCTCTCATCCTAGTAAAAGATATAAATAGGTCATCTCATCTTTACCTGATCAGAGTTGTATGTCACCATGGACTGATAACCAATGTCAGCAACAGCAAAAATGTGAGGAGGGTTGGCAGTCCGTTTGGCTCCAATATACAGTTTGGAATGCTAAGCACAAGAAAAATGAAAACATTTTCTATGTCTCCTTAATGACTTTTTTTCACTTATCTTTCATTTTCAAATTAGTGTACATCATCCTTCTTAGTAGTATTGCTGCTTCTGAGTGAGCAGTTACTGCATTCACTGTACTGTGGATCTGCATTTAGTAGTATAAGAACTGCTAAAAAAGATAAAAAACAATTTTGTATGCTTTCAGCTTTATGCCGCGAAAATTGAATTGTTAGAATAAATATAATGTTGCCTTATTTATGTAATTTAAAATGAAATTACACTTTACATCATCTTGCTTTTTGTGCATGATACTGATGTCTAAACTTCAGAAAAGTAACTGACAATTAAAAATGGCAAATTATGTATGACTGAATATTTAGTATCTGTTCCCTGTGTATAGTGAAAGGGCAAATTCACAAAAGTTAAAATTTTACTTAATAGTTTTGTGAACTGTCGGATCAATTAAATAGTTACGGCTTCCACAGCTCTCTTGGGATGAAATCTCCCCACCTTCTACATCCAACCAATTGCCCTGGCAGAAGTTCTCCACAGGAAATGGAGGAGGAGGAATGCTCTCTCCTACCAAAAGGAATAAGATTCAGGCAAATTAATGTATGCATCAGCACAAATACTACTTCTGAACTAACTGCTCATATTGGTGGTGGTCTAGTCAACAAATCTCATGAATTTTAGTGCAATTTATCTCAACTCAGAATGAATACTGAAAGTCACTGAAAGAACAGCAACTGCAAAAATCCTTTTTTTCTCTATTGATCAAAATAGGTGACTTGCTCAGATATAGCCATCTGCACTTAAGACATGATATAAGCCATCTGCAGACATAAAGATACCTGAGAGGCTTTTATTTGTTTTTTTCGTTTCTCATTTCTATGCTGAAATTCAACACAATAGGGATGTGTATCAACATGAAATTAAAAGGACTACTGTATTGGAAATTCTTCTTTTTCAGAGTGAATTGAAATAAATTTCAAGAACAATTTTACTTTATACTTATGAACAGTCATATTTTATTGGAAATAAGTGCCAGCAGAAAAGAATCAAACTAAATTTTCACACCTGTGAAGAATAAATGTCTACATTCCGAAATGGATTGACAGCTATGAGGATGTCCCCAACATATGTGTAGATCTGATCCTTGGCATAACTCTTCTGCAACTGCTCTGTCACTGTATTCTGATGGAGAAAAAAAAAAAAGAACAGTCTCACAGAGAGAAAAAAATAATATAAGGAAAACAGACAGAACATGAATATAGTTACAATAGGTGAAGATAAGAGAAAAAGAAGACTTTAATGGCCAGGAATACACATTATCTTGATTGCAGATAAGTAATACTTTCAAACACCCTGGCATTCATAATTGCTTGTGTCCAAACTCCCTTTGAACAAGGTACACTTACCAATCCCCAAGTGTCTATAGAAAAATTAGTTAATAAGTAGTGTTTTAGTCTGTACCAGTTTATTTATGTACAGCCTGACAGAGGAAGAATGACTGTTTACAACCACCGATGGCCTCTATCACTTGCAGATAATGTGCAGTGGCCTGATTCTTCTTCCTGTTTTTGAACCTTAAGCTATAAACACAGCAGATTTCTCTCCATCTTTATGCATGCTTCCCATCCTCATAGTAGACTCACTTTTGATCTTTGACAAACCAGTGGGATTCCTGAGGAGGGCAGAGCCTCAGCTGACATAAACTGATCTCAATGCATCTCTGCACCAAAGAAAGTCAGTGAGAACCCAGCCTAGGAATAGTATGGTAAGCTAGTTAAGGACAACTCTGCATGTACAAGCAACAGGTGAGAATGTGCCTATTCTTGGACTTGGATCAATTTCAAGTTAACATATCATTAAAAATCAGCTATTTAAAATCCAGTGATATACATCCAGTTAAACAAATGGTACTACTATACTACTCAGTCAGAGGTTTTAACTGCAGAAGGTGTTTTACCATACAGTTGGGATCACTCCAGAAAAATCTCATCTAAAATTGTTTGGCATAAACTGAAATGCTATTGTACACTTACACAATAGAAGTACATGACACTGTTTTAATATCCAACTACATCTCCTCAAGAAAACACGAGAAAGAAAGTTCTTACCTCATCCAGTACCTCCAAGGTTGCTAAATCATCTACATCTTCTTGGTTTGAAACTACTGACTTACTGTAGTTCCCTTTCTTTGTATGAATACGTTCAAATCTAGAAAAGACAGAATAAATGTTCTTGATATAAGGAAACAGAGTGTATCCTGCATCTGTAATCACCTCAACAGCAATTCAGCCAAAATATCACATATTTCCATTGTTCTGAATTCAAATACATGAACGTTTGAACAACAGAACAGGAAATTATTATTATTTTTTTTTTAGTACTGACAAAGCATTCAGGATGGTAACACTTCTAGCTTAGTAATGATGCCTGAGCTGGTCAGACTGTTCAGCAAAGTGCTACAGAACCACTGGAATATGTGAAATACATCCTAATCCAGAAGAATTTTCTTATTCTTTAAAGGTAAAAAAAAAGTATAAATTAGAAACACATTTTAAAAGTTCAAATATTTTTTGTTAGGATTAAATTTCAGTAAAGTTTATCTTAACCCTGCAATGGCTCAGCACCACATTGTCATTTGCTCACTCCCTTGTTTCCCAGTGAGATGGGGAAGAAAACAGAAGAAAAACAAACAAAGTAGAACCTGTGTGTTGTGACAAATCTATTTACTAAGATAGAGAAAATTGATAACAATTATAATGTGTGTGTGTGTATATATATATATATGTATATACATACATATAAAAGAAGTGATGCACAAAGAATTCCTCATCACCCCCCTACTGATGCCTAGCTTGCCCCTGAGCAACAGAAGAGCGACGAACGCCCAACCCCTCCAGAACTCCTTCCACAAGATGTCAGATGGCATGGAATATCCCTTTGGCCAGTTTAAGTCAGCTGTCCTAATTCTGTTCCATCTCAGCTCCTTAGCCCTTTGCTGAGAATGGCCTTGGCTTTGTATAACTGTGCTTAGAAGCAACTATAAACATCAGTGTGTTAACATTGTTTTCATCTTAAAACCAAAACATGGCATCATACTCTGAAGAAAATAATTTTCCATCCCAGCTGAAACTACGACAGAATGAAATAATCTCTCTTTTAATCAAGAGAAAAAAATATTATGCAGTCTTACAGAAATTAGCAAGAAAATTCCTACCCCAAATTGGATTCACCTCTATCCAAGAAAAAAATGCATTGCTAAACACAGTGAAAACAGTAAAAATGCAGTTTACAATTTGTATTAATTGTATTTTCTTTAGGATATGGGAGAAAATTGGGAAAAGGGAAACTGGATAAGGAAAAGCAGAGTTCACAAACCAAATAAAATCAAGCTCAGATGCACAATATGGCACAAACACAAAAGACTACTAAGTGAACTGGATCTCCTGATAAGACTGCATGCCCCGTGGTACTACTGAACAGACACTTCGGTAAACTGAGACAGCAGAAAACCCTGTGTGAAACACAATCATTTTTCATCTTGATTCCGTACAAGATCAAGGAAATTCTGTAATTTTGACGTTGGGACATATAGTGTGAGTAAAAGCAGACAGGATTTTTCTACTCAAACAAGGCCTTCAATATACAATAAAGAGTGGGGAGGAGAAAAAGGCAGCTACACCAATGTGGAAAGCTAGAATGAACAAACATAACCCTGATAGGGCAAGCTAAGTATCTTCTGAGCTCACTCAGTACGATTTACTGCAGAGGTCACGGCCTGTACCCACTCCACAAACATTCCCTGTTTCTTGTGTACTGGCTCAGTTCAGGCAGGCTGGGTGCTGAGGGTGATGCAGAGCTACAGAGTCAGGCAGGCACCCACTTGGCTTTATTTGTCACTTGCCAGCCTGAAAAGGCTCACAAAGAAATAGGCAGGTGATGTCCTCCCAAACTGAATGCAATCATGCAGGCATGAGTGCACTTCATCCAGCACTTCTCTCTATTTCTCTCATCTCTAATGATGATTCTCTGAGAGTGACACAGGGTCTGTCCTCACCCAGGTGCCAGCAGCAGAGCAGCTTCTCCCCTCCCTCAGGCATGAGCCAGTTACCACTAAAGCTCTTCCACTGCCTGTAAGCACAAAGGCAAGAGTTTCCTACTCACTGCAGATGACTAATTTTGCAACCTTAATATAAAGGCACAAATGTAAGAATTCACTGTAGGAGCCAGTACAGCTTTGTGGTCTTTGTTCCAACAATGTACCCATAAATGGGCTGTAATTGTGCATGTATTTAAGTATCCTGAAGCAGAAAACACATGGAATACAAACAAGCAGCACCAAAAGGGACAGACCTGATATAAAGCAATTAAACATCCTCCAGAAAGGATCTTCTTCTTTTGGAACTTGTGCTGCAAGAACTATCTTGGTAGCACTGAATACTTGCAACAACACTGTGAGGCAATTCTTGGGTTGATGCATCTCAGGTCACATTTAAAAGTTTGAGGTAATATTAAGACTTAAATTAACTCTTTAGCTTTGCACAGTCTGCCACTGCTTGATTTTTCCATTTACCAGCTAAAGACATGGTTGCACTTGATGCCAGAGGTGTAGGCAGAATCCTATCCCCTCAAGAGAAACCTCTCCCCTCCATAACCCACGCTTCTATTTATACCTCCATCCTTTTAACAGCTGCAGTAGAAAATTATGTTTGGGCAGTTGAAGGAATTTGTTGTTTGCTCCTGCGCAAAGGTCCTTTTATGTCCAAAGAATGCTTCTAGTATCAGTACGACTTTGAGAAAGACCTATCAATGTGCACGCGAGGGAACGATGTGGGAGCTGCAGTACTGCATCAAGTTGAGCTAGTCTGTTATTTTTCACTGCCAAAGAATGATCCAATACAAGACATCTGCTAAGTTAGGCTTTCCGGTGAAACTGTTACACACACAGTATGGGGAGATGTTACTGAGTGTCAGTAAGAGCGATATTTCCCAGATTTGTTTCAATGACCATTTTTAATGAAATGCAGGAAGTTAACAACAGCCCTGCAATAATGGAGGGAAATGTTCTAGCTACAGAGACTTTTTTTTTTCTCCCCTCTCTTTTAAGGAAACAATCTTTATTTCTGCCAAGGAAGTTTAATTACATAAAATTGATTCTCTTGTAATCCTCTTCAGCTGACATTATGAGAACAGTAGTGCTTGTTAAAACAGATTACATTCTCCACTCATGGAGCACAGCAGAGCAGATTTGCAGAACACAATATTTTTCTGCTTTGCTGTCAAAGGGCACAGACCCCTCAAGGGCAGTTATAGTGCTTCACTTGCTAAACAGCAACCACTTTAGTGCTGTTGACATCTATGCTGAAGTTTCATTACTATCATGCACATAGACATTGTGAACCAAAATAACCAATTTTCTCTCTTCTTATCAGAAATCATTTGTTGGCGACATTAGATTTCACAGCCACGCTCAGCAAGCAACTGAAGCAGCTAAAGGCCAGAAACATCAACCTACTACGGACAAGAAAATGAGTCAAGGCAGCATTGTTTCTGTGTTTTCTCCTTCACCTTCACTCATCCTTGTCTTTCAAGATTCAGTTAAATCGAAGTGAGGGAACTGCAGCTTTTACTTCTTCACATTGTCAGAATATATTTAAAAGATTTCTGATTGTTCCAAAAATACCCTGAAAAGGGAAGTGTGACTCATGATGCCCTCTTGCACTGTCTGCCAAATCCTCTACAGTTTTCTGTAACACGAAGGTAGAAACAGCTGTACATGTCCCAGCTGTTACAAATATCATTAAAAGTGACAAACAGAAAAGAAGCAATACACAGAAATTTGTACAGGATCTGTCACTGATAGTGACCCTGTTTCTCTGAAGGTTGTACTGAGCAAAAAAAAAAAAAAAACAACAAATTTGTCTGCAATAGACATACACTTTACTAAAACTATAGCCTTACGTCTAAGCAAAATTTGTACCCAAATTTAGAAGTACTAAGTTCTGCAAGTATGTGTACAGTGCTTTGCAGACAAACCTCTGCTCCCTCTGTGTCGAAGTCATTGGGCAGCACCAGCTCCACTCAAGGAGCTGCACTCAAGCTTATGCAACCTTGCTGAGAGCATGGTGCTGCCAGGGCTTTTCATTCAGAGGTGGCCCACCTCCAGAAGTTGGGTCATGTGTTACTCTGTACAATGTTTGCCAAAGTTTGTGCTGGTTTACCACAGTCTGCAAATATGTAGATTACTGGCCCTCCATAATAGGCTCAAGAAAAGGCTGTATCCCTTATTCAGGGAAAATGTGTTATTAGCTGAGCAAATAGGATATCTCTAAAAGTACTGCTTTGGATTGGTTCCTTGTTGCCCTCATGAGTCTTGTCCATGCTCTACATGCAGAACCACACTGAGAAGACAAAGCGGAAGCTCCAAAAATGAGCAATGCCTGGTGGGTGAGGTATCCCACCTTCAGGAAGAATGAGAAGCAGACTGATGAGACTGTTGAAGAGCATTATTCCCAGAGATCTTGAATGCAGGAGGAACAAATCTCTTCTGCTTTGCATCAAGAGTTAAACTATTATTCATTTAAGAATCATTGCTGTCCTTTGTATTGTATGGAAGGAGACCTGAACTGCATTTCTATTCTGCTGTGGAGATGGGAACTACCCAGAAGCATATGGAACAGGCCTGTATAGCCAGAAATTCCTACTGCCCGAGAGGAGTTTGTAGCATAACTATACTATATATTGCACCCTCAGGAACAGTGCAGTAATACACAGACCTTGCTGGTACAACAAAACCTATAACAAACTACAGGAGTGGAAGAAGTGGCTTGAAGTGGTCTAGAATTGGTCTACAAGTCAACAAACACAGGTTTAATCCCTACTCTGTCACAGATTTCAGTTGGACACCTTGACCCAATCAGTATTGGCCTTTGAGTGGGCTGTGTTACTCAGCTCCTCCTACTACTTTCCTCAAGCTGGAGTGGTGATCTGCTCTCTGCTGCAAGCTGCCCTCAGAGTTTAGCTTACAGAGTTGTTATCAGCTGCTCCAACTGGCATGATGAGTCAGGGAAAGAGAGAGAAGCCTCGGGAAGTAAGTGACACAAGTCTGGGAAGCCACACAGGGAAAGTCGTGGGAGGAAAGTATATGGTACTCTCTGCTCTGAATGCTAGTGAATAAATTGACAATCCCCTTTGAGCATATTATATGTGAACTTCTATGAACTCACCTCCCTGCCATTCCAAAAGTTAAACCAACTAGGTAGCACCTTGAATTGCAGTGCTATTCCTACATGGTTAGCTCAGCAGGACAAACGTTTAGCAGAGCAATTCAGCTCACACAAAAGCACTTGCTCTGAATCACTCTGCAATAGAAGGGTCTCTTTCCCACATTTATTTATAGGGCATATAAGTCTCTTAACTTGGGGAACACAGTTGGTTGCTGAAATCTAGGTGCACTGAATATCCCTCACATGCACTGCTCATTCTGGAATGAGTCATAATTCCCAGGAAATACACATTGTACTAATCACTGAGCATTTCTGCAGAGATTGTTGTAAAAGCACTCAAGAACAAGACAGCCAAACAACTCAAGATGAAAGTATTGCAAACCTGACAGTCAGGTGTAAATGCGACAGTTCTGAAGGCCATTTCAAAGACAGCTATTTCTGTTGCAAAGTAAATCTCTTTACAATGCAGGCTTTTTCCCCTCATTCAGCCTGGTGAGAAGTGTATTTTTAGAACAGTTTTTAGATATATGCTGCAGCACTAACTTCTAATCATTATTTTGATCAGTAATTATAAATTTTAATAGCTATAAGATGACAAGCAAGAAAGTGTGACTGAGGGATTGGCTAAAATCAAGGGAGAGCTTAAGGAGCGCCCAAAGGTGATCAGGCTCAGATGAACTTACTGTTTCTCCATGATAGAATCTGTCTTACTTTCTGTGGTGTGTTTCCTTCACCAGGTGCTTGAAAAGGATGCAACAGTTTTCTAAAACCAGGTCTCTCTTTGCTGGGCTAGTAGCAATAATAATGAAAATTTCAAACAGCCTGGTGCAATGCCCTAATGCCTCGGTGACTGGTCAACATTAAAAAATACCTCAGAAACAACAGTGGTAGAGGGAGTTGCTATAGGGTGGCTCCTCTTTCAGTCTAGAGATCACAGACCCTTTCTGAGCAGACATGGTACAGAAATACTACACATTACGATCTAGCCTTCTGCAAAAATAAACTCACTGAGAACGTGACTTCATATGACACCTTCTTTCTGAACTGTAACAACTACACATCTAACAAGCATCAAAGCAACATCATAACCAGAACAGATTGCCACCGCAGAGGGCAGTCAGAGCCAAATTACACCTCAGCATAATGGACAAAAACAGTGATTTGATATCAAGTGAAAACAAGAATAGTGGATGTAGGAAGACCAGTGGCTGGACCTCAGCTATCAACTTTCAGGTACTTACTCTTCTGAAATAAATTTTTTTTTATTAATAAAGTATAATTTGAACAGGAAAATAAACATATCAAGAAAACAATTGGATTCCTTAATTTCAAGTCCACATTACTGAATTTCTTCAGTTTACACAGTGAACTCATACAACACACAGGAGAATTTCATGCCTGAGCATAAGGAAGGTTCTTTAATCCCTTAAATTACCGCCTCCCAGTAACAGTCAGCTGGAGATTTAGAGGGAGCCTTGGAGTTATGAACAGAACAGCTGGAGATCAGGAGGGAGCTTTCCAAGAGAAGCTGTTGAAACAGGTGAAAGTTTAGGAATTCCACAATAGGGCCATAACACATAAGTGTAAAAACAGTCCCAGGACAGAATAATAAAGAAAGCCAGGCAATTTTAAGATGAAACTCTTCAATTGACCAGTCACACCACAGCCTATATCATGACCAAATTGGATTTACATAGCATCATAAAATCATTAAGGTTGCAAAAGATCACTAAGTTCATCAAGTCCAACTGTCAACCCATCAGCACCTACTAAACCATGTTCCCCAGTACTACATCTACATGTTTTTTGAACACCTGGAGGTGTTATTGTGCTTTTTCTATCTGTTGTAGTTTATACAGAAATAAATAAGATGACATTACTTTTGGAATGACCTACATACATTCACTGCTACAAATAACAATCTTCCAGCAAATGTAATCAATAACATACTTAAGTTGAAGTCATTATATGTACAGTGACAGTAAAATGTGGCTTTTACTTCTAGACTTTCATACTATGTTCAGTGATTTCAGATATGAAAAGATTAGGTTAAATCAATGTAAGTGAGATTTAAATTAGTATCAACCTATTTATTAGCATTGTAAACTGCTAAAATTAAAACATTCAGATAATAAATTTTCATTACTTTCAAAAGGAAAATTCTATCATACTTGGGGAAAATTTCTGCAGAAATTGCACCTGATCAACTGCAAAGGCTATGTAACTTCATTACATAGTAATATATTCCTTTAAAATCTGGTTCATATAAAGAGCAGTCAGTTAAAAAAAAAACACAATATCACTGGACAGAGAAAGTCTTAATAGCTTCCTCTTCCAGTGCCACTTGGTAGCTCTATGCATAAGCAAATTGAGCCTTTTTTTAATGTTTGCATTGCATGGGAAAAGAAAGCTTATGTCATTTGCATTATAAAGCAATTACATTAAAAAAAAATGAAGATTGAAGAATTTTGAAAAACAGAAGGACTTGCTAAACATGTAAAACGTAAATTATATGAAATTGAGAAAACACAATACGTAACTGACTTAGAAGCTTTATTTTCAAAAATGATTTAGGCATTGAGAGGACCATTGTCATAAGTTTCATCAAGTTATAAATTCATATTGTTTAGAGATTTTTATTTGTTTTAACACAATTATCCAGGTTTTTATATTTTTGTTATTATTTTTAAGTCTGGAGTATTGTCCAAATGCTCAGCACTGACACCTAAGGAGCTTATTTCAATTCCAGAGTTTTTCTGGATTAAATCAATTCTAAGTGCCGTAAAGAGCATACAAATTCAGTGTAAGTAAGTCTTAAATTTAGCCATGTGTATAGGTTTTCATAGACATGCCAGAAAAGAGAAGCTGCTACTCATTCTACATCCAATTCCCGAGAGTCCAAGAAAACTTGAAAATAAAAATTATTTAGAAATATTCTTATTATCCATAAATGACAGTTTATATCAGAAAATTCTCCAGGATCAGAACTGAAGACTGCTATATATGTTGGTGCTATAAATATGTGCAAAAGTAAATGTGGCACGCCTTAGTAAGTGTTTCCCATGTAGTTCAAAATGTCTTTTACATTTTATGTTCCATTTAAAAAATGTCTATCATCCTTTACCTTGATGCACAGGAGACACAGCACAAGTAATACATCAATACCAATCTTCTACTACATTCCACAACTGACACATTACTTCAGTGTAGTGGATTTTTCTTCCTAAATAAATTGCTGTATTGAACCAAATCATTTTCAGTTATTTTAAAGGAAAGCCATCAACTGCTACATGTTTTATGCAGAACCAATAATTTTAAATATTAATGGAAGAAAAAAGGATATTTTAATAAGACGTAAGCTTTTTTATAAAATATTTTTAATTTTGCAAAGTCTGATTCTATCACTGTTTTCAGTCAGTAGCATCCAGTTCTTGCAGGAACCTGATCAGTTATTTCTAGCATCTTCAGTCAATAATAACCATGGAAATATAAGTGAATTACAAACTCTCATCTCACCTAATCTTTAGTATTCTGAAAGCTAGGATCCTAATCTGCATCTAGAATCAGAGGAAAAAGGGGTGACACTTCTAAAGATTATCTCATCTCATGTGAATCATAATGCCCTCCACTTTCTATTGGTTTTATAGGAGGCACCCAAAGATTAAACACTGTATTTTTCAGTCAGCTAAAGTTATGAGAGGTGAATCCTTTTCTGAGCACCAGCCATTCAGAAACAGCGCAAGTATAAAGAGACTGCCACAACTGGTCTACTTTTTAGCTATTTTTACCTTGCCTTTTCAGTGACTCCCATTTGTTGATGAACATCAATAAATTCCATAAGTTGTCTTTGTAGCATGTTTTCCTTTCCTTCAATCTGCCTAATAAAATCATGCTGCAAAAGACTAGATACCGTTGGGCGCTTCTCATAGTCTTTAGTTAAGCACCTGTGCTGGCAGAAAAAGCAGATGATCATTCAGGGGTCATTGTTAAGTTTTGACACGCCTGTCTGTAGTTCACTCATACTGTCATAATAAATACATCCATCTTATTCACAACACTTCAGTACTGAAAACTCTAAGATTTCACAGAATTGATAAGGTCTAAAAGTTCAATCATTGATTTTTGAAACTTGAGATCATTTGTTTGCAAATGCTTAACGTAAAAAACAAGTTCCTTACTCACCTACAGTCAAAGGACTCCACCCAAAACACTTCTCATTTTTACAATTGAAGGAAGCAGAACAGAAAATTTTTTACTAACAACATATCTCCATGGAGAATACAATGATATTTTACAAATGACATTTATACATGTTCCATATTCGGTTACAGTGGTCTCAGTTGTTACTCACTTGTTAATGAAGTCATTGAATTCAGATGACCACAGTTCAGGCTGCTGTAGTGTTGGAGGAGGATTCCTGCAAAGGTCAGTGACAATAAGTTAATAAGCTACTCAGCTGCCAAAAACGATGTGTGAAGGCAGGCTGAGTAATGAGTTTTAGAAGGCCACTGAAAAAAGATATTGATTTCCACTGGTAAAAGGAGTATGGGTAGAGGATACAATGCCTCAATGGCTCTTCTGCATTACATAACTAACAAGGAAAAATAGCATGGAGAGGATCTACCAACCATAGCTAAGAATTACTGTACTTTTTTCAATCAAATCAATAAATAGAAATGAAACTAACGACCCATTAATCACTATTCACTTGTAATAGCAAGTCTCTCTTTCCAAGCCTGAAACTATACACTTTAAGACATTTTTAAAAAGAAATTCTATGTAAAGGTTTTCCAGAAGGACTGAATTAATCAGCTTACTGAACAAACTGCAGGAAGAAACTAGCTCATTATTAGCCATGTTTGATTTATCAGGAGATATTCAGAAGGCAAGTGAAGAACTAGATACAGATATACTGTAAGTAAAAAATTCTTTGTTGTTGATTTAAAGTTTCTTATGCTAGGTACTAATGTCCAAATTGTTTTGAGTCTCCTTCCTTTCAATGAAAAGTGCTATTTCCACTAAGCATACTCACTTAGACAAAAGCAAATGCCTATAGATGAGGTGACTTCTTTACTGTTAAATCAATTATCAAAACCGCATTCTTTAAGTGATGCCTAATGTTAACTCTTGAACTTTTGTGTTTTTCTTAATGAAATTAAAAGGCAGTGGATCTTACATTTGTTCCTGAGCAGAGTGTTAGGCACCAAATACCTATAAGCGTATAAGCCAGATGGCTTTTTGAAGGCCTAGATGAAATTTCAACAGTTTGATTCTGCTTTTCCTGTAGCAAATAGAGGTGGGAAGAGCATTCATGCTCTGCTTCAGTGCCAAGTCACTCAAGATTTCTTAAACAAGAAAGCAGTTTAAATTAATTTGGGTTACTTGGCTGAAAAGGACCTGGAGCACTCATATATGCTATGTGGTCTCACATGCTGTGGTACTACAACTGCTGGAATGAAATCCACTGACTGCAGTAAGGTCATTCCCTATATTCTTTGAGACCAATGCTTTTTGAAACACTGGAAGTGGTAATTTGGGTACTTCTACATCCAGCTTCAAAGAAAGCACAAAAGTTGCCAGAGATACTGCCTAAGGACAGCAATACTGCAGCTGGCAGGAACACCACAAGCTAATGAAAGGTAAGGGACTAAATGTACGTGAACACTTTGCTTCAAAAGACATGTGATAACATTTGAGGACAGCTGTGGTGCCTGTTTGACACACTGATCCACTAAGACTCGGTATAACTACCACAATTCATTTTCAAATATGGCAATACACGAGAACAACATACATGGGACTCGCATGAGTCCAGTGCTTATGTCCTATGCTTGTGTATGTTGGGTAGCAGCAGTCCAAAGGGGAAATTTTCATGGCTTTTTCACAAACACAGCCACAGTCCTCTCTACATTTCTCAGGGGCTTTGCATGGTTGTAGCAGAGTCTCAGAAGATACATCTGGACAGAATACTTCTAACCTCCCCTTAGTATAAATAGTATGAAGGACTGTATGTACTTCATAGTCTAAGTTTGAAGAAATGTTAATGGAAATTAATGCTCAATGGAAATAATTCTCAGCCCAGCAAGAATTAAAAACATTAAGATACTACCTTGGTATTTTGAAGAGTGCCCTCATAGGGTGCAAATCAGCAAGCGGTGGATCTCCATCTCCCAGCTCTATTGCAGTAATACCCAGTGACCATGCATCACATCTGGCATCATATGAGCTATCCAGCTGTTGCTCACAGGCAATCACCTATTAGAGGAAAAGACCTGGTCAGTAACAGGACAGTCAAATATCTGAATTTAAGAGCATACTCATAGATGGGGAAAACTCTTATTGGATAGAGATATTGGATAAAATAAACAGAACTGCTCATATTCTGCAAGTTAAAACTTAGTGCTGCTGAAAAAGCAAAGTGTGACCTAGAGAAAGCAAGTCTTTTGTGAACACAGCCTGTTATCTGATCAGATGTCCCCTGATCTGACTGAAGGGGGCAAATCTTTGGCTTATTCACTTGAAGGTAGAAAACTGCATCCCACTGCTAAGGGAAGAAGCAAGGAACTCAGCAACCCCAAGCTACTTCTCTGCAGATTTATTCCCGAAAAAGAACGAATGGAGTTACTCTGCTCTCTCCATGAAGAACACAAGGAAGAAAGCAAGAGCTGAATTCATTATCTTCCATTGGGTCTTTATTCAGCCAATTCAAGGATAAAGCTAAGTTATCAAGAATGTGGTTTGCCAATGGATTGCAGGAAATGTATTCAATTTCATATACATTTCAGCTCATTCACAATGCCAGCTGAACTAAGGATTTTTCATCCCTTTACCTAGATCTAAAGGTCTAGACCAATGAGGACAAGCAATGTATATTTATAAGCACATACGTCCATAGAGTAATTTCTGTCCTACAAAGAGATGTACATGTATATATGCACACGTGTTTGTGCAGACACAAATAGCCTAAGTACTAAGTATAACACTAAACAGTGTAACTAATTTTTTGTTTCCTGCTTCAGATTAAAGGATGTATTTATATTCTTCAGCTGGAAAAATCCCCAAATACACATAATACATCTTATTTATTCGTAATGAACTGTTCATTTCTTGCTGTTGCCTATAAATACATTGTGTTAACGCTTTCCAGATGAAGAAATTCAAAAGCAAAAGCCCCAGTATATACAGTACCACCCTGGGCTCCATCCATCCACAGAGAGATGAGATACTTGGCATAATTTGCAAATTTGGAAGGTTGGAAAAGATCGCTGGTAGTACTCGCTCCTCCTGAATGAAAATACTTAACTAAGCAATTCAGCTTCTTGCTCCTTCACTCTAACCTTGCAGTTTCAAAGATAAAAAAAGATTTTAAATTAATCCTTGCAACCATTTATGTAAATAGGTTTAAAACACTTTTTCACCTATCAAAATAGAAATGTCCTTTAGAAGGTCCAGTAGTCAGGAAGAAGAAAGAAAAAAGAAGGAAGAATGGAGAAAGAGCAGAAATACAGAATTTGACAGCTTTCATACCACTGATGAAATACATTGGAACACGAATCTTACCTCTGGAGCCATCCAGAACGGGGTGCCCACAGAGGTGTTCCGGCGGAGCCGAGTGCTGGTCAGCTGAGCAGACACACCTGGAAGAACCAGGGGAAGCTATAATCAGAGCAACTGCTATTTCCATCTGAGACAGTCCCTCTGAACGGTACCATCCCTGTTGTGTCTTGTCATGCCACGACCTCCTCTGCAGGTGTCTTTATTATATTCTTCCAGTTCTCTGCTATAGGCCCAATCCTCAAAGTAATTGAGCACTTCAGCTCAGAGTCCGTGCATTTGTTTCCAGCAACTTCAGAAGGACTGAGATTTAGTCCCCAATGAGTATTTCATTAGTAATCTGACTCCATATATTTTGACTGGCTAATTACAGTTTTATATCCTGTTTTAAGAGAATGGTAAAGCATTTCAGGAGGTTAAAAAAAAAAAAAGAAGTACTTTCCTGTACTTTCCCTTGTTTCTTTTTTACTTCTCATGCTCAGTACTGACACTAGACCTCTGTTTCCTTATGTACATATTTCAGGTTAAGAGCTATAAAAGATACTCATCCTCATCTCTTAGCTGTTCTGCCATAAAGACGAAGCAGTAAAATGGTGAAACATCAAAAACACAAAAACAGAAATCTCCCCGTTCTTGAAGCAACATCAAATGCCTGCAAATCAGCTTTGCAACATGAGCTGTAGTTTAAGGAATTAACTGTTGCAGGCCAATACTTGGAAACTGGACTCTGAAATCTGAAAATTGCTTATGGTTTTAGATTAAAACACACACTGAAACATCAGGAATTCTAGTGAGCTACTGGTGAACTTCTAGTGAACTTCTGATCTGCCTGCTAACAATTTTCTGCCTTTAAAAATAAAGGTGGTATTGTTTGAAATACCTCTCGTGTGTGCAAAGAGAGTACAACGTGTGGAGAAAACAAACCCTTTTCACCAGCAGGTCCTGAACTGTTATGGATTTATGAATCAAAGCTAACTGTGAGATCCACCAAAGACATATTCTGAAGTTCTGATACAAAAGATGGTAGTAAAGATGCTGTTTTATACTCTGATGTCAACTTTATTCTGATTGGCACTGAAGCTTGTTTATTTTGCCTTCATATATAAACCTATATTCTTTTTGAGAAAATAAAAGGCTTCAGTTTCACTCTGCAAATGCCATTTTATTATCTGAAATGTGAAGCTTCAGTAAGCACCAGTGGCAAGTTTAAACTCTTTGCATTCTCTGGTTTGAATATGCTTGATCTTACCTTCCTGAAAGCTTGGCAGATGGCTCATAACAGGAGCAATTCGTGTCAACTGCCCAGTGAAAATATACTCACTGAATTTTTGTCTGGATAGAATAGGATTGCTTAAGGTTTTTGTTTGTTTGTTTGTTTGTTTCCATGGAAGTAAACAATCCATTGCAGACTTGATTTGCTTTTTACTCTCAAGCAAGCGTTCAGCTCAGATTCACAAATTTTCTGCATTTGTCAATCACAGAAGTGTACATAACTGCTGAAAACAGGGCAGCAAAATCCTGACTCCCAAATCAGCCTGTTCCTTTAAGACAAACTCAACCACTGCCTTTGCTCCCACTACTTTACTCAGGGCTTGAAAAAGCTGAATCTCTTCCTTCTTTCAATGACCACAGAAAGTCCAGCACAGTGTTTGCATCATGGAATGCAGGAAAATATGAGGTTATGTACAAAGTCCATCAACCCTGTTCCAAGCTCAGCCAAGCAGGGGCTTTGACGTTGTTTCCTTGTTTTTATTCCTGGCCTTCAACAAAACATAACATTCAGAAAGCAAGAGGCAAGCACACGTTACCATGGGGTTGTTGTAGTGGTACAAAAGGATACCAGTGTGTGATCCCTCCTTTTGAAGGGAGAAGAGGCTACACTCCCCTTCTACATGCTGTGGGAGTCTCCTGTGCTGAGCTCTTTTTTTGTAGTCTTGGAATGGGAGCTGGGATTTAGATCTGCAGGCAAAGAAAGGCCCTAGCTGAATTTTTATTATTCCAGTGCCATATTTTGTAAATAATCATAACTTTCTGTGGAGATAAGGAGCAAAATATAAAAGACACATTGATCTGCACAATCTTCTGCCTACACACTTTTTTTTTCTGTTTATTTAATAATTATAGTTCAAAGAGAAGGATTCCCCCCACACTTTTTTGTTGTTGTTGTTTTGGTTTTTTTTACTTCAGGAAAAAGCTGATTAAATTTGAATTGTTCACTACTACTTTCTTTAGGTTTTTTGTTTGTTTGTTTGTATCCTTTTGCTCTTAGCAGTAAAGTGGCATTTTAGATTAAGGAGTGTAGGTCTTATGACAAATGATATTTCCTTGGGCACTTTCTGTGCATAGGGGAAAGATGATGTAATTCCACACTTAGTAACATTTCTTCCAGCATTTCAGTAACCAGTCAGGCATATAGCTAGCCAGCTTTTTTAAACTCGTTCTTTTTCTAACAATAACATCCTGCTCCTCCCCCATCTGCTTTACTACTGCTTTGTTGCAAAGGGAATCAAATATTCTCCTAAGGAAATTTAAAAATACAACCAAAAGCAGTGTTTCAGTACACAGAAATTATAAATCTCATGAAAATTAACGGCTTAATAAACAAGTGCATTGGAAGTACCAGTGCACACCACAGAATCTTTCCTAATGTGCAAAAGAACTGTGCATACAGTTGGAAAGTATATACTTTTTTTATTTTATTTGTTTAAGTCAAGCATTAGGTTATGAATAATAAAAAAAAGGAAATTAGCAACTTTACATCATGAGTATTATATACGCCTTTCATTGCAAAAACTGGCATATTAGAGTAACACTGAAAGTAAAGCTACCTACTTATGACCTTACTATTCAATAAAGGAAATATAGGGCAGAAACGAGCTTCCTATTATTATAGGAAAGATTTGTCTCAAAGTTACAGCCAATCTGAGCAGACACTGTTCTGATCTAAATTGAGAGGCTGTACAATACTGTTTTATGATTATGTTCTCTGACAGAAGTATACACACTGTGCTGGCTGATGTTAACGAGGAAATTGTGAGCCCTAGCAAATTCTACTAAATTGACATTTTGCACACAGCAGGAAGACTGCAATTCTTATATGTTGTATATACACATATCTGTATATAAAAACTCCAAGGGGCTTACACAATGCGTACCATCATTTGGCTACTACTTCCATAACCATTTGTCATTTGTGCCTTCAGAGTCCATCCTCCTAGCAAAGCAACCCTTTGTAACCCTTTCCTCCTGAAAAAGATTGTGAACCAAATCCTCTTTCTTGCCCTTCTTGAAGACAGGAGCGACAATAGCTTTCTACTGGTCTTTGGGACCCCCTGATCTCCAAGACCCTACAAAGATTATCAAGAGTGGTCTTGCAGTGACATCAGCCAACTTCCTCAGCATTCATGGGTGCAGTCCTACAGTTTTAAAATCTAATTTGTTTAAATGCTTGCTAACCTAATCCTCCCACACCAAGGCTAAATTTTCCTTGTTCTGGATTTCCCAACTGGTCTCAAGGACCTGGAATTCCTAAAGATCAGTCTCACAAGTAAAGACCATGAGTATACCTCAACTTCTTTCATGTCCATCATCATCTTATCCACTGTTTTAACGGATTGTCTTGATGCATGTCATGTTTTAATGATGAAACAGATTACTGTTACTAAGAAAAGGGCAACTGGAAAACTAAACTTTCCGAAACGCTCAGGAAAACAAACATTCAAGATGCAAGTCTTCAACTGAAACATGGCATATCCAAAAGCTAACCAAACAGCCATTTGCAACTCCAAAATGATCAAAAGCTTAGTATCTAAGAAGACCATATACATAAGCAGCTTAGGAGAGAGAAAAAACATGGTGTCTAATATGAAACTAACAGGTATTAAGTAAATGTGGGATGAAAAAGATAAATTTACTGTAAATAAAACAAAAAATATAGGTAGAGACTCAGGGATTTGTGAACTACACCTCTGATGCAGCATGCCAGTGAAGAAAGCCCTCATTCTTAGGTGGTACCTTCCTTAAACGTTTTGATTCAGTCTGACTGCCACTTTTGAGACTCAGAAAGGATTTTTCCTCTGTATGACAAGAAAAATGCAGGAAATACTCTCCTTGTTATGTGACACGGTTTACCTGTTAAGATCATCTGGGTTACTAGCAACACCTACGCTGCTGGGACAGGATATCTGAAACACATCAGGACAAAAATACTTCAGTGCAAACTAAGTCATTAGATACAACTTTCAGGTAAAAATGAATCTAGTATACAGCAGGTGAGACAAGAAGGCTTTTAATAACCTCCTCTTAGAATCAAAGAACGGCTTATGTCAGAAGCGACCTTAATGCCTACCCAATTCCAGCCCCAGGACAGGGCTGCTCCCAGCAGATCATGATGCACAGGGCCCCATCCTATCTGGCCTTGAATGCCTTCAGGTATGGAGGCTTCTCTGAGAAACCTCTTATCCTAATACTCTATGAAACAGATGTGGACAAAGAAAGGTTCCTGAAAAAGCCACAGAACTATGGGAAGAAGGTGGTGTTGAATGAATACTATGTAAAATGTATGTACTATAATGAAGAGGTGAGTAAATGCAATGACTGCTCAGAATCCTGAGTAGCAATTATGGAGCAAAAATAAAATGACATAGAAAGGACAAGAATTTATCTGACTTATAAAGAAAGGTCAGACATACTTCTAGCAACCATCTATACAACCCTCTAGCAATCTTGAATTACACCAAGGACTACTGGTTTCAGGGCTACTGTAGACAATTCATGACTATTCCATTTCAATCACTGCATTTACTTTCATACTTAAGAACTGAATAACAAAGCATTCAAAGCTCAGAGCAAATATCCTTTGGGCCAAAACTCAGGTTCAATAAATTCTAGAGCCTTACCTAAAACAAAGGAGCATTGCAACATGCTTCCTAACCAGCCCCGCTTGCCACTCTCACATGCAAAATGGTCTGGGCTGGCTGGGTAAAGAAATCAAGAGGTGAATTTTGTGACCCCTGAGAAAACTAAGAGGAAGTCTTTGCTGGCCAGAAAGTGCTATTTTCTTGCTTCATTTGTCTCTGGCATT